AGCTGGAATTGCGGCAGCAAAACTTTGCTTTATTCTGAAACGCCTTGAAAGATGACCATTGCCCACCAAGAAAACACGCGTTCGTAAAAGTCTTTTATTTCACCTCGCTTCAACTTAACATGTGTATGTGTTAAGAGATAGCTTGATGTCAATTAAAAACTTTATTTCTTGTTTAGAATTAAAAGTATTATTGCTCCTTTTTAGAGTAAAAACTCTATTACTGCAATTATTGTAATTAAAAAAAAGATATAGCAAGAAAAAAGCTAAATAACTACTCTCTCATAACAACATAAGTTGATGATTATAATTCAATTTGAACCAAATATAAATCTAGAGCGGGTACACAAAGAGTTAAGACTGCGTACTGTTCCAATAGCGTTCCTAGATTTCCCCCCACCGTCTCAAAGTCATAGCGATACCAAAAGCATGCGTAAGAAACAGCATATATTTTGCTGACTATCGACCATCGACCAGGTACTATAATGGTTTTTAAGCTGCGCTGCGAAAGAGAGTTTCATTGGTTCAAGTCATGCTATGGCCAATTTCAATTATCGAATATTTACTTCGCGCAACAGATAACATTGGCCTTCCATCTTTTTATGGGTCGAAACCCCCATTTTGATATTAGTGAGGCAGATCGAGGGGCGATTCACTCCTGCAAATAGCGTACGAGATTTTGCCTAGAACAAAAGGATTTCTGGGGATTTTCGGATTATCCAAAAGGTGTACGAGATTTTCTTAGAGCGATTCGCCCCTCGATGCAGATTTTATTCAGAAAACCTAAGGCTCTGACCTAGGTTGTCAGATCAACAAATGATGATGTCATAAAACCTTTTTTTAGAACTTTGACCACACAACCAAACAGAACATAACAAGACCCCTCTATATGTGCAAATCAGCTATGTCTCTTTTAAACTGGCTGAGAAGCAAAATAAAAAATTCGCACATTGAATATTCTAACCTTTGGAACAATTTACAAATGGACCTAGAGCTTTTCAATTTGGGGTTCTCTCTCTGTCCCATTGTGGAGAGGACAGTATCTAACTTGACTCCATCTCAAAACCAAGTGCTAGCAAACTTCAAATGGTCGACACTGCGAGTATGGCATATTTCAAGGTAAATCCTTTAAGCAAACTGTCTAATTACAAGGTCTGAAAACCCTTCCCGTTGCGGTTGTTATCTTGCGCGCGTTTGAAAAGTCAGCGATCATTGCGATAAAGCAAACGAAAGCATGCTTTATCTGCGTTTTTCGCTTGATTGCCGATTCACGCGACTATCGCAGCTCTACTGTCTTGAAAGGAAAATCTCGTTTTTAAGCTCCGCCCATACAAAGAAATCAAGCAATTTAATTTTAAAGCAAAAGCAATCAAAAGACTGTTTAGTCAACGGGAAACATTTTGTCGTGAAGATATTGAAACTTGGTACAGCGTCTTGGAAGAATTTGAGCCAAGCAAGCTGAAAACCCTTCAGCAGTGTTGACCAGTGGTATCTTGTTTGTCAGCGTATCAAATAAGAGTGTCTCTAGGTACGTAGACGATAACAATTGCTCTGAAACAGATTAATTAAAATGTAATTAAATCGAACCAATCTTGTGTTTGACGTTAATTTAGCGGTACTTTAAAATAAAGAAGATGGATAAACACTGATTTCAGCGTTTATTATCAAATCCTTGCTCCAAGTAGATTTGCTTCAAATCAATCAACGTCAGATGGAATTTTGTCTGTCGTGTATTTTGATTGGAACTTAATTGCAAGTGAAAAAAGCCGACAGTAATCGATAATTGCTATTTTTACCATTGTTTTGAAGACAGTTAACCGTGGTACCGACCGTGGTTTTGGTCTGTGCTCCAATTCACGGTTACTCGTGACATGCTTGTTCAACAGCCTTTCAAACATTATTCAAATCGGATGCAATTTTCAGATACTGATACAAGGCAGCTTTTTGCAAGATCTTGGGTGTTCAAAGATGTTTTCTCATTCTTTTCAACTGTGCCATTCCTAAAGATGTTTGATGTTAAAGTGTCATACTATTTATGTAGCATACAAGGGAAGGCCAAAAGCGATGTTCCCAATTTTGTAACACAGCATATGACGTCTTCTTGCAGAAAGGTTTATTTGTCTATCCTTTCGTAGAGTGTCAGGTATCGGTTGCAATGGGCTGAATCTCGTGTACTGAGCTTGCTATCGTTGATACTGAGGTTGTCTACGAAAGCCATTGGAGACGTCTCCATGTGACGTAACTTCACTCATTTAAGCGACCGAGCTCGAAAGATATCTTCAAAACACCATCTTAAACATATAAAACAATTAATAGACTGTGACCGAATTAGATTGCATAGATGAGTTAAGGTACAACAAAGCTTATTTACTATACATCTACGACTCGAGATAAAAACCCTCAATTCTGAACCATAATACTAAAAAAGAGGCATGTTTATCAGATTTCCCAGTACGTTCAATGATAAATGACTTTTGACATTCATGAGTGTAGCGGAGGCTTAACGTTTATGGGGGGGTGTGTTCCTGAACATCTTGCCCAAACATCACTACTGTATTGAGGTAGAGCTGCCCGAATGGAGGCCAAAATTCAAAACATTATACCTTCTGTATTTCTCCTACGACTAAGAACAATGTGGAACACCCTTATTCTTAGCTTTTTAACTGCATAGTGATAAAAATCTTGAGACCTGTATAAGCTATTGTTTGAGTCCTGACCCAAGCCATTGGCTATCTGGGCAGCAGTTTAAACTTGCTCCTGAAATAAACCTTTATTCCCTGACACCCCCATTAATTGATATCTCCCAGAAACAAATGCTCCCCAACAACGAACAAACTGTTTAGTACCAAAATGTCTTCTCTGCTGTCAGAGCTTTTAGAATTTCTAGCAGATTTCAATGTCCAGGGTAGCTTTCAAAGGTTTTCAATTGATGAGAAAGGGATACCATTTAGGTCGTTCAAAACCAACAAATAGGATCAGCATTGCAACTTTGCAACATATTCGGGGCTAATGCTGCCACTTAAATATATTTTGTGGTCCTACATTTCAAATTAGAATTGTTCTATAATGCTTTAAATTCAATAAAACTGAAGCTGCATAATCCAATACAATTTACAGTATGGCGTGGTTTTTCTTTAATTGAAGGCTTCTGGTTTTTTCAAAGTCTTGGCTAGGTCAACACTGGTAAAACAACATCAAGACTGATTTCGTGGATTCATTCAAATGAATCACAGTGAGATAATTTACAGCTAGGATGCCCCATTTTCTGTTATCTTTACTTCTTGTAATTTCGTCATTTTTGAAGACAAGTTAAAACGAGTCGTCTATTCAGGGGTTTAGTTTTTATGCAAAATTTTATGGAAAACCTTTGAAGAAGAGCTTTGAAAAAAACTATTTGATTGTAATTGCATATTTCAATTTAGTTGCTACAGTAAGTTAACAATTAATCAAGACGTAACAATGAGCATAGTAGCAAACAGTTCCTCTGCAGTCTACTGCATATATGTTGGACACGATTAAACTTTTTACTCCTTTTGATACACTTTTTTCGTAGCTACTGAATTCCCAAAAAATTCAAATCCCTTCCCAGAAAATGAAGTACAGTTCAATAAAGGTATTGAAGCAACTTTAGATAAAAAGCAAGAGGTTTCGACCAGATGCTTGTACCATAAACACGGCACGTTTATTTAGAGAATGGAATTGGGCCTGGATAAGATCCCTGTCAAGCATCACGATCACGTTACTGTTGCTAAAGTGAAGTAATTAAAAGTCGTTAATAAAGATTTATTGTAGCCCTTATCCTCCAGCTTCTGCCAGGCCTCAATGTAAGATATTTTCAAGAGGGGTTTCCAGGACCCATTTGCCCCCAAAGTGGGTGAGCCATTCTTAATTTGTTTTTATATTTGAAAATTTACCTACTAACCTCCCCCCAGGATGCCAAAAAAATTCCCCGTCTTTCGCAACGGAATTTATTCATAGGGGTGTCAAACCCCTCACGCTTCTATAGTTAAGACCCTGCCCCTGGCAACAAATGATCATTTCAAGAGTGATAGACGGTATAGTTGTGGACAGCTTCCAAAGCATTGATCGATTCATGTGATCTGCATGTGTTTGTGCTTGGATAAGGACGGCCGTGAGGGAATCCCAGGGTCCTGGTATATGCTACCTTTCTAAATTTTAGGGACCCAACCCAAGCTTTCTGTCTGACCCTGCTTGGTACACACAACTGCTATCACCTATTGCAGACATCAAAAACAAAAGCTTATCAGGTTATCAGATTTTAACATCATTAATACCAAAATGAAGTCTTTCAAGTGTATCTTGAAACAGGTAATTTTTCAAAAAAAAACATTAGATCAAAACATTTCCTGTTGTAAATTACCCATTGACTTTGAACGAAAAAAGATATCGCTTGTCTGTAGCACAGATAACGAAAAACAAAGATTTTAGTAGTCGTTAATACTTTGACTTGGTCTAATCTTAATCAGTTCTTTACATGTTTTCAACGAATAAATTATCGTAGAAGATAGAAATATCATAGACCACCGAGCATAAGAAATTAGAATCCTTGTCAATTGTGGTTCCGAGTATGTTTGATAATTTCCAACCGAAGGAGGTTGGGGATGAGGAGGGAAATGGGGGATGAAATGCTATCAAGATAAAATAAAAGAATTAGTAGTAAAAGTTCAAAGATAAAGTAAGAGTTCTGTTATTTTATCTTGATGCTATTCAGTGCTATTCGCTTTTCAGTGCTATTTTAAAGACTCATTGCTAGCAGCGAATCTTTGCGAGCGTAGCAAATTGTCTAGTCGACGATCCAAACAATGGCAGTAAACTTATACGGATTAACCAAAATTGATTTCAGACTGTCCTTATGCGTTTCAGAAAATGCATTACAGGATGCTTGCGTAGCGCAATGGCTCATTGTTAGCAATGAGTCTTTTAGGAACAGTGTTAAAAAATAGCAATTGAACCATTAAAAGAAGATATTTGGGACATTTTTCACCTGATGACCTAGCTAAACCTGATGACAATGTACAAAATACATATCCAAAATGAGGGCGTTGATTATGAATATTTAATCGCAGTTTTTGACTAGAGTAATGCAGTTTCTCCAGCTGTTACATTAGATAGCGTTGGCTAACACAAAGGATATCTTGATTTCAAGAAAGATAAAAAGGCAAAGATAATTAGTCAAGTGCGAGTTTATGGTATATTTTTTTTGTGGCTTTAGGGAAATCAGCTTCACCAGAACTGGAAGACGTGTGTTGGATAAAAAGTTTGGCGGGTTGCACTTTGCCCCTTCCCTACAGCGTCTCTGATTTTTGATAAAAACAAGGCAAATGACCTATACAGCATCATCCTCTTGTATGAAATACTCGAAAACATGTTTCCATTCAAACAGTATTTTCTAGTCACACTAGATATTTCTACAAATTGAGGCAAAATATGAATCCATTTATTGAATATCTTTATGGATTCGATCCATTTTGCAAACGATACAAATAAGAATATTATGCAAAACTTTTTTATCTTGAAACCTTTTTTTTTAATCCCTGAGCCGTGCTCATCTCTTTTTCAACGACTTGACTACAATGCTTGAAAACTTACATCTTTGATAACGCAACTCGCAAGCCGCAATCGCAGCAATGTTCTTTACTATTATATAGATATATAGTTATTTAGCCTTTTAGGTTTACACTTGAACAGACAAATACAAGGTTCTTGTAACAGACAACACTGTCTTAAGTAGTCTCATGCTTCGATAAAAGAGCGGATTTTCGTGACGGATAGTGAGACTTGCGTAGTACATGCTGAACGGCAAATCGTGAACGGATTAAAATGCAACAAATGAGCATTAAAAAATGACGCGGAAATGAAGTATTTGAAAATGATCTTCCTTGCCATATTGAGATGAACCTGTAAGAGAATATTCTAAAAAACGGAGAACTTTCAGTGTCAGCATTTGTCAAACGGTTTTTCGTTCTTCCCTTTTCGGTATCAGTTTAGAAGTTTTTTGTGCCACACTCAAGAGCCCGAGCAAAGGGGGGGGGGCAGTTGTCCTTGCAACTGAATCAAAGTTCCCTTGAGGTGGCTGTTGTAATGGAGACGAAAGTCCGCTACTTTCGAATAAATCAGGAAATTAAGACACCAGCTCGTGATATGAGTACGTAATTGACTGGATTGGAGGTTAATGGTTAAAGTATATCAACAACCGTAAGCAAGGCTGTAATTACATAATCACGTGAGGTTAGTCCTACTACAGTGTAAGGGGGGGGGGGGAAGCAATATATTTTTGTAAAAAATGACAGTAGTTATGCTGTAATAATTAAAAGAATATTTTGCTGTAAACATAAAATAATAAACTTTGGCAGCGAGCAAATCAACGTTTACTGATTTCAGGGACAGGGGGGTCTTTGGTGTCTAAGTATGGCTAGGGATACCAATATTTCGCCCCGGCATGCAGGAGCTCATCAGAGTAAAAAATCTACGAATAGCATTCATTTCTGATCATACAAATAAGTCAAGCTTTTTTTTCACTACTGAGAAACGAAGCCAACACTACCAGCCCGTGCGGAACCAAAGATGGCGTGGCGTTAGGGAGGGTTGGCGTGATTTTGATATCGTTTGTATGATCTACATATTAGTGTTGAGCTTTCCGCATCGTTATGTTCAATGTTTTATCAACTGAGTGTCTTTCAGGTAATCTATCTCTTTGTCATTTCATCACAAACCTAAATATTGCAATGAAGCTTCCTCTACCTTTGAAATTCGTCCTGATCAACCAGACTTATTTCTTGTAAAACAAATTGGATATTTTAATAAGATTTTCCTGGATCTCCTTGGAAAAGCACCCCATCATTTGCATACATTAGAGTAAAGCACTGTTGCAAAATGTCTCACAGTAATGCAACTTTTGTTAATCGACTGTGCTTACTGTCCGTGTGAAAAAGAGAATTATAAAATGACAAACCAAAAGCAGATTTTAATCACTTTAGTTAATCCTGGCTCGATATGAAAATACCAAATCCAAGCAAATTTCAAATTCACAGTTGTTGTGCTTTTCACCATTACAATTTAAAGCTGTTCACATAATCATAATTAAACGTGATTTTTTAAAAGAAACTGCTTTTAGTAAAAAGTGAAAAAGTACTAAGTTTCATAACGTGGCATCCATGTTTTGGCGCTTTAGTACTAAAAGTTTCTTTGTTGGTTTTTTAGTTTGGGTCCTAAAATTGCCTTTTTATTCTGAAGTTGTACTTTTTGGAAGGACATAAACGCAGATCGTCTGGAAAAGGCAACGCAGATTGAAATCGAAAGCATGCTATCTTTTTCCAAAGAAAAATCAACAAAACAAAAACTTTTGGACTCTTTCTTTAAAAATAAAAATCTTTCACAATCTTAATTTTTCTTGAGCCTAGTACTAAAGTTTCTTAATTTTTTTTGCATCCTAGAACTAGCATTAATAGACTCGATTCAATCTCTTATATCTTACAATAAAATTTAACAAGCGGTTTAGCACGTTTTAGGCTGACGATAAACTACCTCGACTCTGTACTGAAACAATCGGATCTCCTCAAACATTATACGCACGTCTTTAGAAACGACACGAGCTATTTCAAAGTCATCATCAGAGCGTTAGTTGAGCGGCAGGTGATTACCAAAAAGCTGAAATATTTTGCGCGCTACCAAATCCGTTATTGTATCGCATGAATACAACTTAGTAATCCGCGCGAGCCGCTCGTACTGCAAGACACCTGGGCTTTGAATGGCCTACTGTGGAATCCGCTCAACGTATGCGCCAAGCAAGTTTTGGTGGTATTTCAAAGCTTGTTTGCTTCATTTTCATCTGCCTTTTTCACCTTAGCTCTTTCTGAAACTACCGGCAATTATAAAAGACATTGTTTTACCTATCAAGTGCTATCAAGTCGGTTTTGCTAGATGAGACCAATTTCTTGTGACAAGTGAAGAGAATGGTCGTTAGTGAATAATAGCGATGTGGCATTTTTCACAAAGGAAATTTATCTGCTGTAATCTTTAGCTAATTCAACAAACTTTTTTCTTATTGCTTTCTGAACTTCAAGTTTCGATTCAGTGACACCTCATGCCGATATATACAATAGAGTGCACGCGAGTAAGAGTCTCGTTTTATGACAGCAGAAATTGCCAGCCAAAAAAATGCGTGAAACCATTGATCTTCCAATTAAAATATAATATTTTGTTGCAAATACTTTCCTGTCTATGAATCATTTATTTTCCTTTAGAAAAACGACGTATATATGAATCTACAATGGAGCAATTACCAGATACAAACAGATTTAAGTTCAGGACTGAGTGTACCATGGATACAAAATCTTCTTTGATGACATCATACGAGAGTAAAGAAGCTCACATAGGAATGAACTGTTATAGCCAACAGCAAAATGGGCTGCCAGCAATCAAAGAACAGCCAGCAGTAAGAAGTTATGAGCAAGAGTACAAATCACAGAGCAAGCAGAGTGAGCTGAAAATGAAATCGCCATTAGGAAAATGCAGTTTGATGGAAGAAGATTGTGGTGAGGAAAATTTGTAATTTGCGTGCATCTTTTTAATGTTTGTCACGTCTCAGCATCTCAGTCATTCATTAAATCAATCCTTTGAATGAGCAAGATTTTGCTGAAACCAATAAAAATAGCTTGACCATTACGTTATGAAGCAGACAGGCTTGCTTCATAACATTGTTTATTTCATATTAAGAGCAACAAAAAAGAGCATTATAATATGTCTCACTGTCAAACTTGGTTAGGGCAGGTTCCCTTGCCTTTTGTCAATTTTTCCAGACCAAATGCAAATTTCGATACCCTCCCCTAAAATGTTTGCTTCAAAGTCGCTGGTAATGAATCCAGTTGTCTAGAATGATTCACAAACTTCATAAAACAATTGAAAAGATAGTTGATATTGGTTCAAGGATCAACTTGTTTGGGGAGGAAATTCTTTCTTGAATCTCATTATCTTTCATTCAAATTTCATGATAAAAGTAGTCATGATTAGACTGATGTGCCTATAGATAGAATTGTTGCTGCTTTATTCAGCACTACAATTTATCACAACGGAATGTCAAACATCCCTCCCAGTGATCATCGTGACGTCAACCAATGTTTTGTGTACCCCCTCTAAAATCAAAGCATGCTAACAACAAAACTTGTGCAAGGCGTGGTGGAAGCATTTAGGTTGGGTAATCGTATATATTTGCTTCAAGGAGAGCTCAGATCACTGATTTCATGATAGCGTTTCATCGTTAGATTTAACGATCGTGCATGCAACTCCAGTTAATTTGGAGATGCTGCCTGTTATTGTGACAATATTTGATACTCTGTAGCAAAGCTGTACTTATCACTAAGCAATAACAATAGCAATAGAAACAGCACAAAACATCAATGAATCTCGTTTATAAAACTTATGTTCTTTTTCAGATGTAGACAAAGTGCAAGATGGCAGAGGAAAGTCGCAAAGAAAGCCTAGAACTATCTTCAACAGTTTTCAGTTAAGAGAGTTGAATCGGGCCTTTGAAAGAACTCATTACCTTTCATTACCAGAGCGGGGTGACCTGGCACTGGCCCTAGGCTTAACCCAAACGCAGGTAAAAATTTGGTTTCAAAACAGACGCTCTAAGTACAAGAAACTGTTAAAAACCACTGGAGGGCAGGGATTTATGAATGTCATTCCAGACAACGCAGCAGCTTGGGAATATAGCAAGTCGATGTATGGCGGTCCACTGGCACATTTCAACGCAATCCCATCTCATGGTTCACAGATACAAACACCTGAATGGTACTACAAAATGAACTATAGTAGCCATGAAAATATGTATGGATACACTCCTAGTGAACACAGACAGTACAGTAGATCTGGCTATCCTCTGCATATGTAAAAAGCCGTCGTTTTCTTTATGCGCTTAAAGAACTCACTGCAGTGAAAAACCTGTGGGTAATAAAGAAGAAATATTTTTAATTCACATGCTTAGGTATACCTCCAACGATTTAGACAGAAAATTTGATTGGTAAAGTTGCCTTGGATATTACCCAACCCATGTCTTAACAAAGCCTGATATAGCATTGTTATAACAAGGGGATTCATAGGCGTTGCCTTCGGAGGATTCATCGTTAAATAATGGGATTTAAACCAGTTACTCTGTGTACGTAGGATGCTACAGCTAGGTATGGGTCGATATAAGGCAATTAATTCACCGAACGGTGGAATTTTTTGTCAGTTATTGTGGATACAACCTCTTATCTGTGTAGCGGGATCTTTATCGAAGAAGCGAGACGAAGTGAAAAGAAATTCGTTTATGTTTTCTGCTTCATCATCGAAATCAAAAGTCCTATAACTAACTACGTGCTGAAATATATATCCTTAAGTTAAGTGCGTCATAAGTAACACGATAACGAGGTTAATACTGAAAAGGATAATATTCCTATTACATCTATACGGGCTTGCTGTCTTCAACACTGACCATCTGCGAACCCCATCTACGGTCTGTGTTCCTCAACTTATTAAGATCTGCAAGTTTCACCATAGAAGTACTTTGTAGTAGGAATTAGGTTTACTGCTGCCCTCTTCTAATAAAAGAAAACTCTTTTGTATTGTAAGATCATAAAAAGCGACAAAGATATCTTCTCGTTGAGATCGGCATTTTTTACAGACACTTGTACCAAGAGTTCGGGTCATTTTATGTGTTACAAATATAATTTCTATAACTTAAAGGATTTGTGAAGACGGGCTAATACGCTTGTTTGTTAGGGCTTAATTGTGTCGTATAATTATATATGATTATGGCAAAATATCTAATAAATATTCGCTATGCTATTCTCAGTGGAAGAAAGCTAGGATGTAAGAAGGAAAACAATGGCGAATGTTTAACATACGTCACTCTTTAACAGCGACTATATTGGTAAACCCAAGATTTCCAAAAGACGATATAATAAAAGTCAAAACTCTTCCCCTTACCCGTTGGAGAAGTAACAGGGCTATCCGTGCAAATAACTAAAGTTTGTTTTTTAACAATGAGCTACGAGTGAGTTATGTCAATAGTAAAAATAAATTGTGGAAATAGTGTATTGGTAGGTGACTTTAATGTCAGTCTTAACCATAATAACAGCTACAAGTTGATTTTCTTGTGTCTTTTTTCTCCTTGAGACAATGGCTTTTTGGCATTTTATACTTTTTTACACTTCCATACATATTCAATATTTTCCTCGAGTTCCAAGGCAACTTTTCTTTCACAGCCGGCAAAACGTATTTGAAAGTGAAGGGGCCAAGATATCACAGTTTTGAAAAGGTTTGGTTAGGATGTACAGTTGGGTTATTAAGTCTTATCTTAGAATTTTTTTCGGGAATAAAGTACTTCTAACAAAAAAAGAACATTTGAAAACTTTCAAATTGTGCTGGTCAAAACGAGTTTTTATAGAATAAAACTTTAAAGCTTTCGTTTTTAAGGGAATACTAGGCACAGTTACTTACGAAATGGTGGGCTACATTTCTTTCCACTTTTGCCCCAACCATTTTATATTGTTATGCAAAAAAGTGGGGGCACGAGCCCTTGTCATTTGTAACTATCTATTTTGAAAGTTTTGATGCATATAGTATTAAATGCTCCCCCCCCCCACCTGCTGCTCGACAAACCCAAAAAAGTGAAATCCAACAATTTTCTCATATAGTTTGTGACTGTTATTTCAGTGAAAGATTTTCAATTGACTGTTAAAAGCAAGAAGAAAAAATAATTTTTTCAGCTTTTTTTGGAAAAATGATGGAGCGACTTTTGCAACTATGTTACAAAAAGAAATAGAATCTTGCTTAAAGGATTTGGAAAGATTTAGTCTTACCCCAGTCATGATCCTTTTATGCATTTATCTATTTTAACGTATGAGCTTACTACAATCTGCAAATTTCTTTATTTGATCTGATGGAATAAACAAGATTGCTTTTACAGGAGAAATTTCAAAATTGTTCTAAATCATCCTCAAACCGGACCGGTCCGGTAGAGTTTTATTCAAAACAACACAACACATTCTAGATTGAACTAAAAGATGAAATGCGATGGACATCCAAACCCTAGATTTAAAAAAAGATTAATTTGATTAGTTTTAACAAACATTCGCAAGAACAAACAATTAAGATACAAACTCAATTAATTAACAACGCAGCACCAATATCCTTCAACTGAACAAAAGATTCCTAATAAAATCAAACTTCAAGTCCTTCCCCTCTCACTTATCCTATTGAAGAATATAAGAAGTCTTTTTACCGTAGCCTGTGCTCCAGAGAGCAAAATTGCGTACGAGGATTGAATTGGATTCTTGGCATAATTATCACAGATCTGTGTAATTATGCAAGAAAAAGCGGTCATATTGCAAGAGACGGTCGTGGCCGTGCGATATAAATCATTGAAGATGCTGCTGAGCTAAGCATTTTCGAAAACTCCGTTGTGACCAAAACTACTAAAACACAGCATATTGAAGGAGTTGTGTGAGTGTGTGAGAAGGGAGAACCGCAGGATAGGCTGTACGCCGGATTCTGTAAATCTTGCAATGAGTATAATATAAATACGAGGATAAAACTCAGAAACAAAGCAAAACGGCGATAAGAATCCAATGCTATGAGATGACTTGTTCAAAATAAGTTTAATCAAACGAATACTAATATTTCACCCGGGCATCGGGGCTTCATCAAAGTAAGTGAAACGAACCACGTAATTGAAAGGGTTGTCGGATCACTGTGATTGGGGGTGAATCTACAGCAGGAATCGAAGTTGAATTTACTTGTAAATCAGTGGAGTCGATTTGTATCGAGTAGAACGTTCAGTTTTGCATGGTAGAAGACTGTTATTTACTAGCTAGAATGTGGAATTGTTTAGCTAGAATTGCTAAAGATTTATGAAACATTAAAAATATGTTAAGATAAGGTTGTCTACCTAAGTGGAATAAATTTTGGGCGCAAGGAAGGTTACTAGGCAGTGTTTGGCCTGGGCAACAATATTCTAGGCGTCAAAGTCTTTCAGGCGTCATTGTGAAACGGTCCAACTTTGAATATGAATAAAAAAACTCTGAATATGCATTCGTTTCTTTTCGCTATTTGAATTTGTGAATTGTTACACACTCTGTTTACGCAATTGCTCACTTTTGTCATGTAGATGCCGCATATTTTACGTATAATTAATTTTCCCAGAGATCCTGGGAAAACGCTTATACACGATTTTGCTCTCGGTTACACACATCCCAATGGTCCTTTATACAGGATGAGCTAATATGCGGGGTAACAGGGTAACAATTTTTTTCGCATAAAATAAATATATGGTATCGTAATCAGACCCCTCTCCTTCATGGTTCTAATCAACTAATGTTTCAATATTAAAGCGCAAGTAACTTGAACAAGCTACCAAACAAAATTATAAATTAATAAAATTACCACAAATACAAAACTGTTGTTTACAACTATGTTAGAAAAAGAACCTTTAATAATTAATAATATTTTATCTTTAATGACCATCAATTCATCATATTTTACTTAGCTTTTTAAATTATATCATGTATTGACTTGATGCTTAGGTTTTTACCATTAATTTTTGTAGGCTTGTAATTTTTTAGCGCACAACGAAATCCAGGTTTGAGCAGGGGGGGGGGAGGGGGGCAAAACGAATGAAAAGGGCACAAAGATGTTTTTCAGAAACATTTTTAAGTGCCAAAAATGGTACAGCTTTCATGGTAATTTAGACATTTATAAAAAGAATAAAACACATTGCACATAGTGAGAACTGAAGGAATTTTCTAATTTTTGTCTCTATCTCCTTTAAAGCGAATTCCAGTTCAGTCTTTATGAATATTCAAAGCTGATCCTAGCAATTTTTACATTTTTTACAATCAAGGGGGAGGACGCCGGAATATCCTGTAAGAAATGGGAGAACTTCAATCGGTTGCCGCGCCATTTTTAAGCGGATTTGTATCCTGAGGACTCTAGTCCCCTGTGCTTGTGCACCCTGTGCAGTTTTCTGTGGTCGAAAGATTTCGTCATTAATTTTAAGATGCGCAAGAATGGAGAGAAATTATTGTTCAGATGATTGAGAAGATTTCTCGGATTAGAAGGTAAATCTTGTTTTTTTAACTGGTGACTTGGCACTACATCTACAGTATTTGACTGAAGGCTCTAACTGTCCTTTCTTAGCACACTCCGATTAGGCCCTTATTAGCCCTTAGCACCTCTTCAATCAGAATTATGTCGATTCTAATGTCCTTTTTCATAACATCCATGGTAGTATTTTGCCAGAGATTCTAGCTCTAATATTTGGCTGGAATTCTTCCGTTTCGGGAATTCTCAAGGTAAGGACATAACCTCTTCCATTTTCTTTAAAGCTGACTTCGTGAGATCTATTTTAGTTTTGGTATACTTCCTTCAAATAAAGTATTAAAGAGCCGCGTCCGAGTGTTTTTCATTTGAAATAAGCTTCAAGATGCTTCTATTATTTACTGTCACACACACCTTTAGTAAAAGCAGCTCGCAATAGCTTTTCATTGCAGGCATCAAAATTGGCCTGTTACACTTCTGGCTCCCCCAACCTATAAAGAATATTTAAAGAACTCTAGGGGGGCTAAGTATCAAATTTAGTGATGTAGGAGGACCATGGCTGTCAAAAATAATGGATGCATGTTATAGACCAAGAAACCTAATGATACAGTGCCAGACCAACGTCCATGGCAAAGAAAAAGCCCGAAATATAGTCTCCTTTTATCAAAACCCCCAGTTTTTTCAATATGAAAGGTTAAAATCTTTATTCTGTACTTACATGAAAAGGTGCTCATTCCTTCAATGCTTACATTTTAGGACCTGAAGTAACACAGTGAAAAACAGAAGCCTATGAATCCTGTGTGATCCTACTAACACTGTGTTACTGATCAGAAGGAAGGCAACATAGCAGAATGTTTGAAATATGAATGAAAAACAGGAATCCAGCAAAGTAAAACAAGACAATCTGCATTGGCACAAAAGTCTGTTGAAATCCTTAGAAGATGCAGGATTTCCCAAGGATAGAGCGTGAGTAATTTTTATTTCTTCTCAGAAGAAGTGGTGGCAATATAGTGTACTTCCCCCATGCAAATAACTAATGACTTACATTTAAGTTTATAATGGCACAGACAGGGCTTACAGACCAGGAATGTTGACCAAGTTGTCTTTTTTAATAATTTTTTATGAAATCAAAGTTAAACTTCTTGGAGCTGGGAGGTGCTTTTTGTGAATCAATTGCTGTTAAATAGAGGCATTAAGAATGCATTTAGTTTCTAACATTATCAGGCTATTCTTTTGAGTGATTGGAGGAAAGGTTTATACAAAGGCAAAATAATTGGGGGGTATAGGATGTTGGCTTTCCCCTGAAAATACTTTAAAACTATGCCCTTGAAATGCAAGAAATCTTTAATTATGCAAAGATTTGTCAGCAATTATGAGCATCAAAAGTTTCTTGTAATATAGCAGCTCAAGTTAAGAGCAGCAAAATCTTTAAACCCATTCTTCCTTTTTTACATCATACATCAATTGAAGTATCAGCATTTGTCAAATTCTCACAATGTATTAAGGCTTTATTTGCAATGAAAATGAACTCCAAAAAATGTCAAAACAATCTCTAACTTAAGCAATAAAATTGATACAAAATCTCATACATTCAAATCACAATAAATTTCAAGTTATTGCATAGGTGAATATCCAGAAGGGAATGCAAATACTAATAATATGCAGCAACAAAAATTTCCTCTTGCCTAAACATAAGTTTTTCAAAATTGGTTGTTTTCCCATGCAATGCCTTTGACAAATGGAACATTTCACTTGACAATGTGCAGCATTGAAATTCAGTTGAAATCCAGTATATTTGTCCTCTATATATCTGTCCTGTATCGTTATTGACAGAGCATTTCTTAGTAAAAGTTCAATTTGACTCATTGAAAGTAAATGGGCAGAAATTTGTAGTGGCATGTTCTGTTCATTTTTCCACTAAACACAAAGCACTAGTCAAATGCATATATGTGCAGACCAAGTTTTGATGACATTTCCTCCAATTTATTATCAAAATGATACATCAAAGTGTTCAGTAGAATATTTAGCAAGCTGTTCAGTGCATGCTCAGTGAAATGTGTAGTTCATTCATCCAGGGCTCTTTTAAACACAACATCCCATCCTGAGGAACATTCTTTCACTAAATTTGGGACAAGGGCAATATAACACAATAAACAGTCAAAGCAACTATATTGTAGCCTGCATGCAGACTCAAAATTTTCTACCTGAAATTGTAGAGTCTGCGCAACAAAGTCAAAAAGCTTGGCCAGCCTCACTTATATTTGATGAGCCGCAGTTTAAAGCCAACACCCACATAAAGTTTTTTGTTTTTGTCAGTTGTTTTCCTTTGAGCGGTGTTGGTTAAATTCTGGACGCAAACTGATGAAAGAGCCTGTACGTAGGCTACTGTATTGTGCACTTCCTACATCATTGTATGGTGTTTATACTGCATCACTTTTCTTATTTGCATGGCAAGGTGTCTCTTATGTGAAATTTCAATTTATACAGTTTCCAGTCAGCCTAGAACGCATTATAAAATTAAGCTTTAATCCTTGGGGGCAATCAAATTGAACAAAACACTACCTTGCATTCAAAATAGACAATATGAGGTTTCATGTAAGCAAGCATTTTATATAGATCCAAGGAATAAACAAAAAAGATTGGCAAGTTAAATTTGGAAGATACCAGAGTCAGAAAGAAACCTCACCATATTCCCATTTCATGGTTAGTTTTAAAGAAAATAAGAGGATGGGTCCTAAAACATTTGAAGTGCAGCAGTGGTTTAATAGGCAAAATCAATCAGCACCCAAAACCATCATCCTTGTGAAAGAAATCAACTCAAAGCTATCACATCACTAAGGCTCAAAACCTGTTATGTACTGTGAGGCAAGAAGCTAAAAGAATAAACCAAAGTGAAATTAATATACCAATAAGCATGCTAGCAACTATGAGATAAATGAACCACAATATCCCAAAATTTTCATTATGCAGTTATTGTTAGCAGCTGTAGCTGGCTTTTAATGAGTTCTGTGTGATATGTTGCATTTCATATGTAAGTTTTTGCTTTGAGCGATTATGATATTATATATCTTATATCTCTATCAAGGCTCTCAGATTATAGAAATGTTCTTTAGTTCCAGTTTTTTTCATTGTTTAGGACATATAAATAATATTTGTCTGCTATTTTTCTAATTTGCTAATTATCAGGTAAAATAGCAGAATTACTGAGAAAAATGGCGAATTATTTGTGATTTAATAAATTTTGTACTCTAATGTCATGACTATCAGTTACCATGTTAAAATTATTGATTATACTTTATTGAAGAACATCAACAACCTTTCAATGACTGATAAATCCTTTAAATTTTTTGCCACAGTGAAAGAGCCATAATTGCATCAGGACAAAAAGATGCCCAAACAGCTATTCGATGGTGTGTGGATAATGGTTTTACCTTGTTTTTATAAAGGGATCAGATGTGTTGAAATATACTTGAAAACCTTGAATTTCATATTTCTCGTTTTCTGGGTTGCTTATCTCATATTTTCGTTATTTGTTTCATCTTGTGACAGTTTCTTATTTAATAATTAGAGAATATTTCTCTAAAGATCCTCATGACAAACAATTATTGTGAGATCTGTATAATACTTCTCAACAAAGCCAACATAAACTATTTAAGACCAAAATTTCTCTTAAAATAAACTAAGACCTTAAAAGTAAGTAAAAGGCATGATAACATTTGTTAGTGAAGAAATGATGCAAAAATATTTAAGAAACCAAGTTTTCTTGGGATCTGAATATTTATTACGACTCTAATCCATTTTGAAATGAGTGTTTACTTGACACATGTTCAAATCAAACTGCTTTTTCTCCTGAATACTTATTTTCAAACTTCATCAGAGTCATTCAAATTTAAATTTTTAAAAATTTCTTTACATGACAGAAAATACTAAAATCTTGCATGCTAATACTAGAGTTACTAGAGTTTATGCTTTATTGTTATTTTTAGTTTCCTTTTGGTGCAAACTACATGGTATTTAAAGTCAAGTTCTGAATGCACCTTGTTTTTTCTCAGGTTGAAGTACCACAGAGATGATCCCTCGGTGCTGGAACAACCGTACAGGCAGTTTATTCTCTTTCTATCCCCAAAAGGGCCTTTTTGTGACAACCTTAATAGGTTCTGGTCATCATCTTTAAAACAATGTGGTCGTAATGCAATTCATGAGTGTTTTCCACACATTACTCTTACAAGATTTTTTCAGGTTTGTAATTTTATATTCATATGATAAACGAGGTATTTCAAGGATATATTTGATACTTCAAAAGAGTGTATTGTAAAGAGTCAGGGAAAAACTTGTCATTTTAAAGTGCATGAGATGGCAAAACAGACTTGCATGACAAAAATGTGACTATTAATTACTCTTTGAATGAAAAAAGAATTAGAACTGCGATAAAAAACTTATAAGGAGGCACGTTTTTCCAAGGGTATTAAGAGGGCTATTAAGCAAAAATACTAATGGCCACAGCATATTCGTCTACGTACAATATGATTCGTAAAAATTTTCCTAAAAATCAGATATATCAGCAAAGGAAATAGAAGAGAAAAAGCCGCTGAAGTGACTGGTTCCTTGCGCTTGCCCCACCACTCAGAAGTCCCAATTTCTGCCACTGCCTTTTTTGAAAAAATTGTTACTTTCTGAAACTTTTATATTTTCACCACTTTTTATATATGTTTACAGCTACACAAAGCAAAGTATGAAATACAACTGCTTTGTTGCTTTTTCAAAACCATCCATATGCTTAAATTGCATATTCACGTTCTCGTTTTAATCTACTCTCACTTTCGTCCCTTTGAAATTTCATTTTCAATTGCATCCTTTTTCAAAGCAAACTTTAAAAGGACTACTTTAGGGCTCTAGTGGCAACTGCAATCTTAAGCTGGTCGTTTCTCTGTGTGTTGCAAAAAGTCTTTCGCGGAAAAACGGATTCGCAAGGTGATCAACGGTCCTAAAACAAAAGGCTAGATCTTAGAAGACGGGGCAATAAATCGTCCAGAACTCCCAGTAAAAACTGAAGAGAAAGGTCCTGAAATTAAGAAATATAATGTTTAAATTTAAAAGTGTAAAAATTTAGATTTTGCGATTTAACGAGTGAAACATAGCCTTTACTTTTGCGATATCTCGCTCAGGCAACGGCCCTTTACATGTGCCTCTGGGAAGGGACTGTTTGAGTTATTATATTTTCAATCTGTACACATCCTCTCTAAGACAGTATGCTAAAGCAGATTTGATTAGCTGTTCGATAGGGGTTAAACATTCAGCTATTGAAAGATAATTACAGTTGCTTTCATTACAAATTGAACTTGCAAACAACCCTCAGTACTCTTTGATACGATCATTGTCCATAGACATTCTGGAATCACTGTCAAGCTGTAACTTTGTCAAATTTCTTTTTACCCAGAGAGTTGTTAAAACCGCTTATTCTAATTGCATTTATGTACATGAGGAGCGAACTAATGACATTAAAAAGAGCTCAACAATGCAATTCTCTTAAATATTTTTTATTTTTACTTCTTAAAAATGCTTGTTTACATAGCTGTGTAATGAAATTGCAAACTTTTGAACATAAAAATTCCTGGCTTACACATCTCACATTGTGATACAAAATGCTTGTGCAGATTGTTTCTATTTTGATCTTCTTTGTGGAATTCAACTGCCAACAGAATATTTTTAGAGGCTGCAATATCTTTAATCAAAACAACAGAAACCTCGATTTAAACATACGACAATGCAGCTACCTCTTGGTTTTGTTTCATTTTTTGCCATTAATTTGTTACTTATAATGTTTTATTTATTGCTAAATATAAATGATATAAATGTTGTTGATATAAACATTAAATAATATTTGTTTAATATAAATATTGTGATTGCTATTTATGGAGGGAACTCGACGAATTTATGTCTTCTCCCTTCGTATATGACACCAATGCCTAATTTAAAGTTTATATCTTGTTATAAAAAACAACTCCTGTTCCTCTAAAAAACCTGTTACACAAAAACCTGTTCCTCTTTTTAGAATGTATGCAGACATTGCAACCAAATCTAAAAGAATGCCGTGATGGCCTAAAATGTTTGATTTATTTGATTTTGCCGTTTCCACGACAGTTCTCTTTCGTCGTTACTGTCTGTATTTGCCTCTTTACTGACATCGTTCATGAGTATCTTGCGACAAGGAGATTGATTGTTTTATATAGACTTATTTTGGGAATCTTGAATTGGTTACAGTTTTGTTTCTTAGTCTGTCCAATGATCTTCATATTAGAGCTGCTCTTATTACGACATACACTGCTGTTTGCGGTACAAGATAACACAGTAAACGAGCTTATTTTAATAGTGATTATCGTACATCTGATAGTGTACTGCTCTTATACGATATCTTCTTCCAGCCAAATCCACAAGGGTCATACACAAATGACGTCCTTGCAGAGGTGGAGGGGTGTTTACGGTTTTGGTGATGGAGGTGACACTTTGAGAGGAGGAGGGGAGGGAGGGAGGGGGGGGGGGTTTCCAGCTTTGATGGTGGCACCTTGGTGAAAATGGGATCATCTCTTCTAAGGAAAATTGCATTGTGTTATATTTATAAGGACTCAGACTCGAGTTGCTATTCACATTAAGGAAGGGTTAGTACGTAGCAACAGGTTTATTTCCAACAGAACTTGAAGGTACAGAAACACTCTTTTCGAAGTCTTCATCAAAGCTGCTTTATGATTCCTCAGGACGGCTACCCTCATGATCCTAGCATAACCTTTTATTGTTCACACATTCCTTATTTTCATGTAAAATTATTATCCATCAAAAATCGAAACGCTCTACAGTCATTGTGGTTGCCTTTAAGACAAAAAATGTGCTATTTTACCTACCGATAGACGATTTTACTGACAAAGTGAAGATTTTGTAGACCATTTTAAGATTCACTGACCAACTCATCGAGAACTTGAGGGTGTCACACTCCATAAAATCCGCTGCTGGCTATGCCCCTGTCTACAATTTTCTAAATCACACCCGACTTTGATACGTAGAACTTTTATCTTTTGAAATATAAAGTAGATATTTAGCTGGTGTATTAATGATTTTTACATTCTGAGTTTTTGACAGAAAGTCCAGTCATTCCGGGAAATTTCGCCGAGCAAACTAAGAATGCTAAAATTTGTTTAAAAAATGTTCATTTATCGCAACATATAATGTTCGCAACTTTTTGAAAAACAATTTTTGCAACATTGAATTCTTAATATGCTTTTTTGTATGCGAATTGATAAATATGCTTTTTTGTTTTGCCCTTTTTTCAAATGAATATTCAGCAAGAGGGGGGGGGGGGTAGTGTGAGAAGTGACATCACTGGCAATGTATAATACAAGGGGGTCAGAAAGCTGGTGACAAATTGACAGGGGGAGGGGTGTTAAAAATCTTCAAATTTAGGTGACGCCGTTTATGTATGACCCCTTTAGGATGACAGAAATCTGCAGATTTTACATTAGAAAGTATTTATGAATTATCGTTCATATATTTAAAGTAGAATTGTGAATGACAGACATATTTTTTTCAAATGAATTTCCCAATGTTTTCATATATTCTTAGTAAGTTCATGGTTCTTCATGTTTTATTCTTTTAATTCATAGGTAGAAGATTTTAGAGTACCTCCACTGCTGGATTTTCTTGAAAATATAACAGAAAAAATGCTGCAAAGGATGCCCAGTTTGAAGTTATTTCCACACAAAAGCAAGGGGTATATGGCGCTCTTTTTAGAAGAATCAGCTAGCAATTGGTTATCAGATTTAGTTAAAAGCTTTTCAGAAAGGGTTCATGCATCGTTAGGTGAGATGAGGTTTTTTCATTGACTTTGTTATTGATTTCTTTATTTCATCATGAAAATTTGTTTATTTCTTCCTTACACCAGTTATTAGTTGAACGCGTTCAATTCAAAACGAGAAAAAATTGTTTGAATAATTGAGTCAACAAACTCCGCCTGCCTTTCTACTTATCCCCTTCCCCTTTGCCTCGACAGGGCCTTGCTACAGTTCTCTAGGGTTCCCCAAACATCCATAACTAAAAACAGTATATTAGCTTACGTTTGATTGATGTATTATTACTCATAAAGATAGCCCTAAAGGTCTTGCTTACGCTTTCCTACTTTTAATTTTAGGTATAACGGCTCCAATTCATAGTGGACAGTTCCATTTGACACTGGCCTATCAGTTTGACGAGAGCAAGCAGAATATTTTGGAACAGCTTGTGAAGAATATTGATCTGGATTTGCCATCTGATTGGGAGTTGCAAGTTTTTTCAAGAGATGTACGCACCGCAAAGTCAAGACAGGTAGAATAGATTTTTTCAAAAAGATGTGCATTTTTAATTAGAACATTGTTTTACTGCCGTCGAGATTAACGAAAGAGAGTTAGGATTTATGTGACATGCCTCAAGCTCTGCCAACTGTCTATGAACATCTCCCTCTAGTTGTTGTCATATTTTGAATAGCTTTTGCCTGTGTTCTGTCTGAATTGAGCATCTTCCGGGCTCATTGCCAGTCTCACTACATTTGAAGGGGTCTTCTTTCAGATAACATTTTTCGAGTGATAGCCCGCAGGAAGTACTAGTAAAACATTCTAATGATGGCGGTTTCAGATTGTTTAAAGCGTAGGATTAATCAGGAAAATCCTAACTTGGGATAAGTCAATGCTTCTTTTCTGTTGTATAGTTTCGTGCAGTCGTGCATCCATATGCTGCAGAGTCAAAGGGAGAAATATCAATGATCCATGGTCAGCATATTATTCTTGATAATGAGCAAGATGGATACAAGGGTTGGTTGAAAGGCACTTTACACGAGACTGGAAAATCCGGACTGTTTCCAGCCAACTACACCGAAAGATCTTTAGAATGGAAGTGCTGGACGTTACATTGGTAAGTTATATTGATGAAAATGGTGAAATTTTTCAAAAGAAGTCACGTGCAGCAAACACTCTTTTACAAGGACCTTGTTTTTAAGAGCCTTTAGGTTGAAGTTTTGGAAATAGATCTCCCCTCTGATAAAACCCAATTAGCTTGAAAATTCGCTGAAATTTGCTGCGGTCCGGAGTTTAAGAATGGCTGCTTTAAGGTCTAAATGCTCTGTATTTTAGTTTTTTTTCTCCAAAGCAGTTTTCTGTAGCTCCTTCGGTTTGTTGATAATTTAAATGAAACTGAGTTGGATACTTAAAAGGTGAAATTTTGTCAGTTAAATTTCATTCTTTGCTTAGTTTGAGTTTTCCTGTTTTTGTTTTTGTTTTCAGAGGTAGTCAGTTATAAATTCAACCTTTTTGTCAAACCCTGCAATGTGGTCATTAGTCAACAGTGTCCAGTTTGCCTTTTATTACCAAGACTTGGTATTCTTATAGCCGAATTTCAATTTTAGGTCTAGGAAGCTGCTACAAGATAAACAGGGAGAACGATCGGTCGATGCACGGAGCTACCCAACTCACGAACATGTCCAATTAAAGGCAATACCTTCAGATAAAGGGGGAAAGGCTGCACAACCTGCCTCAATGACGGGGTCGACTAAACATTTAGAGAATCCTTTGCGGAGTTCAGGCAGCGTAAGCATGCAGAAAAATGTTGTACAACAAGCGTCTTTGTCAAAGGCGAATTCTCTTCCCAGATCATTCAAGAAATCAAAGCCGCATCAGCAAACGCCGCATCAGCAAACGCCGCATCAGCAAACGCCGCATTTATATAAGCAACCAATGCAGCGAGCTCTGCGTCGAATTTTCGTTATAAGGCATGGCGAAAGAGTCGATGTTACATTTGGGCATTCATGGATTACCCAGTTTTTTGACGAAAAAGGTAGCTATCATCGTCGAAACTTGAACATGCCTAAGCGTTTGCCTAATCGCAGTGAAGGCCCACAGTCTTTCGTGCAAGACTCGCCCATCACAGAAATTGGGGCTTGTCAAGCACGACTTACTGGCGAGTCCCTTTTTGCGCATGGGATAAACATAACGAGAGTATTCTCATCGCCCGCGTTTCGCTGCATTCAAACCGCAGATGCTATCATGGACGCCCTGAATATTAAAGGCAAAGTCAAGATACGAAAGGAGCCTGGGCTCTATGAATGGCTTGGTTGGTGCAAGGGTAAGCTTCCCCGTTGGTTATCACAGGAAGAGCTGTTGACTTTTGGGATTAATATGGACACGAAATATGAGCAATTTATGACAGCTGACAACTTTCAAGTGACTGAGTCTACCGAACAATTTTATTATCGATCTCATAATGTCATGAAATGGATTCTTGATCACACTGGTAATGGCGACGAGAATATTTTGATTGTTGGTCATTCAGCATCGCTTGATGCATGCACCCGACAGTTGACCGGGCACCCTCCTCGTGTTCCAGAAAATTTCATTAAGATTGTACGTAAAGTTCCATACTGCGGCGTAAGTGTTATCGAAGAGACAAAGCCGGGCCATTGGTCATTGGTCCAACCACCAATTCCATCGCTTGTCCATAACGGCAACAGTAAAACGGATTGGAAGATGTTGCTGGAATCTGATGCCAAGGAACCATTAGCCGTTTAAATTTTTTAATGTAATCTTTGTAATCTAATTTTCGAATTTTTTTATATTGCAACGTTTTATTTATAAAACGGTAATTTATATACGTATTTTCAACATTTGAAACCCTTCAAACGTTTTTTTACTTGTCGTTCTTTATGTGACTACATTCATTGACAAAAGCAATCGAAAATGCGTCAAGGAAAATATTTCAGCTGAGCTCAAGTACGAAGCTCATAGTGTTGGTATCCTCTCTCGAATTGGACGTTTATCCTCTTCCTTGCAGCCTCAGTGACCAAGTCTAAGTGACCCAGTCTGTATACTCGCTAGACTACATCGTGGGAAGTACATCTCTAGACAAATTGGCAAACTTTTATAGTAGTTTTCACCCATAATCTTTGATGCCACTACATGAATATCAAAGTTACCGATATTTTTATATTTACAGTATGAACAGATGTGATTAGTTAAAGTTACAGTAAAAACAAATATTTTTAGACTTTTTGTTATAAAAGCTATTTATTTTACTATTTTGATAATTCAGTTCATTACTATTTTGAATTATACAGTTCGTTAGATAGAGGACCTTGATGAAAAGCACTCTCAAGTGATTAAGGCTTCCTCTGTAAATAACCCTATTATCACTATTATCACTATTATTATCATTATTCTAGTTCAGCAAAAAAGTAAGGGGGCTATAGCCCTGCAGTCCCCCCCCCCTCCTCTGGCTCCGGCGTTGCTGATAAGGATTTCGAAATTGCCTTCTGCTTTAGCCATACAAATTTTTCTGAATGTTAAAGCTCAATGGACATCTCATAAACTGGACATTGATTTTGCTCGTAAATTTGGTGCCTCTGATCCCCGTCTGACATCATACAACCGAGTATCGAGAAATGGGGTGTTAAAGGATCTATTTTCCAAAGAAAGTCTGCCCTTTTTGGCATTAATTGTTGAATCTCATACAAATGTAAAGAAAAACCTGAAAATATTTATTAAATCTTGGGTTTTTATGCTATTGTATATTCGTGTAAAACAAAAAATCCAATATATTTTTTGATTAAATTCCCTGAGTTACATTTGCGACAAAGAGTTTATTTGAGTCAAATGATCCAAATTAGAGTGGGCGTTTAAAAGAACAGGGCGTAGGACAGAGCTTTTATCGCACGTGTCCCCTGAATTCTTCTTGTTTCAGGCTCTTCATTCATGGATTTTGCTCGTCCTTTTACTGACACTACATTGTGCTGCATACTGTCAGTGTTCTCATTTTGCTTCGTGCAATTTTTTTAAACTCGCACGAAAATTTCCTCAGATTTCGGAAAATTCCTTAGATTTATGTAAACCTGCCTTTGTGTAAAAGATATAGTCAAAACAACTTTGGTCATTTTACAAAAATATCAAATTGAGTTATTTGTATACATAAAATCCAAAAATTTCGGACCAAAATTCGTATGTAACTTTATTCGTCCAAAATCTAAGTTGGTTCGTCCGAAAGTTTTATCTAACAGTTATTTTTCCGAAATTCGCGAAAAATTTTTAAAGACCTATTTGATGACTCATATCCTTTATCATATCCTTGACCCATATAATTTACTTTTGATTCAATGTTGTGTTTAGTTGGAAATGTATAATTTTCCTTTATCTTAAAAGAGTATAAAAAATTCTCAAAATTTTGAAAATTCCTTAAAATTTCTTTAACAATTGAAATTCCTTAAAAAGTTCCTTAAAAAGTTAAAAAATTCCTTATGTCAAGAAAATTTCCTTAAAAGTGAAAACACCGCATACAGTTGTTGTCATACAGTTCTTGCCATGCGTACAACTCTATTTCAATTGATTTCAATGCTGCATACACGGAGGACCCTACGTGCAATCAAAATGGCTTCCAGACTGGTACAGTATGTGGTTGTGAGAAGGGACTTAATGGATACTCTAAACTGGCCAACTGGGGCTGTGATTGCACAGGCATGTCACGCATGCATAGCTGCAATTCATGTGTTTTATTCCGAGGAGTCGACAAAAGAGTATTTGAAAGATCTACAGTCAATGCACAAAGTTGTTCTAGAGGTTGGTCTACTACTAGTCTCTAGCTTTTTCTTCAATTCTTTGAAAACATTCACAACAAAATCAGGCCTGAACATTTTAAAGACTCTGGAGTGAAATGACCAAAATTATAGAAATTTGTTCTTCCTATAAGGAATATATGCTCTTCGAATTGCCGACGCCCAATTTCCTACCTTTACCCGTATCAGCTACTTTTTTGTTAGACGTATACAGCCAACACGTGAGCATTACCGAACTAAAATTGGTTTCTAAATTTATGGATTTTAATAAGTTTACACCTTTTTTCATTCCAAAGTATTGGATTGTTACTCTTCTAAACCCATTTCTTGGCTTATCCACAGGCGAAGGACCAAGAATCACTGTCAACATTATCAAGGACTTTGACAGATAATGACGTTGATCACAAATTATGGGTTGAACAGCCTGAGAATTTTCCAACATGTATTGCAACTAGACCTTATCCAAAGGATGCGATTCAAATCCACTTCAAGAAATTTAAATTATTTAAGTAGTTGCTATAGTAATGTTAACATTTTATGGTGCCACCATGCTATCAAATATCAATTTTTAGATGCCTGTTTATGGATTTCCATAGCTCTTAGTGTCTAATCCAAAATCCATGGGTATATGATTGGTTACATGACAAGGAAAGTGGCAATTGCACTCAAGACTATAAAGGACTTGCTTGGGGCTTGGATGACAAAGGGTTTTAAATACCAACTTTGATGATAGTTCTATCAATTAGAAGTAGTGCATGAAGTAATAGAACCAGATGAAACCTGCTTTTACCTGTAAAATATTCAGTGGCTGAATATTCACATGTTACAAATTCACTGACATGTCGACTCTCCCAGTTTTGTCAGGATACTCCAAGTTTTGCTTAATTTCTCCTGTTATTTGAAATCTGCTCAGTGTTTTCCCCTTTCCCAACTTTCTTAATGACAACAATTTTTTTAAAATGCCTATGAATTATCAAAAAAGACTTAAAATTATTAATTGTTTCTCATGATTAATCTTGTGATACACTGTTTGCACAGCATAGTGTTTTACTGGTATGTTGTTTGTACAGTTTCAGCAAATTCCAGTGATCTCCCAGTTTTTGGTAAAATCTCAATTTTTCTTAAAAAAATTAAAATGTACAGGTTTGAAAATTTTAAAGTGATTTTAAAGGGAGTTTGCGTGTTTGCAAATTCTTTGAATACTTGATCCAAAACAGTATATTTATTTTTAACACATCTACTGAAAGTTTAGAAGCTGTTTTTTGATAATTTCTTAAGTGTAAATAGATATATTCAAAACGCCAAGCTCATATATAGTAGTAAGTTTTAGGTGATATAAAGAGAAAGCAACACCAAAAATAAACATGATGTAAATAACAAGACTCTAAAAGTGAATCTAATAAAATTTTATGCATATCTTAGAAGATAAACTTAACTGGTGTTGATAATGTCACAGTAATTAAAAGCTGAATGAGTAGTTTCGATTGTTTAAAATAATTTAAAAAGATATTGCATAATACCTTTATTTAAAACAGTCCAGAAAACAGAGAGATAATACAAAACCCCTTTTTGCACGACATAATAGTTCATATTTTTTAAATCTTGTGGTACCAAAAGCTTTTATGCTTGAGTTGGGCAACTAAAAGGTTGAATGTTGGCTTTATAAATGTGTTATTGGAAAGCAGCATCACTTACTCAAAGTGCTGGTGGCAATAATTTATCAGAAATTTCGGGTTTGGCATTAATAGACTTAAAATGCAAGTAGATTTTGGTTGGCTATAATATCAAATATATCACAAGCCACAACTAGGTCCCAAAATATTGAGATAATTTTTCTCTTAGTTCCAAAATGTTGAGTGTCTAATTGCAGTTTCAAAGTTACTTCCAGTATTAGGAAATAATGTATCTAAATATAGAATACACAATAAATTGCAGTTTATGATTTTGTTTACAATACAACAGTTCAGTACTTGTTAATTCCAAATAGCCGGACCTTGTACAGTTGAGGCAACTTTGGTATTACTGCAAGTGCAAGCGTGCTGAAATTTAGAATAAAGTGCCATTGGCTGTAACCAGAGTAGAAGCTTGCCAATATGAACCTTTGTAAAGAGATACAAGAGAGTCAATAATACTGCATTGACTAAATTAACTGCTGTTTACTAAAATTTGAAACTGAATGAGAGGAACATCAGACAATTATCAATTTTTGTACTAAAAGGCACAACATAATATTTTCATATAAAAATCATTTATATTCAAATTCACAATCCAAGAAAGGGCAAGCTTTAAGCCATGCGTGGTTACAAGGCAAATGCTACAAAAAAGTGAACAGTGGAAGCACAAGATTTGTTCAAGCTTGTCTTAAAAACTGAAGGTGAGCAAATTTGTTCAAAACTAACTCCATTTTCGATTTTTTTCACTGGCAACACAAAATTAAAAATGATTCATTCAGCTCAATGGCATGATTTGCAATGGACTAACACATTATTAATTGCCTTTGCTTTTGTTGGTCAAACGGGGGCTGCTTTTGGTTTTCATTTGCTAAAGCTATTTTGTCTGTTTTTTCTCAACTTTGCTGAACAGAGCTGTAACCTTGTCACAGTTCTAAATTCACTAAAACGTTTCTATGTCGCACAGTTACACAAACCTCTCTATGGTTTGTGGAAATTGCTCTTTTTGGAATAAAGACAAATGGGAAGATATCATGAGAGAGCTCGGATAAATGCCTCAAATAAAAAAGGAGAATGAAAATAAATCATCCAAAAACCATCCAAACTTAACAAATCTACATCTACAGCCAATTCGTCGGAATCAGACAGTGATGATAGAATCTAGAAACTTGGCCTTGCGAGGGAAACATAACTATATATACAATGTAGCATTTGTTAAAGTTTTGTTAAGTTTAGCGCTTAAATAGAAAAAACTTTAATGTGCTGTGTTATCAAATAAATTTGAATCCTACACTCCACTGTAATCATGCGAGTTTTTTGCAGGGCACCTTCATTTTTGAACGTGAAAGCCCTGAAAGCCCAGATGTAACAAATCCAAAAACAAACTTTTGTACTTACAGCACAACTGGGACGAACATCAAGAATTTTCTGGTGGTAGTGTACATCTCTCCATGATCAATTTGCTCCCAGTGGGTAAGGGTTCTAGCTTGGCCTTGATCAAATGTTTGGAATGGGGCTCCTTTCACATGGTGGAGCAAGAAATAATTTCCCTGAAATTTGATGAATTTATATATAAAGACAAATCATGTAAGTTTAAAAGCAACATTGAAAGATAATGAAAACATCTAAAAATCCAGTGAGTCCAAAGCTAAGATTCCAAAGGAAAGAAATTTCTAAAGAAAGAAAAATTTTTTAGCAAAATTTTGCTGAGATTCCAAAGGAAAGAAATTTCTAAAGAAAGAAATAATTTTCAGTAAAAACTTTGCTGATCCTATCAGATCAAAAACATTGATACTACAGGTTCAATCTTATAGGCAACTTATTGACAAAAAATGACTATATAAAGGATTTACAGTTCAACTAAGAGCTTCCAATTTTCTCATTTGTAATTAATCAAAGAGAAAAAATAGGAAGTACCTAATCTAAAATAACTTTTTAGCAACAAGTATGAAAAGTAAATAAAATTTCCTCATGCAACTAGCATAGAGTCATTGGAAAATACTCAATTTTAAAAATTTGGTTGACCTTATATATTTCTTACCAGACCACAAGAACTGTCAATCTTTCATAAACATATCAATGTGGCATCCTGGAAAAACCAGAGCCCCATGACTTGACTCCAACATTAGTTTTCCAGCTTAGCAAATAAAATTCATTCAAGCACAAAACTTCATGCAAACTTGCAATATTAATTTTACAGAAATGTCTGTACTGAATGATAAAAAGAATTTAATTGAAATAATGGCAATAGAATATATTTATAGGGCAAACATATTTCACGGAGGAACAATTTTAATCAAGGAAATTGTTGACAAGAGAGATGGACTCATTAAAAATTATATTGCTTTTTAAAAATTGCTTTTAAGGTATTGATTTTGAGATTGAAAATTTCCCTTAATATATTTGTCCACATGTACATATATTTTCGGCCTGTGTAGGACATCATACCTACTCAAAAAATCATTTTTGAGCCCTGTCCAGGCATAGGAATCACAAGGTCTGGTAATATCCGAGCAAGGACCATAACACTACCTGACAAGCATAGCTTCTCCATATCAAAAATGAAAAAAAAAAAAATTTTTTGAGCCCTGTTGATCATAGCTCAAATGCCTTCCCTCCCAGCTGAAAGTGTGCTGTTGATGCCAGCCATGCCAAAATTATACCTGTTTTACAACCTAGTATTTATGTGCCAGTTTTATGAATGTTCCTGCTGTCTTTTTATGCATCCAGCCACTCCATTTGCCACCATATGCATTCCATTCGCATTCCTTGTATTGCCAACATATCAGATTTCATTTGCAGTCGAGCAATATTTTTATAAAAGCCAAAATCAAGGAATGCAAACTGGGTCATGTATATTATACTATTGGCATGAATATATGAGCATCACATGTTGCTCACATGTTGTAGCTAATAGTGTACTGTTGCTGGCAGCAACATGTAGCCAAAATCATATGTTTTCCTACCTGGCAGTAAGACTGAAAAATTGCATTATAAAACCCTAGTTAGGCCTAAATATGGACAGAGTAAAAATATTAGTTTTTTCAATTACCAAATTATGTATGACGTTTGTCATTGTCCAAGCCGTTGCTGTATCAAAGAATGGGACACTCAGCAGCACCAAATGCAAGAAAACTACGAGAATGAAGTACGTCAGCCAAGCTCCTTTTTCACTCAACCAGGTTTCATTTTGATTGTACAGACTATGAATATTATGTTGCTCTTTGGTGGTTTCCATCTCATCGACGTTGCCAAGCAAAATATTACAAGTCTTACTAGGCCTAGGCAAATATGGTGACATTAGAAAGGCTTCAATCTTTTCGTCTACCTGTCTGCATTCACAAATCTAGAAAAAAAAATTTTTCTAGGTATCTGTTCTTTTTAAGCAGTAGCAATATACTCCAAAATGAATGTAGGTTTAGCGATCCCAGGTAAAGACGGAACGAGACTACATGGCCACCGTGTTTTGAACTTCCACTTCACCTGACCTTCACACTATTTTCGGGTCCACTGGTACACTAAAGTTACTGCGCATGCTTATACTTTTTCTTTCACCAAACATTCAACAGGAGGCTGTTTTCAAGAAGAGGCCCGATTATAATGAAAGTTTTGGTGGTGGTGTAACGTAGTCTGTAAATTTTGATGAATGTTTGCTGAAAACAGTCAGAATGATGATCTGGTTCAATGGTCTCGTCGAAGAAGCTGTTCAGAAAGCCCTGAAGGAGAAAAAGATCTTCCTTGTTTATGTTGAGGGTGAGTTTTTGTATCAAAATTTGCCTTGGGATTACGAAAGGTAATTTTGTCTACAATAGCATACCTAACTTTTTGCTGACTGATTCTACAATATACAGTTGTAAAAGATGGAATCTTCCTTCCAAAAACACTTAAATTGTTTTTCTGAAAATAATTTATACTCGGGATTTTGTACATATCCTCGTACTGTAGTGTACAACGCATCACTGTGTGCGCCTTGTTTGTGCCCCAGCCTATCTGTTTACGTGTACAATTACTGACCAAATATTAGATTTGAATCCATATTGTTCTACTCAGATAAGGTTTAGCTTTAATAGAATTGGAGATCCCAATTCCTAAACTTGAAAGATGGCCCACTTTTTGAGGTGTCCAGAAGTATAAACTATGAACATTGACTTGAGTCTAATGCTTGTTATCCTCAAGCCTAAACCAGCATAAACGGATATTTTTAGAGGAGGTACAATGACATACACATGCATAGATGCAACTAAATTTCACATTCAAAAAATTTCAAATCTCAGAACCAATACTTTGTGACTTGGAGTCAATAAAAGCTTTGTTAGAAAGAAAATGAGACAATGATTTTGTTGTATAAAATTTTAGCAGTTAAAATGTTTTGTCAGTGGAACACTTTTGCTTGCATAACACATTTTTGTCACAAATAATGAAAAATTGATATGTAAGCAACAAGTTTTAGTGCTTGAATGAGTTTTATTTGCTAAAGGTTAGAGATGGATCAAAAAGTAACATTGATGTTGAGTCATAAGAGTACTTGGCTCTGATATTTCCAGAATGCCAATCTCTTCTCATTTGTTCCACACAATATTTTTATGACAAAATGCATGCAGGGCAGACAAAATGTATTAAGCTTGTTATTTTCCCATCCACAGTCTTGTATAATAACTTCAATTCTAGGAGTCTTGTTCTAGCATCTAGATGTAAAGTTAGGAACTTGAAAAACCAAGTACCAACAGAGTTTTGTTCATTTCATGGTCTGCCCCACAGGGAATGTCTTTTCCCTTTAATTCTTGCCAGAAGAAGAATATTCTATTAGAATCAGATTATAAGAAAGTGATGAAGAAGACCTTTTATAAGGCTTTTTATTTTGGGCTGAAAAATGCTGACACATGAATTGCCCAGTACAGGCCTTTTTGTTTGATGTGAGCGATCATTTGTATGTCAGCACTCACACAACCCCAACCATGCAAGGGTCTGAATCACAAAACAGTAAATTGTGAGGTATAAATATTTCATGAAAAAACATGTTTCCAGCCATCTTTGTGATCAAAGCAAGTGACATAGCCAGTATATCAAAACATTGAAAACACAATTAAGCTGAATTAACCAAATCTCAATGGAAAAATGCAATTATATATCAAATCCACGGTGAATGTTTAGAAATACTATTGGTGCTTAGTATTTGAACTACATTTGCCCTGGTAGCATCACCTAGGCAGTCAAAGCGTATTTAAAAAAGGTTTGGTACAACACTTAAACCATAATTTGGCAATGATGTCTATATGACCTTTCTGATGAACATAGAATTTATAAATTCAAAACCACATTTATATTGCATTAATAATCGTTGTAACAATTCATTTTTATTTGATATTACCTTGTCCCAAGTTACCCTATAAATATAGATTATTTTGGTTTTTATAAACATTACAAGCCCTTTTAGTGCTGTTGATATTTATTATTAACATTTGTTATCTTTCCCTGGAGCAATTGCTTACACAAGAGAAAACACACAAGTGATAGCCCAATGGATTGGACTTTTTCTTACAAAATGGTCTGCCGGTATATGTTTGTTTACTTATACTTTTAAGCATTTGATCAGTTTGACTGGCTGACTTTTTTAAAGTATTTTTCCCAAATCAGGTGATGATGATGATTCAAAGAAAATGGAAACAACATGGAATGATGAAAAGGTAGAGCTTCGTTTTGTGCAATATTTTCAGATTTTTGGCTGGATACATTTGATAAAACATTTTCCAAATTACTCCTTGAATAGACTTCTGGTAGGCTAAAACAAATGTATGGGCTTTAGGTTTTTATGCTTCGAGGAACCATTGGTATACATTTTATTTGCAGAATTGATGACTGATAATGAGTAGAATATGAAGAAGTATTGCCTCATAAATTTCTAGGAGAACAGAATTATGACTATAACCAGCTCAGAGAATGAGAGGAGCTGGGAGAGTGGGGTTGAATCTGTTGGAAATGTAAAAGTTTCATTGTAATAGTGGTGAATCTGCTACTTATGAGGTTATTGCACAAAGCTTCTAGATGAATAGATCCAGAAGTGATTATGAGCATGGCTCATTAAATCATTGTAAGATTATTCAGCCAAAGTTTTTGATGTGACAGTATTGGTAGATCTCTCATTGTATTTACCAAACTATAGTTATCTGCTGTTCTAAAAATATATTTGTTTTGTATGGGGTGCATCCAAGTATGATTGCACATTATTTTATAATCTTATCATGCTTTCAATTGACAGTGTCTGGAGTTAGAATATAAACTTACATGTTTCAGCTTTTGTTTTATTTCTTTTTGCTGATTTTGAAATTATTTGATAATCAAGAAGAAAAGTATAATATGTGAAAGTTGCTTTGCTACATTCTATCCTCAATCCCAAGTTACTTTCATTCCCACGCCTAGCTCCAAAGCAAGCTACCTCCCTTACCTCTCATCATCATCAAAAATGTATGCACTCTAGTAGTTCCCTTTCATTGCCTGTCCAAACAAAAATCTTTTCTGTAATATTTCTCTCAATTTGATCAATATGAATTTTAGCTAAGAGAATTTTGGACATTTGTATTTTACCAATCCCTAGTTGTTATTTTGGAGCCAATGTTGTGATCACAAAGAAGGTTTTTCACCAAATCACCAATAGCGTGTTTATTATCTGCCCAGGGGAAAGCAATTTGGCATCCTTTAACAGGGAAGCAAAACAAAGGAATGTCAACCCAAAGTCATGTAAAACACTTCCAAAAACAGAGAATATGGCTTTGAATTGGTAGGGCCATCCGAAGTGAAAACCAATGCAACATCCTTTAACTCAGGCCTAATAGTGTTTTTACATATTAAATGTTTTACAAAAACTTACAGGCTCAATTATTACTATCAAAATTACAAGTCATATTTGGTTTTGGATAGGTTTCAACATGTTGTTCCCCTGTCAAGTGTGTTGCTATCAGGATCAAAGCTGGAAGGTATTCTTTTTCTGCCAAATTGTTTTCTTGGAGAAAGATCACATTCATTCTCATTATTCATGTTGTTTTTGGTTTTTGTTGATAACTGTGATCATGCAAAAAAACTTTTGTAGTACTGGCTAGTTGTTCACAACCAATACCCATAATCACATGCATAATACATAAAGTCATTACATTCCATACTTTTGATTCCTTTAGCAGTTTTTGTCATTTATAAAGCTATTTGTACTGACTTGTCATTTGAAAATGTATCCTTGACCTCATTATAAACTTGTGGTTAGCTTACACTTGTGTCATTTGCTTGGAATTCCTCATTAAGCTACTTTGCAGCTAGCTTTGATGCAAGGGTCTTACTTGTCTTAAAATTGGATCTTCAATACCCCAAGCTTTTTTGAGATAAAAGAAATGTTTCGTTCTCCCATCTCTGATAAATTGAGGAAAGATATTGGCACTAATCCAGCACACTTCACCTCAGTTATAAAGCTCATTACATTCTAGTGTCATTTTCTTGTTTCACCTTTAACCAGAATTTTTCATTTTTTCCCATTTTTCACAAAATTGCACAAAAGAAATTGAATTGTTATTTCAAGAAAAAATTTGGTCAACTTACATAATATTTTTTTTAAATCTCATCTATAAATTTTATATGACGGTAAAGAATTTAATTTTATGCTTGTTTTTCAGTTTGCAATGTGAACAATTTGCACAATGCTGTATCCTTTTCTATATGTAGCCTGCTGTAAAAATTGTAACAAGAATGAAGTTTGTCCAGTTATATTTGCATTTGCTTTGCCCTAGCATATCTAGCTTGAAATATTGCTATTGCATAGAATCAGGAATAATAGCATCTGCACTTTTGCAGTATTTCAGGTTTCCGTTTTATATTATCAATTACCTTGACCTCACTGACCAGACCCTCTGCTGTGCATCCCATCAACGTATCTAATAAACGACCATGGTGTTCCAAAGGAAATAATTCCGGGATATTTGGACGTTCCCACTTTTCTGGAAAAAATAACACCTTTGTTTCAGGTAATGAAGTTAAATTTTGCTTTATGATCCATGAGCGTATATTTCTTTTGGTATAGATATTTTAATTACTTATGATCTTAAAGACACCTTTTCATGTTTTCTGCCAAATTTCTTTTTTTGTTGATAGTTTTCTAGCTATATGCAGTAAATACAACATATAATACAACTCTGCCAACACTTTTTGCTAGCAGTGGCCTAGTGCCCTTTCCTATTTGTTTACTTCACGAAAAAGGGATGAATTGCTTTACTAATATTGTGCCAAATTAATGACGTTATAGTGCAATATTACTGACGTTCACACGACATAATGTGATTGATCGTAAAAATTATTGCATTAAAACGTTGATCTCATAGTCAGTATATCACCAATTACATTGATATCTATCAACAACTTTATTGTTAAGGAAACGGGAGATCACAACTACATTAACCCAGAAAATGTCGATTGCACTGGTAGTGAAACAGAAAGTGCACCAACAGCAACAAAAACTGAAGTTGAGAAGGATGCTGCCTCTGAACCAACAGATATTAAGGAAATTGCGTCTCAAAATGATCAAAGTGAGGCAACTTTACAAGACAGAGTGGCACGAGCTGAAAGTCTGATAGCTGAGAAAAGAGACAAAGAGAAACAAGATGAGCTAAAAGTAAGAGTAATTTTTCGCGAAAAAACTCTCTTCGCAAGTTAAGTTCTTGTCAGGTTTAAGTATTAGAATTAAAAAAGGAGAAATCCATAGCATATAATTAGTCAAAGTGTTTTGTTGAACAGGTCTGATGGTTTCTTGGTAATAGTAAATAGATGTACCCAGTTTCTTGTTGGTTAGTTATGTTTTCCTTACTTAATTTTTCATGAATGTGCCTTTATATGCAGGCTTTTTATGCTCATTGATTGCTTGTCATCTGGCTGCATTTTGGTGAATCACGTTATTGGTGCCACGATTCGAACCATCCTTATTGTTTGTTAATTTCCATGTTACGCTACGATCCAGTTTTTCTACCATGTACAGCAAACCTGGATGAAGCTTTCCTTTCGTAAATCTCATTTCATAGAATTTTCAAGAAGACCTTAAGAATGTTCTTCTTCTACAATTATCGAATTTTCATGGAATTTTGCCTTGAAGATTCCAATGTCATTTTCCCGCCCCAATTTCCATTAACTGCTTAGGGCACCTTCTTTGCAAACATTAATTTATGTTCAGTTCAATCAGTTTTTGGAAAAACCTTGTTTGTGTAAGCGATTTATCGCTTTCTTCTTCTTTATGTGTCATGTGCTAAGGCGTTTAAGATCATGTTCTTCCAAACTTCTCTATCTTGACATGCTTGAATGAGATCATTTCCATGTGTCCTTTTAGTACATTCTTTGATGTTGCTCAAATACGTCATTCTCTGTCTGCCTCTTTCTTTTTTACCTTCTATTTTTCGGTTAGCGATAGCATCTTTATGCCTTTTCTCCGCATAACATGTCCCAAGAATGTCATTTTTCTGTTTTTGATGTTCTGTAACAATTTTCTGTTTTTGATGGTATGTAACGATTTATGGCATACATAACCCATTTTGAGCATATTTTGGAAAATACCGATACTTTTTCCTAGGAGGAGAAGAGGAGAAGGAATGAGGGTCACCAATTAGGACTCGCGAAGAAAAATCGAGAAGATATAGAATCAAAGAAGTGGATTGATGAGCAAGCCAAAGCTAAGGCCGATGCAAAGGCAGCTCGGGACGCAGTCAGGCTGAAATTGGAACAAGACAAGGCAGAGAAAAAGGCCAGATACCAAAAGGAAAAAGAAGAAGAAAGAATGAAAAGAGACGTAAGGAGGAGAACGATTGAAGCCCAGAAAGCTCCCAAGCCCAAGGAACAAAGGTCTGCATTATGATCATCCTCTTTATTTCAAGGGTAGCCCTTTATTTTGATATATACAAAGAAATCTGGACATTAGGATTGCTAATCTGCTGTTAAGGTGAAACCTTTTTGCTCCTATAGTTTGAAGAACTAAACAGTTTTTGTTTGTATGATGAAAGAATATATATACTCTATTTGTGACTTGGGTTGTATATTTGTAGGAAAACAACAAGAATTCAATTTCGTTTGTCGAACGGATCGGCCTTAACCAGAGAGTTCCCATCAGATACGAGACTGGTAGATGTTGTCACATCGATTTCGCAAGTAAGATTTGCACTATTTAATTCTTGCTTTATTCGTAGATATCTTGTCTTTATTCGTAGATGGCTTTATTCATAGATAGCACTATAGACAGCAAGTAATAAACGAATTCTTTTGAGCAAACCTTTGGCATTTACTAGGCATGTTATACTGTTTTTTTGAATGCGATTGCATCTATTAGCTCCGCCAGTACTTAAGAGTGTGTTGTAGGCCATACATTTTTCTTGTTCTTTGATAAGGATCTCTGAATCGGCCTTTGTTCTATTAAGTTAAGCAAATCATTTGATTTTTTGAAAGATCCACAAAGAGACTCATTAAGATACGATTTGAGAGTGACCTGTTAGAAAGGTGCAATGATTTTGGGTGAACAAGAACCCCCGAGTAGTTCTATTTTGGCCAAAATGATACTTGTTTTCATGATGCTCATAATTTAGGGTCAGAAATTCGAATTAAATCAAGTTTGAATTTTGGATCTTGCGGTAGATCACAAAATATTTGAGGCGAACTGAGATAACCGTTATCTCAATTTTTTTCAGGACGATATGATTGGCACTTCAAATATCACCTTGGCAACGGTGTATCCCAGACGACAATTCAGCACAAATGAATTGGACTGCACGCTACTCGAATTAAATCTCGTTCCAAGCGCAGCTCTAATTGTTATTTCGGTATGAATTCTTGGAATTTCTTTTTCATGGTAGAAGTTTTAGTTGCTGCATTGTATTTTAGAGGGTAACCGTACATATTTTTTAGCATCGTGACAACATTTGAAGTGATCAGAGTTTACTTTTCATAACTGGGAATTATTTTGCATTTAGAGGCATTTGGAATCCTCTCAACTTTGTATACGAAGAAGCATTTTCACCAACTGCTACACCAGTTGTTGTTTTTGAAAGCAAAGTGATTCATGCTCACAGAATCACTGAATCTAAGATTAATGTGTACCACCAGGTTTACTTATGAAAGGGTCATCAGATTATTAATTAAAAAATAGGACGGAAAAGCAGAAGCAGATCGTACTTGTCGTCCGACACTCGTCAAAGGCTAGCATACTAGAGTATAAACTTCGAATAATGTCAAAGGTTAGCAAATTATATCCAGGCTCAGATCGAAAGTAACATGAGAGGAAGAATGTTGCGTTTCATTCGTTGTCTTGTTTTCAAATGCACCATTCTTCCTCTCACGTTGCTTTCGATCCGTGTCTAGATATAAATATTCTGCTCACCTTTGGACATTATTCGACGCTCCTACTCTGAAGAGTGTCGGGGGGTAAAATCCTTTAGTATGATTCTTTTCCTCTTTTCAGTGCTTTTTCAGTTGATTACTAGACAACAATAGCATTTAGAGTTAACATGCAACAAAACTTGAATGTTACATTCTCATATCAATTCTATATTTTGCAGCAGCGTTCAAATGAAGGAACTGCAGGTCAAAATTCGTTGTTGGATTTCATCAAATTTATACTTTCGCCTCTAGTCGCAATTTTACTTTACATAAAAGCTCTGATTTTCGGTCAAGCGCAAGTGAGTAATACAACAAACTCAACGTCAAACGTTGCCCAAAAAGATGAAGGTGTTTCTCAGAAAAGCAGGTAGGTTTATGTTCATTTTTGTAAGCAATTCCAGTAAGCAAGGCTGCTTAGTATGAAAATGTTATTACAGTCTTCAGTTTTGATGTCCAATGTTGATATATTCAGATTTTTATCCGAGGGTATGATAATGAAATGCATGAATGAAATGTCTGTTCAAATAGCATTATTTGCCGTGTCAATTTTAGGCGAATCAATTTTATTTTGCAAAGCAAAATTTATTTACTACCACTTTTTTAAGATTTTATATTGTCTATATCCCATCAGAGGTTTCTTTTACTCTAAAAGGAATTTGGATAACAAAGCCAAACTTTGCGGAAATTTTATATTCACAATTGTACCAACTTCTCATAGATTTCCTCAGCTCGCATGATGTTTTATAGATCAACGACAAAACGTTTTTTTCTACCTCACAACCTCCCGGCCCTACCTACCCCAGTCGTTTAGCGAGCTATTTCGAAATAAGGAATTTCCGGCCTAACCTGCTTATTTACTCTGCAGTTCTCTTATCGCGGACCAGTGTTTGCTATGTCGATAGCCAGTGACACTTACTGAGGTAGGACTTTAGAGCAGAGCCTGTCACATTTTATGTTACCAGTCACATTTCTCTTATAGGTCCGACGACAAAAAGACCAGGGACAGTGCCACGGGGTACAAGAAAGAAGGGAATGTCTACCAGTTTAAGCAGGACGATTCTGATGATGATGATGAGAAAAAGACTTGGAATGGAAATTCTACTCAGCAAATGTGAAGCAGTTACCCTTCAATATAATTATTACCACCAGGGCCTAAAGCTAGCTAAATTTATCATAGATTAATAGTTTAATATACTTTACTCTCAATCATACCATGCATTAACATTGTTTGTTCTCCTGAAATCTCGCACATTTATTGCAAGAGTGGTTTGCCCCTCTCAAGCGACACTGTGAAAAACAAATTGGTTAAATGAAATGGTAGACGTACTCAAAACAACTCAACTTATTGAATTTTCGTGTGTGAGCAACACTGTTACCATTTAATGTTTGTTTATTTATAGTCAGAACACCCTTGCGAACAAACCCCGCCCCTTAAACCAATTTATTTAAAAAGGATCCATGGTGACAAAGATGGGAATTTTTCTTCGTTTTCCTAATCTTTGCTGCTGCATGCCCCTGCTCACAAAATTGACTGAATGTGTTCTCTTGAAAGAAACCTTATTTCTACATCATAACCGCCAAGTTCCGAATAAAAATCTTTGTCAAAAGCAATTTAAAGGTTCGGCGTTACATGATTGACTTGGTTGCCATCACTGAAATTGTCATTCTATTTCTTTGAATGGTTCTGGTTCTTCAAAATTGTTCTTAGAAACAAGTTACCCATTTTATAATTATTCAATTTGAATAATTGCATTTTGAGATAATGTTTAATAAGCATTTCGAGAATATATAGAATTACATAGATGAATATGCAGTTTCCAATTGTTACGAGAAAAGAAGACGTGAAGTTCTGCTGAGAAATTGAAAGAACAGAACTGAAAGTAACAATTACATGGCTGTGAGCAGGGGCATGCAGCAAAACTAAGCAAAACGTTTCTTCTGAAGAGGTTTACATTCCTCGACAAAATATTTGATTTATTCAGTAACATCTAAACGTTCTAAATTGTGAAAACATAGTGAAACGGACAGACGGAATTTGATAATTGCTGCGTTATTGTCAAACTAGTTATGAGGGTATCATAGATAAATACTCCTTATTTATGACTCCAGTTAACAACGGTTTTTCTTTTGAGGTTATTCTCGGTATAAACGTTATTCTCGGTAATAAGTGAGAAATTTAAAAACGGAGCAAGCGCACTACAAATATATATTCAGCCAGAGAAAGATTACAGTGAGTCTCTAGACCATTAATATAAACCCTAATTGGAACGCATGATTTTTTAAATGTTGGATTATTGAAATGCGCAGACCTTTTTATAAACATCAAATTTTGTTTAAAACCACAGAAACTAAAAGTTTTCATTCGCGTGTCATACGCATTCTTAGTCACGTGCCTCATTTTTGAAACTTGAAGCCTTGCATCGAAAAGACAATACAAATTGACAGGCATGTTTTTACATGTTCCGCGTGCCTGTTATAGAAGTTATCTTCACGAAATTGAACACATAGGAGATGTATTAATCACAGATGACAACAGTTTCATTTCAAAATTTCAAATAATAGAAATAATACCTTTTCAATTACAAAGGAAAATCGCAGAAACAGAAAATTAAAAAAAATTGAATGCTTACATATAGGCTGTGGCTTGAGAGTGTCACTTATGCGTCCTGTTGTATGATACATTAACAAACGAAATTTGGTCTTCACAACAAAATATTACACATGCCCAGAATAAACCATTTTATGGTACTGACACAATCTCAATGACATCAATGAACAGTGAACATTACAAGGAACATCATGTATTTGAAGTTAGTATGTTATGTCATGTGAATTTAAATTTCAAGTAGATCTTCCTACATGCCAATCATTTTTTAGCAGTTTTTGATTGTTTCTTTTTCCCTTTCCCTCCAGAGGCTTTTGCCTTTGGCTTGCTATACTTTGCTTCCAAATGTTTGAAAAAATTGTTTGCTTCATTCTCCCGGACTTGCTGCCTTTGCATTATCATCTTTGTTAGGTCATCCTCGCTGTTACCAAGACCAACTTCTTTTGCTGCCTCAGCTGCTTCCTCTGCCTCTTTTTTTGCCTGAAGATAAACATACATTAATAATGCTGCACCGTATGCAGCTAAAATAGTTATTGGAAAGAACTTGCTGGAAAATGGGTGGAAGCTAGAACACAATGTTATTTCATCTCCACAACCAAGCCTTGGACAGAAAACAATACATGATATTCTCTTCTCACAGCCCTTCCATATAAATGTTGTTTCAAGAGCTGTGACCAAAATAAATCTTAAAATATGAAGCCAATAATATATTAACAAATCAATTTTAAACCAGCCTTAAGAGAAGCAATAAAACAAAGACAAATATGAAGAATATTGGGCAATGAAATAGAGCTGGTCTGCGTATAAGGAGAAAAAGCAGGCTGTGTGCCAACAACTTCCACTCTGTGCCAAAGAAGTATAGAATTTTAGCAGGGGGCAAATTGCCTGAAGATGTTGATATCAGGGGGGGGGGGGCACATAAAGTAATGGGTTCCATTTTTATAATGGATTTAATCAAATGTAACAAAAGTATGCCTTAAAGAATAATAAAAATGTTGAACTTAAGGGTGTAGTTTCAAACATTTTCTGCTGGCTTTGCTTGCACAGGGCCTCCTTTTTGGCTTTTACCCCAGGTCCCATAAGCCTCTCAGTGGCCTTGTTGTGAGAAGGAAAGAGCCGTTGCTCTACAGCCCTGCTTGGCACACCTAGAATGTGCACAGAGGAGACTTTTGCATATTTAAACTTGCTTTGAAATCGCCCTGTTGTCAAAGACAAGTACAGGACAATCCAGACTACTGTGACTGTTGTTTGAGTGGAAGTGTGTAAGTAAAGTTGATTTTGGACACTTAATTGAATTTTTGCCAAATGTGTTTTCCTCAAAACATCTTTCATGTGATTCAGACCATTACAAGCATGTTGTTAACAAATAGCAACTCCTCTCTTGAACAGGCTCTTTATAGGATTTCAACAAAAAGCCATCAAGATTCCAAGATAATTGAAATTTCACAGAGAATTGGAACATGCTGGTCTTTTAACAGGAGCACAAGGTAAGTTTGAAAAACTCAATTTTACAAAACCTCCATTGACCTGTCCTCAACTGTTGCAAGCCAAACAAAAACAGTGTTGGCCTATACTCAAATTGCTGTGAAATAACATATCAAAGTGGCCTATTAGGGCACAACTTAATGAAAAAGGGGAAAAATGACTAAATTTCTTCCCAAATCAATTTCTCCCTGATTTCTCTTAGCCGACTAGTGATTTTCCCCGATAATTTAAATCCTTTGTAGAACTTTAGACTTGACCTACTTTCTTTCTTCTCTTCTTTTGGTTTTTGTGATCATCATTATCGAAAGCATCATACATTTTGACTTCTCCTGCCTTTATCCTTTCATTTATAATTTCCTTGAATCGCACATCATCTTCTTCATTGCAGCAAGGAACCCTTTCTAATATCATGTCCATATCTCCTTCGCATTCATCGTATGCTGTAAGAAGGTCTGCAGTTTCTTCTTCAGAAAACCGATACTTCGATTCAAATTCTTCAATATCTGCAATAGTAATCTTTTTGAACAAAATACGCCAATACGAGTCCCAGTTCCTGTTTTCTTGTACTAGTCCAAACTCTTCATCGATCTCACCAGACTCGTCGTACAAAGCCCTTTTATCTGAATTTGAAAGAATTGCGAAGACCTGACTTAAAGATTGGAATTTTCGGGTGGCCGTTTGTTTCTCTTCCTCGGTTACTCTATCTGGATGGACTTGCAAAGATATTTTGTAGTATGCTTTTTTCAAATTAGCTACTGATGCATTTGACTTTACGCCAAGTACCTCGTAAAGATTGCTCGTCCCATACAATTCTTTGATGCACTCAAGCAACTTCGCCATGTTTACTAACAAAATTTGGCGCGGAGCAAATCATTGGCGCGCGGTTATCTCCAGCCTCGTATTCATTTAACAAAACGAGACCCGCTATTTCCTCTTCCTAGTAAAGCTAAAGCTGACAGATATTGGCAGGTAGAGAAAAGGCCCAAACAGCATCAATTTTGAAATAGATGTGCTTTCAGAGACCAGGAGACATACATTATGATATTGAGTAGGAGCATGGCAATTGCTTAGTTAGGCTCAGGTGAAAAATAATCGCAGACAGAAATGAAGAATAACTGGGAACAGCAGCCGCTTTTAGGCCCTCACTCTGCCTCAACTGCTATGAGGTCGCCAAATGATGCATTTGTGAAAGATCTGACACGATCACTGGAAGATATAAAAAGGTCCTTGGATAGAGAAAATATTGGAAATGACGAAAAATTTGGACTGAGTCCTGTTCGAAGGATGTTCTGCTTGTTATCATTTTTTGATTTCCTTTTGATTGTCCTTTTGTGGATAATTTATGCTCAGGTAATTCAAGATTTTTGAATAAAAGTCCATGCCTAATGTCAGAGGTAAATCTTGTAGCATTTACAGTCAGCTACAGGGTATAGTATGCTCACACACCAAGGCAAATTGTAGCTGAAGAAACTAAACAGACATATTAAGAAAAACAACTGGTTGCTTGAAGATGCATCCATAAGGTCTGGTTTGCTAAAACAAATTAAACAATAATCAACAGCTACAAGTGCCAAATAAGTCCAATCAATAATTAGCAAAAGTAAATCAATAAACAAAGGCTAAAGATCATCTGCAATGTATGCAGCAAAACTGCAACAAGATATAGGATTAACTTACAAACAATAAGTCCTTTTGGTCTTAAAATTCCATACAAAGAGGGGACAAGACCAAGAACCAGGCCAAACTTAGCAAGAAACCAGGCAAAACATATCTAGAAACCAGGCCAACATTTGAAGTATACTACTCATCTCAGTGCATAAGGAAAAACAGAACTGTTCTTACTGATTTTATCTGTTCTTGAATCCCCAAGACCATATGCATGAAGCTTTTAAAGTTGAATCTATGGGAAGCAGGCTACCTCCTTGAACTGTAAAAATCAGGCACACTATTTGATAAACATCACAAACATGGTCAATCTATGTGACCTGACTGACACATAGGGATCAAAGTTAAAGTCAGATCGACTTAAAAGTCAGTTAAAGTCTAAAGCAAAGATAATGTTTACATTTAACAAACAGAAGGTAAAAGCAAATAATGAATTCACATCTGTAACTATCAGTATGTCAAGGAATATGTGTATGTGCTGTTTGTTTATGAACAACATGAAAAAGTGCCTTTGAAAATCCCTTGAAAATCAAAATATCAGTTGATTGTGTAGGCAACATCAGCCATTTCATTTTGTCATCAAAGTGCACCATAATAATTTTCAAAGCAACTACAGAATTGAAGTTTTAAATGAATGTCTCATCTGTGAATGAGTGCTTGCTAATAGTGAGCAGCAAGTACCCTTTAATGTTGCATCATTTAGAATATCTGCCAAATGTCTGTTGAAGTTCTCCAATGCACATTATCATCGGGAACAGTCTATATAAGTACCTTACACACATTCCTTGACATTCTGTCAGTTAAAGATACAAATTCATTATTTGCTTTTACAGGCAACATGATTTTTTTAAAGATAATCAGTAATTAATTACCTACTAATTATTTGTTTTTACCTTTTAATTATTTCTTTCAAAACTAATAAACTTTTACCTGTACACTTGGTACAGTTTATAAGCTAGCTTTATGTTTTTTTGCTTCACTCAATTTGGTTCATGAAAAGGAGCACCTAAATGAACTACATTTTCCCTCTTTTAATCAGCACACATATATACATAATCTGTGAGTTAATAAGCTGCTGAAACACTTTATAGCATACCAGCTTGTGCACTTATGCATAGAGATATGCTTTGTTTAAAAATAGGAAAAAAAGTTGTTTGTCAGATTCTAAGAATCTGGCAGTGAGCAGGAATTATGCAAAATGACAAAAAACAATCAATTGCTGCAAGAAATAAACTGGCAAATCAAAGAAATAGTTGACTTAACTAATGTTTTACTCTAGCATTCAAGGCTTTTGCAATGTAAAGATCATTTCTTGTGGGTCATTTGGCACTCCCCAGTTTGATTTCATATCAGGATTCTAACTAGTTGTACTGCAATTCACAATTCATAGACTTTATGAGAATGATCTATTTGTTTCTATAGACAACAATGGATAGTCTGACGAAAATGTTTAACAAAGAAGTTGAAGAGTACAAATTCAAAAGCTCACTCTTTGATTTTGTGGTATGTAGTTCAAAAGCTCTCTTAACTGATCAAAAAGCAATTCATATCTTTGGCAAATTTTATACATTTATCAATTGTTAGGGTGATGTTTTGCAAGCACGAAATAATTTTTAGTGGGTAGGGTCATGTCTTAAGAATTGTTAAGAAGGGTCCTCTTGCCATGTGATCTTGCTATAACATGAGCCAATGCAAATATGTTAATGCAATATTATCTGAGAAGATTCCAACTCAAGGTTTCAGGCAAATTTTCGGAGTGGGGCAACATTTCTAAGATCTGCTTTTTTTTGCAGGAAATAAGACATTGCCTGAAAACACTAAAACTTTGTTTATTTTAGTAAATCTTTTTTCAAAGGTTTTTTATGAGTGTAACTAATTTTTATTTTGTTATGTTGTTTCCTTTGTTAGGTTCTGGCATTTGTAAGATGTATTCTTCTTTTATTCACATATGCACTTCTCAAGAGTAGCAAATGGTATTCAGTTGCAGTAAGTATTATAATTGTTTTGAAATCTGAAATTATTTAGCAGAGTAAAAACCGCATATGTATAATACATACAACCATAATGTGTCCATAATCAGTGCACCTTAGAAGAGACAACAGGAATTTGCAAATTCTATTAAGTTGATTTGGTTTTTGAAAGACAGCACAACAATTATATGTTATAAATAAAAAACTGAAAATCATGAAATTTATCCTATAAATAGTCTAGAATCAGAGACGTGACACAGTGTTGGATTTTTGGAACTGTTCTAAACTAGAGGCAATGCAGTTTGTTAAATGAATAATTGTTTATAGGTCCAGGCTTTCGTTGGAAAGGTGTGCCATGCATGCCCTGGCAAAATATCACACAGCGCCTTCTTTTATTTTGAGATCAAAAATTCTTAATAATTGGATTTGTTTGTTTTTGAGACAGGTTTAAATGTTTATCTTTCCTTGGTACTTTTTATTCATGCCACTTGAAAAAGGCTTAACACCTTGTCAGGATTGTGGGTTAACTATAAAATTTGGACATAATCTAGAACTAATCTACATTTGTATGGATCATAGGACTAATCTACAGTGGAATCCCAATATTATGAAACCTGGGTATAACTAATTTTCTGGTATAAAAAAAGAATGTCTGGTCCTTTGGATTCTACCAAACCCCATACAAATTCTTTTGGTATAACAATGCTGGTATATAACAAACTCACATCATTACAAACTAATTGTAGATCCCTTTATCATAATTCTCCTTGATATGACAAACTTTTCTAAGAATTTTCACCTTTTTTTAGGTCTGCTTATTTCTGGTCTATATTTATCTTTATTTCTCTGGGGAATCATGATTTTCATAAGTTTTAACATGCATTTGCAAACATGCAATTTTTATGATGCAAAAAATGGAGAAGAGATTCATGCAAAAGTTTACACCTATTCAAGGCTTTATGCCATTCCAGTGAACAAATCCAAACACAGAAAACTATAATATTACATTTTTGTCTCTGCTTTTTACGAGGAACATCAAGTGTCATGAAAAAAATTTTCATTTTCGATCGCTAATTTAGTGAAAGTAGCAGATTTTCCAATGATGCATTTTTTGCTGATATATCCAATAAATTCATGGAAAATTGTTTTCAAAAAAGCAAACACTTTTTAATAACATTTTTGCTAAAAGCTTTTTTGTCTGACACTCCTCAGATAAAAAAACATCAGAATAAGGGTCCAAAAGAACACTATGAAAAATATATACCCAGTTTGTGCTTGTGTAGAAACTTGCTCAAGTAAAATTTTTGCGAACAAGTGTCACACGCCGCCAAAAACGGTCAGAATGGAGCAATTTGGCCGTCACAACGGCAAAATGGCAACCCTGCCTGCCTGGACGTTTAGGTGTGCGGTGCTTAGCAGGCCTGCTCTTTTTTCCCAAGAAAGCCTGTGGATTTAATTAGTAGATCATACTTGCCAGATATTTCTTAAACATTTGAGATTTACTGCTGCACCATGTTAGATATTTTTCTTTGTTCTTATTGTTCTTTGATTGTTCTTTCACCCCTAAATACAAGAGACACCTGCTCGATGTTAGAGACTAAGTAACTATGGTATTTTGAATGAGAATTGAAGCATGCAATATAGGGTTCCCCTGATTTGAATGGAAAGATACAAAAAATTATCAATAGTAGTTTATGATATTGCAAATGAAAGGCATGTACTAGCTTATCTGTAGCAGGGGCGGACACTTGATCAAATATTGGGGGGGCAAGCCTATTGTTTTAATAAGATGATGTCACATTTCCCATTGTTTTAGAACAAAAGACCATTGTCCTCCAAAGTATTGGGGGGCAGTCGCCACCCCTCGCCCCCCCCCCCCAAGTGTCCGCCACTGATCTGTAGTTATAATTCTGTATGCCTATTGTATATAAATTGATAATTGATAATAAAATAAGCTTTTATTCACTTTTTATTGTAAATTTTTCCCTGAGGTGACAACAATGCTTTCTACCCTCATGGCCATTTTGAAAGTTGTGATGAATGAAGGAACAGTTGTAAGTTTGTTTTTAAAATTATGTAATCAGGAAGAGAAACAAAATTATCTGACCTTGTGCAATGCAAGAAAGTATTGGTCCAGCCAAAAAATTCAATATATAAGCATTAAAATCGTCAAAATCTTTTTCAAGCCTTGAATTTAAATCAGTGATACAGAACCAACTAGGTGAGTTAGCTCAAGTAGAGTTCTCAAGCATGACATGCTGAACAATTGATTGTTAGATAATTTTTTGACCCTTGATCGCCCAAGCCAAAATAATGCAACAAAATACCTCTAAAAATTTAAAACAGACTGGATCATCTGCAAGTTATTTAATTCAATGCTATCATGCACAATTTTATGAAAAGTTTCATTTCACAAAGTATGCATCCTACATACAATTTGCTATATTATTTTGCTTCGTTTTCTTGTATTCTCTTGCATTAAGGTGCTTTGAAAAGGGCATGAATCCCTTTCAACAATTTTCAAAACTATATTTCAGACAATACAAGAATTACCCTGCTTTTGGTATTTTGCATGTTTAGCCCCTCCTCCTCCCTTAAGGAGGTTAAAGGAGGTTAGACAACATTGAATATAATTGTTGAAATGCTTAAAAACAGTTCCTCAAAAACGTTGAAATGCCAGTATAGGGCTTAGGAAAGACAACAATACACTAGAAAGGATGTGCATTGAATTTGCAATATTGGTTTTTTTCTGTCTATCTGTGTGGTAGGTGAGACATTACTGCAGTTTTGTTATAGTCAACGCTTACAGTCACACTAAATATTTCTCAGAAAAGTATGACTATAAGAGGAGTGTGACATTAAGCAGAGTTACCTGAAACAGCTAAATAAGTGGCAGAGAAATCAGATGTGGTGGCCCTAAAATCCTAACCATTTTGATCTTATTGTTGTATTATGTACTTTTTCATTTCCTTAGATAAAGAGTGGACAACCAATGAGTTATTTAATAGTCATTGCCACATTTGTTATCTGCTGGTCGGAAGCCTGGCATTTTGATTTCCAAGTAAGTCACTCAAAGATTCAAAGTTACAAAGATTATGATAATCAAAATGTGTCTGATAGAAAATGATAATTTTTAACTGACTTTTCTTTGATTTTCTTCTGTGCATTACTTAAAGATCTTTTATTCTACCTTTAACCAAATAATGAAAACAAATAGATGGCAAATATGCATTTCTGTGTGCTATGTTGATTTTTAAAAGTTATGACAGAAGAAACCATTTATTTCACACTAAAGAATTGTTTTCTGAACATAGAATTTTAATGAATTCTGCCACATTTTTCACATTCTATTGTTTCAAACAGTTTGCAAGGCCAATTTAATATTCAATGTTGGTATTTGGAATAGTTTTTTTCTATCAGGTGCTCCTATTATTGTAGACAGTTTCTGGATTGATAGGCTACCATGATGTGGCTATAATACCGTGTTCTATGAAATGCTAGAGATTAGATCACATCGTTTCTAAAAGACTGAACACTCTAAGAACAGGCTGAACTCTTTCACACTTTTGGCCTGCAAAACATCAGTTGGTTGTAACAACACCAACAGCATTAGGCTTATCAGGCCCTTTCCCGCCCCAAAATTAATTTTGGTTGATTGACCAAATTCTTTTTTGAATGATATGCCAATTTTAATATGTTTTAAAGGGTGTTCAGTCGCTTAATAACTTGTTCTTGGGGTGTTCTTGGGGTGTTCTTGGGGTGTTCTTGGGGTGTTCTTGGGGTGTTCTTGGGGTGTTCTTGGGGTGTTCTTGGGGTGTTCTTGGGGGGTTCTTGGGGGGTTCTATGGTTCAGTCTTTTAGAAACGACGATTAGATCAAAAGATGACATGAACTTTTATCTTTATCATCCAGGTGATACCTACAGAATTAAGACTAAGACGGGAAAATATAGCAAATACCCTCACAGGTAAATAATTCATCATTAGACTATAAGACCTACTTTTGTTGACAGATAAGTAGTGGATTTTCTGTGGCAGTGCCCTTCTACTTCTTTTCAAGAATATCATGGAATTTCTATCCTCTTCCTATAATCAATAGTTAATTTGTTCTTCTTAGGGACATTTAATGTCTGGTTTATTGACATTTATTTTATATTCAATCTTTTGTAGTAAGAATTGATGTTAAAGGCTTAATGTGATTCTATACTGTGATTCTATATTCTATACAATAATTTTACATGATTCTATACTGTTTAATGGTCTGTTGTCTAGCGCTTAATGCCATAAATACAACGTTACATGCTTAGATTTGTTAAAAACCACCACAAGACAGATAAAATGGATAACATATGTATTCATTATAGCATCAAATTCATAAGCAGACAAATCTTTTGCTGAGAATTTTCACAACATAACAGCTGATTATTTCTACTACTTGAATTTTCTTCTGCAATTCCCCCATATAATGATTTATTTTATGGGTAAAATGGTAAAGTTGCAGCCTCTTTGACAGGAAAACTTCTTTTTTTCTGTCTCCAGCCTCAATACCCACATTACCATCAACTGTCAGTGACTGGCGTTTAGGGTGAGTGACGCAGGCTTTATATTCTACGATTTACTTCCACTAAACAATTCCAAATACCAAATCTTCATATTAGAAGGCGCTTCAACTTTTTTTTGTTAATGATATTTGTAAGTAGTGACTGTTTTATGGTCCTGATACTTTTTTATAAAAATTTTTTTTAAAAACAATATTAGATGTTGATAAACGTGGTGAAGACAATACCTAGACAGGCGCGGATCCAGACAGGAGCAAAGGGGGCAAGCATTCATACAATAAAGGGGGCATGTCAAATTCATATCGATTCTTCAATTGTTTGAAAACTATAATGATGATATCAGATAAAAGTTTCTGGAAATCTGCAAATTTTTGATTACCTCATTTACACTCATTTTTTTATAAGAAACTGGCTACAAGAAACGAGTACTGGACAGTCAGAAAAAATTAAGAAACTCCAGTACTCGAAGCAAACAATTAAGAAACTATTAAATCGTGATAAAAATGAGAACAACGAAATTTTGTAAAACCCAAGAACATGATTGCCCTGTTGGTCTAGAACTTGAGACACAAGTGATAAAAATATCGTCGTTTCTAAAAGACTGAACACTCCAAGAACAGGCTGAACACCCCAAGAACGTGCTTTAATTTGAATGCTTTATTTTACTGCTTTGACAGAGTTAAAAAAGTACAAGATTATTAAGGCATCTATCTTTAGTCCATGTAGTCATCTTCATGCTTTGTAGCGTATGTGGCGGCAATTACGTGCTTGGGCACAGACTAAACATTCTTTTTTCGTTTTTTCTCTTCTCCATTTTATTTTGCTTTCATTCAAATGTAAAAAGTATGATTATTCGCAGCCATGCTAAGATTATTCTAAAGCTTTGCAAGACCCTTCCTTTCTCATGTCAACATTAAAAAAGCGAAGAACTTTGGAACCTAGTTATATAAAACCTTAAGAATATTTCCTTAAATTCTCTCTCATTAAAATCTATTTAGATGCTGTTTCTTGCCATTCCTAGATTTACCTAACCTAAATTTTTCTTCCCGCCAACCATGGTGGCGGCCTTAACTAAGCAAAGCCAGAATAATTATTACGGTTCGCAGTTCCGGGATCCTGGATCTGACTTCATGCGCTTCAAGTCGACTTAACGAAGACAAATGTCCTAATCTAAAAATAGCACAGGCCGTGAAACAACGACCATGTAAATTTTGAAAACTCAGTACCTAGGGTACCAGAATTAAGTCCCCTAAACAAAATCCACATGTTTTTCTGGTTTTCTGGCTCGGCACTCGAAATACTTAAAGGGATTAGTCATGGCTAAAGCCCCCTCAGCCCCCCTGTGCCTGATTTGAAAAGCTTTTGTGGCATTTGAAGGGGAAAATGGGGGAAGAAGTTTTGAAATCTTTTTTAGAGAGCAAGATAAAAGAGAGAGAAAGAAAGAACCTTTAGAAACAGCGGAACAAAGAGTACTTACAACATCGTGTGTGCAGTTTGCTTGAAAGCCAATCAGAATATCATAATGACTCAGCAATTTTTGCAATTTGGGTATACGCTTCCTATTTACCATGACTCAATGCCTTTAAGAACCCCTTTCATAGATTCAACTCCATAATAAACTTAGTTCATAAGCCTGGTTCCCACTTGGTCGTTTGGGTCGTTTGGGTCGTTGGAAAATACCCAAACGACTGAAAAGACTCAGTGGAAACATACCTGCCAACAACCCAAAAGACCTGAAAGACTCAAACGACAGTTGTCACAAAGATAGAAAATTTTTTATCTCCGCGACCCCAAATACCCACGCATTAATTATTTTTGCAAGTGGAAGCCGACAAACGACTCAAACGACTCAAGCGACTCAAACGACCCACGCTTTAGTAACTATTTCTTCAAGAAAAGGGGATTTTCTTGTAACCGCGTGTTTGACTAGAACAAGAACAAGATTTATGGAAGCTTTATGGAAGAAATTCAAAAATACGAGTGCCATTATATCAATTACTTGAAAGAAATTAAAAATAAATACAAAAATATCAAATCATGGCAAGCTATTGCACTGAAATTTAGTGATCTAACATTGCCGTCTGTACAAAGTCACCAGAGGTAGAAATAGTTAACTTTGCAACATCAGTTGTTGTTTATCAAATGCTACCATCGTTCCTTCCACGCATGCCGCCAAAATTAAATGAGCGATGCATGGTGCAAGCAATGAACAGCATCAACAACAAAACGACTCAAAAGACTTAAACGACCAAGTAGAAACCAATGTGTTCCAACCACGTAGCTGTAGGTGTCGGCTAGGGGGGGGGGCAAACTCGAGCAAGAACCATACCTGAGGGGGGCAGGCTTTAAAACAAGAAAACAGATATATAACAAACAGATATATTTGGACAAAATCAAGGTCATGGAATTATAAATATGCCAAATTTTCAAAATATCTTTCGGAAAAACTGTAGCCAGAGGGGGCAAGTTGTTGTCAAAATTTTCATTGCCCCCTCTGCAGCTACGTGGCTGATGTGTTCTTTGGGTCGTTCGTGTTTTTCAGGAACGACTCTGACGACTCAAACGACCCAAACGACGAAGTGGGAACCAGGCTTAAGCAAACGCAATGCTGTGTTTTCACACACATGACGAACACAATAAGCAGTTATGACAACCCTTTCACCATTAGAACAATGAACGACTATTTCCGCTAGTTCGGTTTCTAGAATTCGACCATCATTGACCAAAATTATTTTCTTAGCCTAGACTTTCGGGGGGTTGACTGCTTCTTGGTGACAATGTATAGTGCCTGTGTCATATGCATTTCGGTAACCTTATGCATTTCGGTGCGGCTACACAAACGCATGACAATTTTGGTTATGCAAAAGGCGAACAAGGTGAATAGCTTATCTCTTCAACATGGCGAATCCAAAGGCATTGCTGCATATAATTAGAGAAATTTTTCTCAACTCTGAAGCAAGAAATGCGCAGAAAAGGAAAAATAAAATATTCGAAATAAAAGATGAACGTTTTGCAGTGACTGAATTTGAGTCGAAAAACATCAAACCACGACCTCTGAGAGTCAGGTAACATTCTTTAAGTCGGTAAACAGCGATTCTTCTCCTTTTCTGCTTTGCCCACTTTAGAGCTAATTACTGCATATAAATTTTATCTAAAAGATCTTTTTCATTGATATCTTTGAACGAATTGAGCCTTTCATATTTTGAATTGATTCCCCCTCCCCATTATTGTCAAATTGTAGTATATTTCCTTAATAACAGTGTACTGTTAGAAGGAATACAATGAGCATCTCCCCCCCCCCCCAATATGAATTTCGTTCCGACGGCACTGGATTCTGCTAAGCCTTCTGGCTTCTCAGCAGCTTCATCAAAGCAATTTATAAGAAATTTATAGGCTGATGGCCCCCCAAAATCCCTGTATGAAAATGGGGGAAGAAGTTTTGAAATCTTTTGTAGAGAGCAAGAGAAAAGAGAAAGAAAGAAATAACCTTTTTAGAAACGGCGGAACAAAGAGCACTTACAACATCGTGTGTGCAGTTTGCATCGTGTGACACCAAATTCAGATTTGTTTCTAGATCCGCGCCTGCCAGATCAGACTTCGCACCTTATGCGGAGTTAAAATATTTATTATTGGCCATGATTTTTACCTGCCCAGTTCGTTAAAAATCACAATGAAAAGTCAACATGACATAGAAGTAAATCTTGCTTTCATACGACAGTAACCGTGAATTTTGGAGCATTGCTCACTGGGTTCACTCAAAAAAATAATTTTGGCCTAAAAGCAAGTACTTTGGGATGTTTGTATTGTACAACAACAGCTTACATTTATATATTCAGTGATGATTTTCTTGAATGATTTAAATTTTAATTCTCAGTGCAAATTCAGAGTACCAGTCTTGTTACTCCCCTGGTGGAAGAAGTCCGAAAGGTAGTTCTTAATTTTTATGATTATCCTTTAATATGATGTGCCATCTTAGAAATGTTTTGTTAAATATCGAATGGCAGCAACTAAAAGCTATACAGTTTTAGCAGTTGTTCTTATGCCACTTATACTATCATTGCTAACTGGTAGGATTCTTGGTATTAGACGGCCCTGTAATAATATTTCACGGTCAATCGATAGCCTAAAGCATCCTCGAAACTTTCCGTAATTTAGAAGATATACTTTAATAGAAATTGCATTATTATTTGATATGGTAACTAGCCTTTGTTGAGCCAAAAATGTCGTTGTTTTTAAATCGACTAACATGTGAACCCAGCGAGATTATTTTTGCGACTTTAATCATTATTTGTTGGTTGTGCGTTTATAGAATCTGGAGATTCGGATTCGGACACCGTGAGCAATTTTTCGAGGGATGATTTCAATCGGAACTCAAAGGTACTACAACCTTTTTATACTAGGCTGCTTAACAATACTAGTTTAACATCAAAAGGACAATTTGGTGGCTTATTGTTAATATGTTTATTATCAAATTCCTATCTCGGATGTTTTCCATTTTGCTTTAGAGGGAAGGTGATGTACTCAAATTAAGGCATTTTTCGTTACATTCCCCGAGTGAAGTTTAGCCCCTTGAATCGTAGTCCTACTTTAAATAAGGTTATTTTCTAATTCATTTCATTCAACCGAAAATAACAACATTTATTTAGTAGCTAATTAAAACAGTAGTACTAGTCAGTTTAGCATTTTGCGAGTAAGCATCGGCATATCAAAAATAAATCAATTTACAAAGAGTATTAAAAGAAAAAATATCATCAACTTAACACAATATTGCTAAAGCTATAAAGACATTCTAGTTAGAAAATGAAAACCTAGACATAAGTTTGGCATCAAGTAAAATGAAAAATCACCACTACAGTACAGATACTCTGATATCCTTAGGGGAGGGGTGGGAGGGAATACTTATCCGCAAAATAGCTATCGACGTGTGAACTTAAAATTTCAGTACAGACTATTTATACTGACACAACTTCACGTGTGAAACAACTTGAAATCACTATCACGCTTGCAACACAACACTATTGTAACCTTCTTAAAGACTCTATTCTCTATCTTTCTCCTGGGACTTAATAAATTCAGTCATATATGTAATTGTTTGTGTTTTGTATTTTGCCAATCATTCAGCGTGATATTCTACATCAAACTGAGGCAGATTTGAAATGGCTACCACTACCAGCTCCTTCTTATCATTAGAATCGATTCTCCCATTTTCTTTGCTTGCTGAAGATGCACTACTCTATATCCCAAATTGTCAATATAGTTAGTTCTGCATTGTTTTACTAATGTCTAGGCAAAGCTTTAAACAAGCGTGTTATCTCACCCCTATGTCAACATGAAGTTACCGCTCTTGCTGTTCGTTTTTATCTTTATCAGCAAGGAAGACATATAAACCGCGGCAAAGAGGCAGTAAAACAAGTTCAGAAAATGCTTCACATCACAGAGAACTGGAAAAAAGAAAAGGAAGATGTGAGTTACATTTTGTATTTTTAACATGTTGGTTAAAGAAGTAAAACGTAGTTTTTTTTCTTTTAAGTGTTTCCGTAATTTCTATTTTTTTCAAGTGAACCTTTGAAAGCTCAAAAGAATGATAGTTCAAAATAGTTTATTGTCATTGCCAACTGAGTCACCCAATCCATTTTTATTTTCAGAATGGTATACTTGTAGAAGCAAGACATTTTGATGGCATTGGTAAAGTCTTCCGGTGCAAGGTAGTATTCAAAAATCAGTTTGTCTATTTGCTTTTTCATAGCTGTCGAACCTTGAAATCCACATCACCATGCAATATTTTATAACTCTGAATGAAACTTTACGTTGTGTACCATTTCCAATTAGACTAACAGAAAATCACTATTCAAAAAAGCTGTTTTAAAAGCAATCTGGATTATGAAATTATCCCTATTGTTCACATCAATATCAGTTGCTTAATTTCTTCTTTGTTGAAATTGGTAGAGTCTGTTAGCGTGCCACTCAAGTCTTCTGTTCAACATTCTTTGGAACAACGTGGAAAGCCAACCCTCCTGGAATCCTACAGTTTCAGACTGCCAGGTAATGCAGGCTTTCCTCACCTCTTGTTTTCACATCAATGCTACCCAGTATTTTGTTACATTTTTGCTACGTGTATAATGTTATGTTTTGAAGTCATAGAACCAAGCTTTCGGTATGTGAGAAAGACCTGTTACTCCTGGTCCAGCGAACCAGTAATCCGTTGACGGTTCTGAGGATGCTGGGAAAAAATTCCTAGGAGATGGGTAATTAGCTAAGAGATACTCCCTGCTCAGTATTGCATGGCCGGATATTACATTCATTGCGAGAATCGCTAGAGGGGGGGGGGGGGTTATTGTGTCTGGTAAACATTACACCCGATGCTTCTCATACTACTGTGACTTCTAGATTCACGAGGCAGGATACCCGGCTGCCTTGGCGCTTGAGCCGTAAAATGATGCAATTTTCCTCCAAATTAGGTAATATTTCTTCACTTTTGTCCACATTTTTTTAAGCTCATAATTGATGCTAAGATGGATATTTTAATTCATCAATTTGTGCTTGTTTGTTCTGTTAGATCATCTCCGTCATAAACAAGAAAACAGATATTTGCTACGTTGTTGCAGCAGAAGCCGCTGGCGGGCTTGTTTCTTCGAGGTATTTGCTAAATCTTAGACCTTCATCGTCTTCTACAATTTCTACGTTTTATCTGTTACCAAACAGTGTGGACATGAGGAATCCGGATAGGTATCATGTTTTGCTAGATGTCATATTTTTAGGAGAGCGTTCCCTGACCCTAGGCGATATGTGATTCGTTGATACAGTCAAAAAACTCCTCGACTTGTATGACACGAAGTTAATCGGATTATCCTTCCCGGATTCCTCACCTTCACCACTAAGCAGTTTATGAAGAAATCATTGCTTAGTATTCCATCATAAAAGCCCTGACATATTGTCAGTAATTTCTTGCTAAAAGCTACATTGTACGCACATTTTGGCTTCTTATTTGTATATGATTGCTTTTTTACACACAAGACCAAATTTTCTGTCGTACTGATTAAAAAATGTTTGTGTGAAGTTTACTCCAGCGACCTCTGTTTATCATTTTGAGCAAAATAATTTTGATAGGAGATTAAAATGATGATTATTTTTGTAGGGATTTTGTGTCAGTGAGGAGGTATGAAAAACAGGGAGGTTTGTTTGTGCTAGCTGGCGAGTCAACGACCTGCGATACTGTTCCTGCGAGGAAAAATATTGTGAGGTATACTCATTTTACTCAATTTATTCTGCTTACTTTGAAAACTCTGTATGGAATAGCATTTATTAAACGTGTCGTTCGGCGCAGTTACTTTCATTTGTTGTAACGTAAGTGTAATGTTGTAAATCTATTTTTGTCTGTTTTATGATTAACTGTAATAGAAATCAAATGGTCAATTCTTGTGAAGAGGCCAAAACTTTTTTTCTACACAATCGTATTGTTTTCGTTTTACTCAAATACAGAATCCTCTCGTTTTTGATCCAGCCGCGCCCTCTAGCTCCCAGCTGACCCAACATTGGATCTGCTTTTACTATGCTAGTTAACTTAGGTTCAAACACGGTCCAGTGAGGTTTGGTAAAATCATTTAATTTAACTATGCTGGAATATCATTTTAGTTTAACTAACTTGAGCCTAGATAGATATATTAGAGTAAATGGGGCTTTTTTAAAGGTTCAGATTACTTATAAATGAATTGTGTTAACATTTAAGCCCCGAATCCTTAAGATTTCCCATTGGTTAGACTACAAAATAGACCTATTGTTACGTAAACAATCGGCAACGTAAGGCTTTTTCTTAATGTTTTCTAGATCATAAACGCGCGCGCGTTAACTCTGAACGGTTGATTGGCGGGACATAGTGACGGGACAAAAATATCAAGTCGAGGTCTTTGGAAATGTTTTGCTAGATGTCAAATTAGTATCAAGAAACGATACGAGTTTCCACTGCAACTTTAGTTTTTCTTAACCTACGATATTTCAATTCCGCCCTCAGCAGAGCAAGTTTTTAGTTTGAATATTCTAGTGTAATTATGTCAGTCCTCAGATCGGCTAATCAATGAATTTTTTGTCGAGAAATGCCTATAGTTTTCAACTGTTTGTGTTTTCTCCTTTTTAGAGGAGAAAATGGTCCTGGAGGATATATAATAAAAGTTATTCCTAATGAAGCAGATCGATGCGAATTCATCTGGTTCTTAAATACAGATATCAAGGTATGGAAAGAGAAATTAAATTGTCAGGTTTTCAGTAATTTTCTCATCATTTCAACCCCATGATCTGTAATGAGATTAAAGGAGGTAGAACTAGAATTATAATTTAATCGCTTTTCATTGCTGTTCTTTCCTCTTAAAACAACAAAGTCCACTTCAGTAGAAAAAATTGGGTTAAAAAAATTCTGTGAAAACAGTTAGTATTAAAAATCATCTGTGACTCGTATAAGACCATGTGAAAATATGATGACAGTGTAATATGTTAAATGAACTGCAAGCAACTTCAACACGAACACTTTTTATCATATAGATTTTACAACCCGTCCTAAATTGCCGCTTTATAGTTAGGAGACTAGGATTGGTACATAATGATTGCGAGGCTCCGTTAAAGTGCAATATAGCAGCTGCCTCTTTATCGTTATCCATCGAGAAAGCTAAACGTGCATTATTTACTTTCAGGGTTGGATTCCAAAGTCCGTAATCGACCAAACGATGGCTTCAGTCATGATCGATACTGTTCGAGCATTGCAAGATCATATCGAACGTATGCCAAAACTATAATTTGTTTGTTATCATTTGAATTTGAATTTATTTTAAATTTTTTTATCGATTTTGATACAATGTTCGAATTGAATGCCTTGATAATTCTGGTACTGGTGTTCATTACTTGCAATTGTGAAATTCTGAATTGATTTTAAAATTATTTACTTGATGTTTGATAGTTAAAGTAAAGCTGAGTATAGCAAAGTATAGCTTAAGGTTTACCTATGAACTGGCGGGGCTGATGAACTTAGGCCATTGTTTTAGAGTACCCAAATTTTGCAAAAATTAACGAATTTATGAGTCTCAAGAGCAATGAAATGACACTAAGCTACACATCCAGAATATTTAACAGACATGGCCCACAAAGTAGATGTCATATTCTTTAAGCTTTCTCGTCGGTAAACCCAAACTTGAAACAGGTCAAACCGTGTTGCACAGAAATCTATTAATAGTCTTACTGGAAAATAATTTGGCTCGATAATTGTTTGCAATTCTTTGAGTGATTAGATATTCGAAAGTACAAGTGAGTTTAAAATTGATTTATGAAATGTAAAATTTATCCAAATGTAGGTTGTAAATTATTTTTTAGAAGTTTTTGTTTGTATTTGTAAAAAACCGTTTGAGTTGATTCAAGACGGTAATTACCAATTTGATACCAAGAACTTATCTTTGTCTTAATCCTTAAGTATCTTTCTGCAACTTTGAAGTGTACAAACAATATAAATACTGAAGCAAACACGTCTTGTCTTTGTTTATAGCCTTTCGATACTGAAAAAAACACGCCTTGTTCCTGTTTATAGCCTTCCGGTACTGAAACAAACAAGTCTTGTCCCTGTTTAAAGACTTTCGATACTGAACCAAACAAGTCTTGTTATTGTTTATAGCCTTTCGATAATGAAACAAACAAGTCTTGTCCCTGTTTATAGTCTTTCGATACTGAAACAAACAAGTCTTGTTATTGTTTATAGCCTTTCGGTACTGAACCAAACAAGTCTTGTCCCTGTTTATAGTCTTTCGATACTTAAACAAACAAGTCTTGTTATTGTTTATAGCCTTTCGGTACTGAACCAAACAAGTCTTGTCCCTGTTTATAGTCTTTCGATACTGAAAAAAACACGCCTTGTTCCTGTTTATAGCCTTTCGGTACTGAAACAAACAAGTCTTGTTATTGTTTATAGTCTTTCGATCCTGAAGCAAACATGTCTTGTCCCTGTTTATAGCCTTTCGATACCAAAACAAACACGTACAGTCTCTGTTTGTAGTCTTTGGCTTATGTTCTTTAACCCTATCACCTTACTAAGACCCAACATTACGCTGTTTGACCTTTCGAAATGCTTACTTTATCTGCAGCTTGAATACTGATTAAAAATGTTAGACGCAAAAATCACGAAATTTCTTAACCCTATCGGTAGCCTTGCTCTTGTTCGAAAATTGAATATTGAGCTTTGTTGATGTTGAACATTAAATTGTCAACCTGTTTCTTAGGTCTGCTTTAAATATTTACAGCATCTACAAATATATTGATAAACAAATTTAGAGACAAAAACAAGAATTTTCTTAAGCCTATAGCCTTACTCTTCAGTCGAAAATCGAGTGCTTAGCTTTGTTGATGTCGGATATTCAATCTTGATAGAAACAATTCAAGTATGTTTCCAAGATCTCTGGAATTTTTTATCATCTGCAACTTGAATATTGATAAAAAGATTGCGACACAAAATCAGTAAATTTCTCAAGCCTTATTTTTTGATTGAAAATTGAATGCCCAGCTTTGGTGATATCCGATTTTATATTTTGACAGGAACAGATTAAATATTTTTGCAAGTTCTATTTGGAATTTTTCTATCATCTCAATTTTCAATATTTACAGAAAATTCCAGATACAAAATTACGAATATTTTTTTTGTTTTTACTAGCGATTGAAAATGTTTCGAAATTAATGTTATTCCAACATAATTGGAAGATACACGTGTTTTCTTTGCTGTAGAGCTGCCCTGGCTTTATACTTCGCGATGGTCAGTTGTGTCTGAACGAAGGCTAGTCTACAATAAGCAGCTTTCCACGGGACTCCATTAGGCGATTCCCCATCCCAGTACTTAATCAAACACTCTGCATTGTAACCATCCAGCATAGTTGTATTAGTGAGAGCTCAACAGGTATCGATTTATTGAGGGATGAAGCTGTCAACTCTAATACTGAAGTTCACTTAAATACGTAGTGCCCATAAAGGTAAAATGCTTAAATCTAATATCTTTCATTAAAAGAATTTTGGAGACTATTTCTTTGCATACCAAACAAATGCTTAAAATTAATGTATTAATGTGTCACTCTTTTTCTCAGAAACTTCTTTACGTTTTGTTACGTTATCAGAATTTAGATGATACAACATTTTTTTTACTTAAATTTCACCACTTCGTAACCAACCGTTTAAGCATTTTGTTATCTTAGGGATAAAAAATTTCAAATCTCGAAAACTTCTAAAAAAATATAAAATTTTGTACAAATATGAAATTCAATAAAGGCATCTGTTAATAAAATATAGACATTATTTTGTCAAAATATAAACAACGAACAATGTACAAGGTATCAATAATAGAGCAGGTAATCGTCTTTTAGCTCTATTTGGGCTTTTATCTGAAGGATAAATAATAAACGCTGCCCTTGCTATTGATAGGTAATAGTTTGTCGAAATCAAAGGACTTCTTGAATTTATCAAATTTGTAATTCTTTCAGCTTCTCTTTCACAAATTTTAATCTGTTTGGATATAAATGAGAAGTAATTAGAACAATGGATAAAATCAGCATATAAAAATTATGGCAATAAAGTTTTGAAATGCTTTCAGTGCTTGTCCACTTGATATTGCAGGATGCACGTGGTACAAAACACGTGGTCGCAGGATTTGCGTGGTACAAAAAGGATCATTTTTATACATTTTCTGTAATATTGCTAAAAAATCGAGTATTGGACATTAGGACATTTATAGCAAATTCGATAAAAACAGTGAAATTTCAACCACTTAATGGTTCAAAAGCCTACTTACTCTTATTGCCTAACTTTAACTTTACTCGCAACCTTTAGATTCACCAATAAATCAATCTGCGGGCGTCAAAGCTGCCAAAAGCAAAATAGTAAAGATTCTAAGGAATTGCCAACAAATCAGGTCTTCGCTTTAAGAACTCCCAATTCATTGCCAATGAAATCAAACTTGCCATAACTCGACATACCTGAAACATATTCTTCAGCTTCAAATTGGATTTTACAATGACAACAATATCACCTTCGATACTCAAATACCCTCGGATGATACATTCACTCTGAAAAAAAGTTTAAGTATATAAATAAGTGAAACATCAAAAGCCAGTTTTATCGAAAAAATTATTCAAATCACTGTAACGATAAAGAATAGAATACCCAATACAATAATTAACAGTTAATAAATATATATATATATAATAATTAACAGTTTATAAATATGCTGATCAAGGTGCAATTATAAAAAACGATGCCTGCACATTACCACGAGGAGCTGAGTTGAAAGCTGTTCTAGAAAGTCTCTCACAATGACTGGCTTTGGGGATATCTTCTCGATATGGACTTCTGCATCCCTTTGGCTGTACAGTATACGAATCAGCGGTTCTAAAGTTAACAAAAACAGAATATAGTAAATGATTTTTTCATTACTTTGGAATACGTGAGGTAGCTATTTTATTCAAACAAGTGAATTAGTAGCAGGTATGTTCAATTCAATGAAAATACAATAAGATTTCATTTTACTTAAATTCACCAAGCGCCAGTCAAATTTAACCAAAAAGATACAACTCAATGATGCAGTACTATATTATCTACTGGGCATGCGCAAAGTTCGCAATTTTGGTAGGTTTTCTCCAAACAGTTATTTTTTCTTTATTATCCGAAGCATCACTACAAAGGAGGGGATCAAAATGAATGGAAATTTTCAGCACCCATTGAATCACCTCTTAAAACGCTGGGGATAAAACGAGCATGCGGAAAGTGCACATAAAATATACCAACGATGATACCTCCAACTTCTGAACTATAAGGGACTGTTGAGGTGGAGATAGATCTTCTTTTATTAAAATCTTATAGAGCTCCTAGAGAGAGAGAGAGAGAGAGAGAGAGAGAGAGAGAGAAAAAGAGAGAGAGAGAGAGAGAGAGAGAGAGAGTGGGAGAGAGCATCTGAAAGTTACAGCGTTCAATGTTTATAATTAACATTCATCGGCTTATAAAAACGACCTTAAATAGGGGATGAATCAGTATCAACTCGAATTTAACAAAACAATTAACCAAAGGACTTTTTCCATGACCGAAGAAGGAAAGACAGAATGTTGGGCTGCCTATTTGGACTCTTTCAATTAATATATATATAAATACTTTCAAAAGCTCATGCACCGAGTGTAATATAAAATAATATAGATTTTCAGAAAAAACACTATCTCTTAAACGTTTCGACCGACGTCTTCATCAGTAACACTTTACAGATCAAATGAAGCTAACATATACAAAATCAATAAAATAGAATTAATACAATAGAGTTGGTACAACATAGTCAGTATATATTCTGCTGTGATGCACCCCAGGTAAACAATACAATAAACAAAGATTTCTCATGTCAACAAGTAGAAAAAGAGATTCGAAAATACCACAAATAGGGCAACATCCGCCAATTGGTATATGAGTCTTGCAATTGGAACTCCCTTTTGTCGTGCATTTGATACTTTTGCAACGATCCCTTTTCGCTGTTGCGAAAAAAGTGAAATTGCGACTTACTTAAGAGAACTAGCAAAAAATTGTTTCTGAAATCAGTGGCGAAGCCAAAGGTCCTGCTTGTCCTGCCGGGCAGGACCACGAATTTCCAAAGATAACAATTTTTAAAATGTTAAAAATTGATTCACTTTATGAAATCATTATATGCCTGATTCAAAGGCATTTCTTGTCTTATTCTACACTTATACTTCGTGGCTGTGCCCTTTTTCAATTTTGAGACACAGGGTGACTGAAATGGAATTTCGAGTATCCCGTTCATAAATTGATATCGTCAAAAATTTAGCCCTGTGGTCAGTCCTGCCCAATACTCGTAGGCAGGACTAAACCCTATGTTTGGTCCTGCCCAACAATGGGCAAACGCCTCGTAGCCCTGTTTTTGGTCCTGCCTCATAATAGAAGAAAACAATGGCACTCCTGCCCTTCAGAAATGGCAGGACCTCAGGTCCTGCTCTTTCATGAAGGCAGGACCTAGATTTTTGGAGCCCTATGTCTCGTTATAATTTGTTGATTTTCTGCGCCGTGGTCAAAGGTCACAAAGAATTTTCACTCAGGCCATAGTCAGATCAGTTAACTATTTTGATATCATGGATAAAACTAACTGTAACGAAGACATCATGATTCTGCTGCTGAAGAAGTTTTTGCTGCTAGAAGCTTCGGCCCTACACTGTCGTCAATTGATTTATACAAGAATTGATCGTTTCAAGAAGAGTGGTACTTACGGAAATCAAATTGTTTAGGGTCGTTCTGTTGGTCCTATTTACTGTTAAAGTCGGGAATATCACAGACATCGCAAGAAACCTGATATGCATATAGTTTTCTCTCAGACTGCAGAGAGCAAACGAAGTCATATTCAAAGGCCTATTTTAAAAAGTAGAAAAAGTTTTGTACTCGGTGACTCAGATTGTATTGTACTGGTAAAATGTCAGGGGTCTCCTCTGATATTCACAACAAATTGATTCAAGACCCTATCTACCGTTCATCAGACATATATTGTGACAAAATATTTTTACTTTTTTAAATAATTTGAATCAATTATGTTTCCAGTATGTATTACAACTGTATATGCCTATCTGTACAAGCAATTTCTTTTTAGTCCATGATTTCAAAATTTTCAATCAATGAAAACATTTTCAAATGTTACTTATTTTAGAAAGAATTTTTGTGATGCTCTTTTGACTTCTTCAATGTAAGGCAGGAGGAACTTGAAAGGATCCGAACCTTCATCCCCTTTTTTCCAAAATGTGGCAGTAAAAAATGTTTCACTGCAATCTTGATTTCAACAGATCCAGAAGGGCGTTTCCCCCTTTTCCGAGGGTCTCTAGGGCGTGGCTTCACGCGATGCTTCACGTCTGGACGCTTCACGCGCCCCAGACCCCCTTTCAGCAGGACCACCTGTTCTTGGTTAGCTTCGCCACTGTCTGAAATAGTTAATTAAAACCACCCACCCCCTAGAACAGTTGTACAGACGCGTAACCAACGCGTGTCGAAGGTACCTTGCAAAATTACTCTAGCTGAAGTTATGGAAACAAATCATATTGAAGACAAATACAAAAATTAAGCGAAGATCAAAGAATGATGAAATGTGTCATATAGAAGGAACGATGAAAAAATCGAAAATAAAATGCAATTACGAAGCTCGTCTTGATCAGTTACACACTGTCCTTTATAATCAACAAGAACCAGAAAATTTGCTGCATCGCAGTAGCTGCTATATGCTACTCCATCTACTCCGCAAACTGGAGCTCTATTGAACTTGCTATGGCAGCTTCCCTGTGAAACAGAGGTCACAGTGTTTGGTAAATTGGTTCTTATTTTGAGAGACATAATAGAGGCAAAATAGGAAAACACAATGAAGTTTACAAATGTATTAATGTCTAAAGCTACATTTTTACTTAATCATCTGTAAGAATTCAAAAAAAAATTAATTTCTGGTCAACAAATTTCGCAACTAAGGGCAAGTTACCAGTTTAAGGCGGCAACCAAGGGCAAATTAAGTAAACAATTCTCTCGACAGAACTAAACTTTATGATTTAAGTTACTGGTAAATTATAAATCTGATACTCGATTCTCTGCACCTGGCGTCATTTGCTTGGGTTACTCAGTTCTTTCTAAAAATGCCAAAGTAGTTTTGCAGTCCAAGTATTTTTATGTTAAATATAGGATAAAATGAATTCTTAAAGGAATGCCTACTTTGCAACAGTATTTGAAGAGCGGCTCCTCTTTGCACTCTTCAGTTTGTTCATAGTCCAGTAAACAAGGTTCAACCATCTCTAGCGTCTGCTGTGGTTGTACTGAAAAATTACATGGTTGCATCAAATACCAGAAATGCTTTTATGTATTTCTATTGCGGTACTTCACAGCTTTGCTATCTTAGTTATAATAAAATCTCTAAAAAAATGCCACTGTGGGATCAGAATCACTGTCTTTTGTGGATAAATCTCCGTTGGTGTCTGTTGTTTGGAGGTAGTATATATTAATTCAGGCTAATATTGCCTATAAAATCATATAAAATTTTGTACTGCATGTAGCATTGTTTAGAAAATTCATGAAGGACTTGACTGAAAATAACTTCATGAAATAAAATGTAAAAACCATTTAACTTAAACTTTGAATAATGTTTTGGCTTTTAATCCGAACCAGAGCTTATAACTTAGTATAAGTATGTTTCAAATATGTCTGAAATGATGACGTCACACAATGTTGTATATCTGGAAGAACATGCGATTGTATCTTGAGCTAGCATTTAGTTCATAGGTGTGTTGATTAAAGAAAGATAAAGCTCACCACAGTCGTATTGTGGGCATACCAGAGTTGACAGCAAACACACTCTTCGATTCGGCATGCATCTAGATCATTGATACAACTTCAATTTTGATGCTTTGCAGAGGTATTGAATTGTTAGAATTGTTATTTCTCGATTGGGGGATTGCTTCAGTATTATTGAAGTATAATCTAGAATTTTTCAGACAAAGTGACGCAGATTGCCGTTAAGACTAGCAGGAGGAAAATGGAAAACTGTTGTTGACGTAAAGTTCTAAAAAACGGACCTTGAAGTGGTATTTCATTATTTTTATGCCCCATTTTCGATGGATCCTTGAGAAAATGAACAGGAGATCACAAATACTTCACAATCTGAAAATTGCTTTAAAAAAGCAAACAAATTTTCTACATGCTTAAAACTTTTTCGTCTGACTTTCCTCAGAGTATGAAACTTCAGAATAAGAAACTTTCTGTATGTAGAATTTTTTTTGTTTTTTCAAAGTCATTTTCGAATACTTCATAGCTCTACGCATCACCCTAGTTCAAAGCAATTTAGTGCCCTGGGCATTGTCTATTCATACCAATTAGCAAACATTATTGCAAAATGTTTTTATTCATACAAATTAGCAAAGATATGTGAGAATCCCTCCCTTCTTCTAATCCCTCCTACTTCCCTTCTCCAAATTTGATGATTCAATAAGACATTTCGCAGAGATGACAATTTAGATATTCAAAATATAACAACTGATATATTGATACTTACACGAGTTTCGAAGGGCAAGGTGATGTGCTGCAAGAATTTTCAAGCATGCACGCGCCGGGAAGAATTTGTTCATCTTGCAACCCAGTGCATCTGAAAAAAGTAGAATTTTAAACTACGAACTAAAAAAAATAAACATCACTTCTATCTGTAAACTCACTATAAATATTAATAAAAGACAACTCGAGGCAAGCTTTTTATAAGAGCACTCTATTTTTCAAAAGCAGAACATTTAAAACATCGACAAGTTTTGAGTTACGCTCAAATTCATCCACAGGAGAAAATGTCTAGCAGGGAACAAAAAACATTGAAGCTCAGAAAGACGAGAATTAAGGATGTCATTTATGTACCAGAGCTACAAGCTAGATTTTTTGGAGCAAAACATTTTCTTGCTCATATAGCAGATGTACCTTAAAAATATCTCCCAATATTTAGATGCGACTTATAAAACTACAGGAAAAAGCAAAAAATGGTTTAGATTAGATCTCTACACAAAATGGAGCTTATTCTAGACATGAGTCCAAAATGACGTATACCGTTGTTGCTGGCTGCTTTCGGCTTAAAAGCAAGATTAGGAAAATCCACTGACGACAAAGTTCTAAGTACCTGGCATGACAAATGCTTGGATACGTCATTCCGTTTATGGCACATACGGGATTGTAGATATCAGAGTCACAGGCACAAGCAAAACCTGAGCAAAAAAAGAGTGCGTACAGTTGATTCATTGTATTTTCCTGGGATCTGAGAAATCATATTGACTTGTTAAAAAGTGGCAGAATCTATGGTAACTCTGTCTTCATTAATTTTGAACATAGTCAATAGAAAGGACGCCTTGTTCCTACTTTCTATTGACTATGTTTTGAAGATGCTAGAAGCAAATTTATTGTACAAATGTTCAGCTCAAGGACCTTAGGTTATCGTATCACTTTAAACGAGAGGCGATTTCCACCCTTTGTGGTGTCTGGGAATTGGACGTCGAAGAGAAAAATTTAGCATAAGGAACACTAACGTGCTTATCAAGCTTATCAATATAGACAAATCGTCGCTGCACAGTGATCGCAACATAAAAAACGGTCTCCTTTCGGCTAGAACTCCTCTTTGGTAATGAAATGTTACCTTAAAATTCAAAAGCCAATGTTATAGATATGAGTTTTTGTCTCAAGAAACTTACTGTCAATCATTGTTAAAAGCAACTTTTGTCCTAAATCACTTTGACCTATTCGCAATAACAGAGTCATGGGCAGCGCCAGGTGGGGGCTCCATCCCCCCCACTATTTTGCAAAAAAGTGTTTTTAAAAGAATAAAAAAAAAGAACAGAAAAATAGAAATAAAAGAAAAGAATAGTGCGATAAATCCTTTTACAGTACTGCTTTATTTGAAAGGAATAAGCCGGGGTCTAAGGTGCCCCATAAAGTGACGAATTCAATTTAAGACTGGAATTATTCAAACGTGAACAACCATGCCTTAAAAATAGCAAAATGTTTGCAAAAAAGGACCGCAAGGAATATTCTGAAATATATTTTGAGCTAGTCTAGAGGGCGTGGTTGCAAAGGTTTTCTGCTCGCTCACCAGGAAGCCTCCTCTTTGGATATTCCTAAGGCCCCCGACAACCTCTTGCCGGTCTCCCAATGTAGCGCTAGCATAACGAGTGCCCTATAAAATCATAGGCATAAATTATCGTGAAGCCCTTCAGTGTGTTTTTCAAAAGTTGGATTTTTACTCTAATAATGTTATCAACTGTATTTATTTTCTTATTTGGTATTTAGTTGTAAGCTGAAGGGAGTTTTGTGTATAAAGAATACAAAATGAAAAAAAATGAAACTCGAGCCCCTCACTTTGAATTTCTTGGCGCCGCCCTGTGACTGTCTTTATCGCAACAAGATTTATTTAAGATATTACTGTTTTACAGGACTATGATGTATGAAGATACCCCGATGAAATCTGATGACAAGAATGGTCTTGAATCTAAACTGAACGGTGGTCGTCAACCCAGAAAGGCCTGATAAAGATGATCCAATGAAAACTCTTGAGTCATTCTCATTAAAGGAAGCAATAGGTGCTATTAAACCGCGTCTGCCTGATGCTGGTACAATCCGAGATAATAAACAAAACTGAACATGTAGTTCCATGTAGGATAAAGTTAAAATGCTTCTGGTACCTGCAAGCTCTTGACCTTCATTGAACGCAGAAATCTTTGTACAAATAACTTCACCATCATAACAAGTACAGATATTCCCATCTATGCTGAATGAGGACTTGTGGTCTGCAAGGAAATACATATGTTGACGAAGGTATTGGCTCAAATACATTGGTTTATTTGAAAGTATTAAAGATTGTTTGAGTCTTGTTTAGTACTATGCCATTTGCGTATTAGTGCCACTTTTTGGCACGGAATTGTTGATGAAGATGCTAACACACAATGTTGATTTCTTATGTGCTATAAAAATAAAGATCAATCAATAGGTAGGCCAATTTAAGATTAATAAAATTGTTGCTGTTGTCAAATTAGATAGAGCGAAGCAAATATTCCTTTAAATAATGCTACAAATATGCAACAAAATGAAAAAAAAACAAGATTTATTTTAGCAAAATGATTGGTTGAAAATGAGGAATGAGATAAAATATTTCAGATGTCAATTGATTCTAACAACGTTAAGGATAAATATGAATATATCTTTAAAAACTTTATCATTATCTAAATTGAAACATACAAAATCATATATATATATATTAGGATATATAAAATAATACACAAAATTATACATTGCATATGTGTAAATATATCAAAGAAATTATAGAAAATCAAAGAAAAATAAAGATTGACAAAGCTAGAAAAGCTGTGAAAAGTTTAAAACGGGAATGGACTACCTTGAAAAATTTGCAAATACCTTTGAATCCATTTCGCACTTTGCAAGAGGCAGTGTGATGACATCCTATCTGAGTGCACGATGACGCACTATCAATATACTTTGAATGACTGTCATCGACAATGCATTGACAGACCTGGTAGCACGTCTTGCCGTTCTCTGCGACAGGGACCTACACAATAAACACATCAAAGTGAATGGAAGAATGGAAGAATGAAGGAATGAATGAATGAGTGAATAGATGAATGAGTGAATGGATGAATGAATGAGTGAATAGATGAATGAGTGAATGGATGAATGAGTGAATGAATGGATGAATGAATGAATGAGTGAATGGAAGAATGAATGAATGAATGAATGAATGAATGGATGAGTGAATGGAAGAATGAATGAATGAATGAATGAATGAATAGATGTATGAATAAAGGAATGAATGAATGAATGAGTAAAGGAATGAATGCATAAGTAAATGGATGAATGAATGGATGAATGAATGAATGAATGAATGAATGAAGGAAAGAATTAATTAATTAATAAATGAATGAATGAATGAATAAAGGAATGAATGCATAAATAAATAAATGAATAAATAAATAAATGTATGTATGAATGAGAGATGGATGGATGAATGGATGGATGAGTGAATATACGAATAAGTGAATGCATAAATGAGTGAATGGATAAATGAATGAATGAATGAATGAATGGATGGATGAATGAATGGGTGAAGGAATGAATGCATGAATTAATGAATGACAAAATTAATTAAAGAAGAATTGAAAATAACGAGAAGAAGAAAGAGAAGGAGATACTGTTATGTCTAACTTGAATTCAGTGACAAAAAATATTATTAACTTGCAAAAATATTGATACCTTCTGATTATAATTAGAATAAATACAATATAATATCACATAAATTGACAAAATCAATACCTTAAAGAAGTCTAAATGCCTGATCTTAACATTTGGCGAGGATCGCAAAGCACAGCCAGGCAAGCACTTGTATGGACGACAACTCTCTGAATTCCTGCCAAAGCTGCATTCTTCGTTAATTGAGCAGACTTGTCTTTCTTTGCATGGATCATTTTGACACGGAAATGTAGCTAAAACAGTCGAAAACAGAAACAATTAAATTTAAGCAACACTGAATATGATTATAATGTCGACAGTGATATTCATAGATCAGAGGAATATATGCTGCCCTACATTATAAAAACTCTTGAAAAATTGTAATCGCACAATTCAGATCTTTTGCAAAAAAATCAGAGAATAAACAGTCGTTAAAAACTGTTTCTAGAAAGCTTGACTTGCAAACAATAGGTCAAAAAAGAATTAGATCCTAGAAACTGTCTGGTCAATAAGCTTAATTACGGCCCACTTTTCCTTGATTCGTTTTCTCAGATTTTAAGCAAACAGTTCTTACCAAATTTGTCAATAGATTCGTTTCTCCCAGTGACATAGTTGGTTGACGTCACACAATCAGTTTGGTCAGGGTTTGGCATTAGCATCATGCAGGTTTTTTCTGCTTTGCTGATCAAGTGACTTTGCTTCAGACATTTCTTCAACAAAGAAACACAGTCACTCCTAGGACAAAGGGAAAATCAGATATTGTTAGCTCAGGTCAGTAAGACATCAAAAAATGTGTTTCGTCTTTGAAGTTGATAAATGAACAAATATATGGAGATAGCGTTATTTAAGACTATAATACATTTTTAGGTACTTTTTGACATCAAAGAAATCAATCAAGGCTTCTAGCCAAGAAAAAAGATTAGGCAGCGATTAGAGGCGTATTTAGGGAAATTGCCGCTGAAAAGCAAATTGCATAACAGATACAGATAAAGATTACATATATATAATGTATAACAGATAAATTGCATAACGGTGAAAAATAGCAATAAACGATACTAACCTGCATATTTGATTTCGATTGGACGTTCTACTGCAAGGTTTGATCGCCAAAGTACATGCTAATGCCTATAAAAAACGTTTTAAACAATTCAATATCAACAAAAAACCTTTAAAACAAATTTTATCACAGCCAACGTGGCAACATTTCAGAAAATGAGGAACAAAACGAACGTGATCACAAACAGAATTACAGACTTCTATTAATACGCCGGCTGGAGGATTCTTACCTTCCAAAGCTCGGGTTCACATGAAAAGATTTCTTTCGCGGAGGAGGGAAGAGGTACATACGAATGCTCGCCCTTTCGCCATGAATCATATATTTTCTTTGCAGCTTGATCTGCGACAGAATCGCACCTTCGAAAAAGTTCCAATGGCCTGCAAATTGTTAGCAAATTAGTAAAAATCATGATTTTAATATCATGAAATTACAATGATATAGAATAAATGACATAAATTTTCGCAACTGGCGGTTCTTGAATTATAAAATAATTTTTTGACTGCCATTTAAAAATAAATCTTCAGGTAGAGAAAAATTAAATAAAATGAAAAAAAATGACAATATCCAATTGAGTTATTTCTATCAAATATTTCTAAACAGCTTAATGTATAATTCTATAAAAAAATTGAAAGAAAGTTGAAACAACATCTAATTCCCAGCTTATCTTACAAGGAAGAGCAATATACCTGTTGTTGAAGTTTGAGCAAAATGATAATTTGTCTTTACAACCAAATTTGCAAGGCTCAAGGACTGAAAAGAAATGAATAATAATGAAATATTAACATCATGAGATACCAAACTTGCAAGCTTTGCACTCTCTTGTATTATTCTATAATAAAACATAAATTCTTGCCTGCTCATTAAACTGAAACTCAAAATCAAAGACAAAATCAAACAGCGATTTGGATGGCAACGTTTCACCCCAATTGGAGTGATGGAGTTGGCATTTGAATCTTTGGAAAACAGGTGCTTTAAAAGCTATTTTATGTTAACCAGCTAAATATGTAGATACAAAAAACATCATAGAAAATAAAGGTTTATATTAGACTGGAAAGTGATAACTAAAACCACATTGTAGCACCATTAAAATCAACATTACAAAATCTACAAACTGGACTACAAGCAAAAGAGCATGATTCTTAATAGCATGCCACCATATTCTTTTGAGGAGGCCTGAAGCAAAATAGGTTTTAAAGAGCAAAAACGTATACATACCATCTGCAATACACGTCGACAGCTCATACTAAAATTGTCAAATGAAGGTTTAGACATAAAACGGTCCTGGAAATAGTTCAGACTTTCAAAAAATTTTCTTTTGCAAAATGCAAAGGTTAATGACTTCAAAGGCTTTAATGAACTTTATCTATGTTTTTATAACTCAATGCACGTAAGAAGATACTTCGTAAAAAAAATTGAAAGGTTGCCACCCGTCCAAAACCTTTTGCAAAATGAAATGAAGAAATGAAAAGTTGTTAAAAGTTATCAACTTGAAGTAAATTCTCCAGAAAACTTTTTAAATTAGCGAACAATTAGAGGAATACATACTTGCATTTCCTTACCTCTGATGGATTTTCCATGCATTGAATATACAGAGGGTCATCTGAACCAACGTACAGTGTTTTTGAAAATCCCTGAAAAATGAAAGCCGCTGATGAAAATGATTCGGAACTGATATGAATTGAGAACACACTAACCGGGTGAGTTAGATTTGAAGACATCAATAACAAAAACAATAAATAGGAGAAAATGGGAATAAGTGAAAAGATAAGTGAAAAGGTAAGTGAAAAGATAAAAGATAAAATACTAAAGTTACAAATTCTAAAGCGTTATATAATTCTAGCACCTTTATAATTTAAATATGGGTGAAAGAATAGTTCTTGAAATAAATTCTGTGTACATACTCGGCTACACCACGACCTGCAAGTACGGGATTTGGCGAAAACACAGCACTGATCTTGCAACGGACGCTCATCTTGATAGAAAATAATCATAGATATAAGACATGAGTGAACTAGGAAAAACAAACATTTAATGAGAGAAGGGTGCAGAAATCATGGAATCGTACTTAGATAGTAAACATAGTCACCTTTACTGGAAACAACATCCAAGAGGCAGTGGTATAATTCGTCCTGTTGAAAGAGAAATAAATCGTTAGAAAACATCAACACAGCACAAGAGAGGCTTATCGAGCGGAATAAGGGATGCTTTTTATGTCTCGGCATATTAGGTTGTGTTCAGTTGTCTCTCCTTGATAGAAAGTTCTTGATAACTGGGTTAAATTCTAGTCAATTGTTAAGCACTCAAAGTACATATGATTGGAAGTACTTAGAATGGATTAATTATAAGACCAGGGCTACAGCTCTTGCTGGAATTCCTAGGAACGCCAAACGATTCAGTTTTTTTCGTAGCCTTATTGTTTTTTAGAGGGTGTTAAAGCACAGAATTCAGATGCATCAATTTGTAGAAAAACACATTCTAAGAAAATACAGTCAGCTCTATAAGACTTCTTGTTTGTGAAGACTTCTGTAAAATTTGAGGAAAATATGAACATGATCGCCCAACCATGGTTTGTAGTATCGATTCCATTTGTAATGAGTATTATGGGATATTTACCTGAGGGTTTGAAGGTCCACAAACTTTGTTAAGCTCTGGTACCAAATTCGATTCTTTGATGTTTCTAGTGAAGAGCTGTTGACAGATGAAATACTGCACTTAAATAAACTAGACATTTGAATCAGTTTAGATTAAAATAGACTTTAAAAGGATGAAATACGATCAATTTCGAGCAAATATCAAAATCTATGGATTCGCTGATAAAGTAAAATTATCAAAATGACAGAAACATGTTGTAATTCCTCGTAATAATGCAGATAGCACATTGCCCATCAAACAAATGCTCTTGAGATTATAACAGCATGTAATTTCTCTCTGATATTTAGAACTTCTCAAATAATGCAAAATAACAAACTATCATCCTCACCTTTCGACAACTTTTTCTACAAACAGCAGAATGTCCAAAAGCACAGCATTTCAAATACTTGCTGCCTTGAGAGAATTAAAAAAAACCAGTTGATATTGAAGTACTAAGCAAGTGAGTAATACAAGCGAAATGCCATGAAAATCCCAGTTCTCATCTGCTTCAGTTTAACTATTTAACAAGATACCTAAAATAACAAATTATAAAATAAAATACAAAAATAAATTTTAAATACATCAAAATTAAACAATCTTTATAGAAAAAGGTATTAAAATATTTAGAAACCCACAAGTGAACATTACAATTTGCATTTAGAGTAGCAGTATAAAAAAGTATTTTCAAAGTAGCTTAAAAAATCGATGTGTTTGAAAGATATGTTTAAAAAAAAATTATGAATTTTCTGCTACGTATTTGGTACAAACCTCGAATTCCCTCATAGTTATCTAAAATAAATTACAGCGATTTAAAAAACTCGAATAATTAAAACAAGAGCTTCAAGCAAAGCAAAGGACATTCGAAATAATTTATGCAAATTTAGTCATCTTTTAATCAAGGCAAAAATGTTGGATCGTGAACGTGAAAACGTTATGGGACGAAAGAATAAAAACAGGCATTCAGCTATCTTTTTTGACTAATTTGTGCTTCTAACCTCCGATTCATTTGATATATTAACTTCACTTTGTACTTTGAACAAACCCTTATTTCAAATATCCATATATGTAACTATATCGCATTGACGTTGTCTACTTCAATCAGGAAAATAACAGTGATTTTAAAAAGAGATCTAAAAAATGTAGAAACATATGTAAAAAATATTGGAAATTATTTAAAACCACGCTATTTCATTTCTTTGCCATAAAAAATACCTGGTATTGCATGTATAATGGCAACCCATCCGTGAATCAAATTTTATCAAAAGGAAAAATTATAAAAAAAATTAAATAGAGATCAACACTTTGTTTGGTAACATAATATTTAAAGCGATTTTATAGTAAGTCTGCGTTCAAATACTTGCAAAATAAACACAATATGAAGAAATCAAAATATCACAATTTACCAAAAATACAGTTTGGGACCGAAGTAGAATTCTGGCAAAATTTATCAAAGGATGATTCCAACCAAGAATTTCCATTTGAGTTTGACATAATCACCTTGTGAAAAAAAATCAATAATTTTAGTATCAGTCATTGACTGTTAATCCTAGGAAAGAAACTGCTAAACCCTCGAAAGCTTTTTAAAACGTATATATCACTTGAAATTCCCAAAACGTATCGATTACCTTAAAATATCAAATGCTATGCTTTCTAGACTTTATTGGAGAAGATATGGAAAGGTCGGGGAAGCAAAGAGGAGAGCTACAGACAGAGAAAAGTAGAAAATTTCTATTCTAAGCTTCTTACAGAATAGGAAGACTTAAGTACTAAGTCGTGGCATAATCCAAAATCTAATCTTTCAAAATATAATCCAGGTTGATCAAAATATCACAGCAAAATGGGTCCTTCTCATCATTCTTTCTCCAACCTTCAATCCTCAGTTGAAAATCGTTTTAACGTTTCAATTTTCTCGGAAAATTTTGGCGATACTGCCCTTATGCCTTTTTCGGTGTCGGCCATTGCATGCCAAAGATATTTTAACACTGCATAGCACGCAAGGAGTAAAAAATTAAAGAAAACCAAAAAGGATCTTGAGGCAGTCTTCAGTCAAGTTTTCATAAAAACAACATTTTCACCAAGGAGCAACGGGAAAAAACTTCTTGACGTCTAGAAATTAGCATTCATTTCCACGTAGAAACGTTACGCGTGTTTCAAACAAAACTGTTCACCTGAGATTTGTATTAAAGAGATTCAATCAAGTGTTAATGTAGCCGGTATTAAATTTGAGAGAAAATAAGGTCAGGAAAAGAAAGAACGTCACCTCGGTACAGTGTGACTTGCAATCTTCTGTCTTTGCAGTACTGCAACACTCATTAGCAACTAAAAGATTTTTTTCTTATTAAAATCATCAACAACATTAACTGAGTTAAAATTACAAACTAATAACAAAATGTGAAAATCATCTGGTTTGTCAGTATTGGTTCCTCTCTTCATAGATGAACCTAGTAACCTAAAGCCTGGTTTCCATATAGCCGTAAGGCTGCCTGCGACTGCCTGTGACTGCTTTCTGCCATCTTCCATCTTCCATCCCTACGGTATCGCCGGCAGATAATTCTTTATGGAAACGCTTTCTAACGGTACCGCAGGCAGCTGTTTGAAGTGCCGTAAGACTGCCGGGAGAGCCGGGAGAAAGTTGAACGAGTTCAACTTTTCCCGGCTCTTACGGCAGCCTCCCGGTACCGCCGGCAGACAAATTACAAATGGAAACGCCTTGCCTGCGGCTGCCTGCGGCATTCTTTTGTTCAAACGGATCATGTGATGTGCAAGAACCAATTGAAACAGGGCTTTGTTGTTGAATTTCTCCCGCCAGTTTTTCCCGCTCAAACTTTACCTAGTTACCGGCATAGTTACCGATACCACAGGCAATTGAAAACAGAACGTTTCCATTTGCCGGCGCTACTGTAAGGGTGGAAGATGGAAGATGGCAGAAAGCAGTCGCAGGCAGTCGCAGGCAGCCTTAAGGCTATATGGAAACCAGGCTTAATAGCTGGTTATTCGAGCAGTTGGCAATAAAATGAGATTATGCGGGCGGGGGCTGAAATGCGTAATATTAGGCACGTGAGGTTATACTATTACCCAGGCCTAGGGATGTACCGGATATCCGGTAGGCCGGATAATCCGGCGCCGGATCGCTGATTTTTTGAAAATCCGGTTCCGGCCGGATTTGTTTCCGAAATCCGGCCAGTTGCCGGATTTTCCAGAACTTTAATCATAACTAAGAAAATTTGGAAAACCAAGTCAGAATCCCTTCATACAGTGATTAAAAATGGATTTTCCAGAACTAAACAATATCGACGATAAAACAAGCGCCTTGAAAACAGATTTGAAATGAAAGTGCTCTTTATCACGAAACAGGAAGACTGGATGATATAATTCACAGATTTGGTCCAGGGTTGCCAGATCGGCTTTTTAGGCCAAATTTTTCACTTTTGGTTTTTAGATTTAGATTGCCTGGAAATGTTGTTTTTTGCTTACTACTTAAATTTGACCTTGTTTGCCTTTTCAGCAGACGTCCAAAATTAATAAGTAATTACTACATTCATAGAATAATTAGTAGTTAACTACAAAGTGTTAACCAAATTTCAAATTTTATCACCTAACCTAAATATTATCTTGATATTAGCAAAGGGTTTTGGAAAAAAGTAAGATTCTTATCAAAGTTAAGAAATTATCTAACAGGCACAAGCGTAGAAATATTACCAGTGCCTGCTTGATGGATTCTTGAGAAAGTTTTTGATTTGGCTCTTTATGAGCATTTTGGCTTAAATTGCTCACCAGTCTAGCCTTCGTTTGTAAATTCAATATGGGAACCCCCGAATAGGTCTCTTTGATCTTCTCGCTATACATTTTTTCGCAAAGTGGCTCAAAACTTTTTACTACTGAAAATTCTATAAATGGTCAGATTATCCGGTAGAATCCGGCCGGATATTCCACGAAGAAATCCGGTAAATCCGGTTCCGGCCGGATTCTGAAAATCCTGATCCGGTACACCCCTACCCAGGCCCCCAGCAATGGTAGAGTACGGGGAGCCAGCCCCAACTTTTTTACAATACATGAGGATTTCGGTTAAGCATCTTTTATAATGAGTTTGTAATCCGTTTTTGTGATTAAGTTTCAAAAATAGGTTCGACTCCTTCGTTACATAATTTAGGCCCTTTAGGAGAAACAGTGCTGAAACAAGTGAATTCTGTTTTGCTAAATTATTACAAATATCTGCCTTTTTCTTAAAGATAATACACAAATAAATGAAAGCTTCACAAATCAAACTTATTTGTTAGAAAAATCCTGTATTGAGACACTTACTTTCGTATCTATTGAGACAAGATCGGAGATCAGCCTATATCGAATTAAAGAAATCATGTTATAAATGAACCTGAAAGAAGGGTAATGGAATATAGGGTCAATCAAAGTTCCTATGAAATTGTAAAAACTCTTTTTTTAAATCGACGTGCTTTAGACATATTAGTTAAGCTTCAGACATATAGAGCAAATAAGCACTCTCTGCCGGGATAAACAAGGAGGGGTACTAGTTCCCTCAATTCTTCGAAAACTTGGTCCTCGAGATTCATGTCAAGTCCATGAGCAAATTGATGATGTTTGGAGGGATAACATTTTTTTAATCCCAAAAAGCAGACATTCTTGTGCAGTCATTTAGATTAGCTTTGCCAATTTGACTTTTATTGGAGAGACTGCTCAGCAAAAATGTGAAATTTTCAAAATTTGTCACAGAAAGCTAAGGCGGGATCAGATGTCAATTGTTTGTATTCTTTTAATTTGTAGAAGATGTGTAAACCACACAGCTCTAAAAGGGCTCATACGGCGCATTAAATAAAATGAGGGGAGGGGGTATTCTAGGATTCAATGTGGCGTTTCCTTAGAAAGATGTGGTTAGAAAGATATCTCCCCAATTTTGGCCGCTGGCACCCCTGCTGCTGGTAGCCACTGCGGTACCCTTGGTAGGATGGAAATAATAGTTTTATAAAATTGGCTCTCTCAAAGACCGGAAATACCCTAGAAGATTTGCGAGATGTGACGACACTCTTAGATGCGTCTTTCCTACCGAGCTTCAGGTAGACAAAAAGGGGCGGGACTTTCATTGTTAGATGTAAGTAGTGAAAAAATTTCTAAGGTTCAAACCTCTATTTGATGGCTGCAAAAACCTTTAGCGTGATTGACGTTTTCTTCTAGAAAGCATTCGACAGCACAAGAGGCTGTTCTTGCGGAGAAGCAACAGGTATTGTGTGCAAATTTCGCTAAAAAATTGGAGAAAAAATGTTATGCGCACATTACCATATCCATTTTGAAAAATGAGAATATTAGATTTCTTCGAGCAGAAAATTCGATTTACAAACATTTGACGAGGCTGGAGATTTTTTTAAAAAAGAAGCTTAGTATTGTCTCAGCAAAGTTTGAGTAGAAAATATCTGACCTCTTGCAATTTTCCATGTTGTATTAATGCAACTCCAAAACTTCCGCTAAAAAATAGATGACAAAAATTAACATAAATACTATCATTGCAACTCCTTGCGTCCCAATCATCAGGGAACATTGCCCACAATTTTAATGCAGTGTCCTTTTTGCACAAACTAGGAACTCTTGAGAAATATCGAGCTTCTGCACCAGAGAGCAATTTTATGGATACCAATTACAAGAAGGGCAATAGTGAAAAGCTTAAGTTGACTTTTTAATTTTTGAAAACAATTATAAAATAATAAAATAATTGATAAAATAATTTCCAACCTGACTACCAGAACAGGCTCGTTTTATTCGATTGTATCTGTGAAGCAAACGACCTGACCTTCCAGCCTAAAAAAGGAAATCCTAAAAATTACCAAAAATGAAATCAACAACTGTCCAAAAAATAGATTCATCAATTTCCCGCAATTCTCCGAAGGGGTACTGCGTGTAGCCAAGATGTATTTTATAGGGACTGAGGTTGGGATGGGCTCAAGAAGTACCAACTCTAAACAGAGCCGTCATCAGGGGGGGGGGTTGTGCAGGGGAGCATTGGCTTGTCATGTTCTAATATTTGTTTTATTTGTCTGACAAATAGGGAAAAAGGTTTCTGTTTCTCACACGCTGATGCTAATATTTGATGGAAATATTGTCTTTGAGGCCTTATCAATACAGGCAACAAGAGAACATCCTACAGTTAATGGCAATTAGCACCAATACTGTTTATCATTAATTCATTCCAAGGTCACTATTTTAATCATTTGGTAGATTTGAACCCCGTGCACCCCAAACAATATGTCCCTTTAACCATTCTGTTGAAAAAATTTTCAGCTGTAGCTCTCATCATTGAAACTGTTCAAACAATCTTGTAGAATTTAATTTCAATACTTCCTGAAATAGAAAGCATGTTTTAAACAAATTAGAGCATGTTTTAAATAAAGGTTTTTTAAACAAATCTTTCTAAGAGCCAAATACAAAGCCAGCCATAAAGGTATGACATCTTGGTGGAGTAGTGGCTGTCAAATGCATGATAAGGAGGAAAACAACCATTGTCAAGAAGACATAAAAACCTATGGCAACTTTGATTATTCTTAAAATACAAAAGAAATTGAGAATTTGATTCAATCACACAAGATAGCGGATAAGAAAATCAATTTTAAACCAGGACCATGGAAGCTGGGGCTAGGGGGATGGGAACTTTAGCCTTCTAAAAATAATCTTTCTTTTAGATTTCTGAGTGTTTAGCCCTACCCCCAGCATTTTAGAATCCCTACCCTGATCAATAATATGCTCAGCAATCCCAGATTTAAAATACATGTTGACACTGTTGATGCAACTTTGTTTGCAAAAAGGCAGGCCTACTAACGCCTTGGATGGAGCTTGGAGCACAACTGAGAGAGATACATAAAACTGCCACTATGTCCTTGGTGATGCCAAAATAAGATGTAACCCCCCACCCCTACAAGAAAATCAAATAAACAAAGATACTTCTCACTTTTAAAGCCTTGCTATTTTGAAGCAATTCTTCAATTTTGGGCCTCACTTTAACCCAGGTGTCTGCCCCTTCTAACCCATTTCTTTGCAGACCTGAACTGAGGTATTGTGAAATTCTGCAATATGTATTTTTATCAGGCCCCTTTTAGAGAAGCAGGGTCTTTAATTCTTGTTTTGAATATTGATGCTAATGACCCTATCTTTGACAATTCATAATGAAATTCACACAATATGCAAAGTTCAAAACTTTGATGGGCACCTAAAATAATCATATATTTAATGGGCCCTAGGCAAAGACTGAGATACAACTTTTTGCTTAGGGGGCCAGCCCTGATAAATAAAGTGAAGCCAAGGCCCCAAGACTCCTATGGTATCTCAGTCCTTGGCCCTGGGCACTGCCCCAATTAGTTGACTCCCACTCTTGCTGACCTTCACATAATGGGAAAAAAGAGTTGTGCAATGCTATTAAGGTTTGTTGTACCGTGTGAGGTGACTCAGAATCGATTGGCACTCAATTCCATTACAGGGCCCATATCAACAACATGGCTGTCCTTCAACTATAGTCTTCAAGTGCCTCTGTGCAAAGTTAAAAGAAAATTGAAATTGGTAAAATAGATTGGGATCTACAATAGATTTGTATTAGATTGATTCTGGACACAGGGGGACACCCTTAGAGTCATATAGCATTAAAAATTACTCCTGTTTATGATCATCCATTTATATACTGGGATAGAAGTGTTGTCATTTTGCTTCTCAGTTAATCTGCCAAATACTGCTCTGTAATCCTCCATATTCATACCAAGAGTACTCCAATATGTTACTTGACTGAGAAAACAAATACTGTTTATCCGTATTCCTATACATCCAGGTCAGATGCTGGTCAGCAAGCAGGTTTATATTTATACTTTCACTAGATGACAAAATTATGGGACAAAAAAAAGTGAAAGAAAAAAAAATGAGTAGAAATTCCCACTACTGCTGTGTTCATATTTTCTGCAGCACAAATCTTTTCTAAAAAAATTACACAAAAAAGCTTCTTTTTAATAACAAAAGTAAGGCAAATTATACATACCTGTAGGCATGCCCGGTTGCAAAGTGCCAGGTTGGTTTGGCTGCAGCATCTAAAATCTGCTACAGGTAAAGAAAAGATACACAAGAGATACATTTTTTGTAGATTGACCTTTATATATCTTGCATTATTCCTTTAAACTATTCTTAACTATATTCATGGGCTCTGACAAAGGTTGAAAAGTGGGGGGGCCAAGGGAAAATTTAACGCCCATAACAAAAGATTTTGAAAAAAACTCTATTGTTTTCCAAAAAGTGGGGGGCTAAGGCCCCCACGGCCCCCCTTCGTTGGAGGCCCTGATATTAATTCTCATATTAATTCTATGATAAACCTTAACTATATTAACATACAAAAAATGCCCTAAGAATTTATATGCAAACAGCAACAGTGTAAACTAATGTAAACAGAGAAAAAACCAACTTTAAAGTACAGTTAACCTTTTAGTTGTGTAAATTCCTTTGCCTGTAAAAAAGCAGCTTGATAAAACAAAACAAATTTTTTTGATAAAATGATAAATGCATTTTCCCCTAGTAGTGTAGGATCAAAATGGAAGGGAAACGTCATTTTTGTAAGGAGGAGAAACGTCATTTTGATAATTTAAAATTCCTTGGATAAAATTTCAGGGAACTGTCGTTTAATAGCAAAATCCATTCTGTCTGTAAGGTTATTTATTGATATTCAAATGTTGATAAACGTCTTAAAAACAAACTGGTAAACCATGTTGCACGGTGTTTCCTATTTGCAAACTTACAAGTAGCATATAATCAACTTTTCTAGGATTGTTGATTTCTTTGGACAGTAGTCATAAATAACATCAAGATAAAAATGATGATAAAGAGTAGAATCTAAATAAAAGGAATAATATATAGCTGAACCAACCTTGGCTCTGACAAAGCAGTGCAAAATGCGTTAATGTAAAATAGAGAGCGAAGGATGACAGCATGTTCTGCTTCTAATCTATCTTGGCTGTTACAAAAGCCTGAAAATTTTCGTTGGATCTCATTTCAACTTCGTCATTTGTACAACAAGTTTTGAAAAACCAAGTTTCTTATTTCCTCAACCGTTCCTGGCATACAGGAGATATTTTCTGAAGATGTGGGTTTTGTAGAAAACGCAAGAATGTCTCGTCTCTCCACAGCCCGTCAAACCCTGTTGTGATTTTCTATTATAAAAAAAACGGTTTCAAGCTGTGCATAAAACCATTGCCCCGCCTCTCGATTATCAGGCATTGTCTGTGGCTGAAAACTAATAACATGTCTGTGGCTGAAAACTAATAACAAACTTTGAAATGCAATTAATGCACTGTATGTTATTACACCTCTACACACGCGACAGGCCTATAATTGGTTCTGCAGTATATTGTGGATCGATAAAGGAGTAGAGCGATATCAACATTCAAATTTTTTTCAGAAAAGCCAAATTAATCCGAATAATCCAAATGGGCCACAATCTAAACACACAGTTCTTTGGATAGACACTACTATACTGGAATGTGCGGCTAGAAAAAAGAAAACGGAAAAAGAAATAGAAAAATGAAAGAAAAATACATGAATTCCTTTGCGATAAAACAACTGAAAATTTGAAAGGTCCTTCAAACGCTTCTTGTAAGAGATATAAAGAATTGCCAGAAACTTCGTGCCAAATCGAACCCAAACTATGGTATTTCTCCAGAAAAAAAACTTTCAGCTCGGAAGTGACATAGAAAAGCAATGCTGCAATTATATTTATTTTTCTCTGGGCTGGCTCCACATTCAAAATAAAAAAATTAATTACTTTAAACTTTCGTAAAGCAAAAGCAATAATGATCTATAGCTGTATGTGAAAGATCCTTGGGACAAAGCACCTCGACTGCTAAAATCACCTTTTAAAAATTTGAGTTTCTAAAATTGAGAAATTATGCTACTGTTTATGCTTAGAAGTCAGTATAAATTGAATTATTAGCAGTTTAAAATAATGTTAAGCTTTATTTCAGAATTTGATTTAAAGAAAGCTAGAAGCTTAGGATTAGAGCCAGGAGGTTCGGTTAGGGGTATGTGCTTCTTTTCAATGCAGAGAAAAACCCTTTGGTACTTTTTGCCATCTATTTTGTAGAAAATGCTTGCGAGGTGAGGTCACCCTTTGTTCTTTTCACAGCCTGGTCACTACACCCCTGGTCAAAGTTGTTGCTTTTAACAGCACTACACCCGGATTCCACGTGGTCTTCCTGGATCATTTACTCAGCTCAGTGGTATGGATCCAGGAGGTACACAAAAACTTTTGCAAACACACCCATTGGTTAGCTAGGGGGCCTCATAAAGTTATGAATTCCATCTCAGAATGAAAAGAATGGAACGATTGCAAAAAAGGACTGCAGAGGTATTCTGAAGTGTATTTTAAGCTAATCTGAAGGGTGTGGTCGCAGTACTTTTCTGCTCGCTACGTTAGCAAGGATCCTCGTCCAGTGTGCTCCAGGGCCTAAAAACCTCTAGGTTGCCCTGTCAATCCCCCACAACTATAAATATATTCGCCAATCATCACGGATTAAACATATGGACATTCAATTTAATGTTTATTAATTCAATGAAAGGTTCGACACGTTCCATGATTTAGAAAAAGAGATTTTAAAAACATTTAAAATTGCAATCATATAAATAAAGTAATCTTCGATAATCATTTGAAACAAATTGTTTAATTAGGGTGATTTTCAAACCGTTTCTTTATTAGTCCATTGCATGGCATCACATCCGTTTGTCCGTTTCAATTTGCCTAGGAACGACTTCAGGACTTCATTTTCCAATATCTGGTCTTTCAACCTCAAACCACGATGGACAGTTAACGAGCCCACCAAGGACAGAAAAACTTTTTCTGGCGAAATCTTGTCCAATGGTTTACAACTAACTGGGTTGTCTGAGAATAAGCCTGCTTGGTGCTTTTCTGCAAGCATTGCACATTTGATCATTCAATTTGGTAAACTTTGGTACAGCTTACTTGTAGTTGCCCTGTGAAGAATTTAGCCAAATGGTGCATTAAGTACGACGATTACTAAACACAGGAACATTAATTATGAACTATCAAGGTTCGTCGTTCCTACGGAATGACAAATCACAAAATGAAATAAAATATGCGAAAATATGGGAAGATAATATGCTTAGCTATAATAACTGAAAATTTCGATGGTGTGCCTGAACATAAGTGTTTCAGTTTAATGTTCTTAAAAACTGTAGTAATTTAGAAATATAATCACTCACACTGATAGTTTATTTCTGATGGAATTGATATATAAATGGTTTTCCGTGCAGGCACATTATTAAAAGAAACTTCTTGTGCCAATTCCCTGATATCTTCACTCGTAAATGAGTTCGTTGTCGACTGGGCAATGCGAAGAGATTCGGCCTAGAAAAAAACTCACTTTATTGGCAAAGGTGAACATGAATCTAAAACGAAAGATGCAAAAAGAGACATTTTGGTGTGAAACATATATGGATTAATGGATTAACAACAATATAACAGGTAAACAGGCATATAACAGAAATTTAAGCTTATAATTAATTTTAAAAACAATTTACAAAACAAACTTCCAAGGCTTCTCTTTTAACGTAAGAGTATTTCGGGTATATGTAATGTATAGGCTAAAGAAGTTACTTGCTATAAAACCGTTTATTCGGCTTTTAAAATGAAAAGTAATTGGTTCACTATTTCACAATGCAAAATCCCTATAGGTCAGGTCATCAAACAAAGCTATTCTAATCAATCTTTTCAAAAAAACCTTTAGATATTCCAGAATTTTCAATGGTCGGTAGCACTCTAAAGACAAACTGTCCTGCTCTTCATCAGGTCGACAAGATATTTTATCTGCAAACGAAAAGTTTAATTCGCAAAAAATTTGCTGAAGTGAAAGGTGTAAAAGTCAGACTGGCAACTCGAAGCCAAAGTTAAATAATGTCGAGAAAAGGAGAGAAGACCTATTGACAATGGTTGCTAACAGCTAATATGGTTAGCAAATAAAATTGAGCACCAGAATGAAAACAAAATAGTTTGAGTATAATGGAGTAGAGCTTTCCAAAAGTTTCAATTTACAAGAAGAGACAAAAAGACTCTAGCACAATTCTTTAGTATACGGAAATATGTCTACAGACAATCAAAACATTCCTAAAGAAACTTGTCAATATCATATTTTTTTTAACTTTATGCAATTATATGTAGATGTTATTGGAGGTGTAAAATCATTTGCCAAGAGAAAATAATATCTTATAGGTAGAATTATATTACATATCTTGATTGTAGAATGATTGCCATAACAAAGTCAAAAACTCACCAAGAACCTCGTCAAGCTCGGATACCCCGAAATCCTGGATGACTGGTGTCACTTTGACTATTTCGTAGACAGTCTCGTCTGTACTAGCATCTAAATGGGTGGCAAGAGAGGTATGACAAAAGTTAGATGACTATAACATTTTATTTCACAAAGAATGAAGAAGCACAATCAGCCAGCACTGAAGGTGTTGGATTAAAATGAATGCAAATTATATTGTCAACTTTCTTTTCATTGAATTTTCCCTCATTTTGCGTTCTTCTAATACTCCGTCACTTCTCGATGCACAATTTTTGACCTCTTCAGTCACAAAATATTCCATACCTTTGAAAATTGCACTTCGTGAAATCAAGAAATTCCGTCGAATTAGTAAAAAATTATCGAACAAAGACATATTTAAGCAACATTTATAAAAAACATTATGAAGTCTGCAAGGTTGCTTTCTATCGCCCATCTTTCTTATTTAGAACAGGGTAAAATTCTAAATATCGATTGTAAGCGATCTTTTAGTTTGAAATTCTAAAAAGCAGCCATAATGAAATGATAAAAGATTATTTGAATAAAAAGCAAAATATATTACTTTTCCTTTGGCGAATATGAAAACCATTGGCTGTAATTCGTCGGTCTACGAGATACCTAAAACACGAAGGTGGTTTTTGCTGATACTTAAAGAATAGAAAGATACAACATGGTGAGAAATGCTCGCTGTGGAGCGATACATGGCGTTTATGGAATAGTTTAAATTCGAAGTGCGATAATTCAACTCCATAATTATTAGTGCATCAAATGTTTCCCTCCACAATTATCCGTGATTAAGTTTGTAACTCAAACTTTCGGTAAATCGAATAAATTTCGTTTTCCCTTTGAAAGATTGAATCATCGAACGTTTACTATAAATTTAAATATAAGATAAAAATATAAACATATTTGACTTTAACTTTTGCCAACCATCTACAGAATGAATAATTTTTTTCTTTCAATTACTAGAATAATACAATTTATGAAATTCAAAACCAGAAATGACGTATTTTTATTCAAGTTCTTTTCAAAGAAAAGAAAGGTAGAAATTCTGGAAAACAACTCAATTATTCGTAGTATTTGGAAGTGTCTGCTGGAAAAACCCTACAAGAAACATCTTTAAAAATGTAAAATGTTCTAAATAGATTCTACCTTCCAGTGTCTGGAGGGATGCTTTCAAAACGAAGACTTCGAAGCTTTTCAAAATTTTTCAACCTAAGTGAAAGCAATCACGTTTTCATATTTGGCAAATACATTATCTCCTATCAATTGGAAGTTAATCATACTCTGATAATCTGTTCAGATTCAATATATACAAATATGAATTGGATCAGGAAATATTGAAAAAAAATTGAATAACCGTAGATTATAAATTTACATTAAATATGGATAATCATCATAAAATTGGTACGCAGTGAAAAACTTCAAAAATCAATTCGGTGCTTTAAGGTAGATCTATCAATGAAATATGGAACAACAAAAGAATGAATGAATGAATGAATGAATGAATGAATGAATGAAAGAATGAATGAATGAATGAATGAATGAATGAATGAAAGAATGAATGAATGAATGAATGAATGAATGAATGAATGAAAGAATGAATGAATGAATGAATGAATGAATGAATGAATGAATGAATGAATGAATGAATGAATGAATGAATTGATGAATGAATGAATGAATTGATGAATGAATGAATAAACATAGTCCAAACACAACAACATAGAACAATTAAAACATAGAGCAAAACGATAACTAAAGCCCTGCTATTTATATAATTACTTCTGCTAAGGCATAAAAATACAAGAAACCAGAAGATGGCAAAGAGACAGCTTGATGAAGAATTGACCTCATAACTTGTACCCAGTACCAAGAAGAAACTTTCCTAACACTCTAGCACTCTAAATTTTCTCCTCTTAATAAAAAAAGTCTTACGATTAAAATGATCATTATGCAGGATTAAGATATGGCATAGGTATCATTAATCCTTACCAAGTCTGTAATGGCATAGGTATCAAGTCTGTAAAAAGAAGTACAGAGCTTTAAACAAACCTTCGATCTAAGGGCATTGTGCAAGAGGTTGTTGGCAAGACGTGCTTCCTTAACAATTCTCGGTAGACCAAATCTTCGCGAGCCCTTGAAGAAAAAAAATTCATGAATTTTTCTAAAATTGCTATATAAAAGCAAAGGTTTGACATTGAGGGCAGAAAATTGTTTCATCGACATCATTGTTGATGTCTCTATTTTCAGTCTTTTTGTCTGGCGTTATGAACAGGACAGCAATGCATTACTATTTGTGCTTTGGTGCAGCGCAATTTTTGCCAACAATTGAAAACAGCTGCCTTACCATACTTGGCTAGAAACAGCTGAAAAACAGGAATAGCTACCAGTGCGTGTGGAAAATAAGACTTTTGAAGAAAATTGGGATTTAAAATGAAGAATATATCAAAAACTTTTCGATTTCTGGCATAGAGTTGTAGCATTCTCATTTGAAAGGGAGTTCCTTTTTATGTTTCTATTTTAACAAAAAAACTCAACTCAGCGATAGCCAACGATGTAATGGTTTTCCAACATCTTTTGTAAAGTTGTATTTCTCTCTCGATTATCAGGGCAGAGACAAGAAAAATACCTTCGATGACGTTAAACATTTATATATTTGCACTTTTTACTTTAAGCCTTTATATCGACTATCCGGTTACTTTTACTATTTGATATTTCCGCGTGAGTTACTCTCCACCACTCCACTGGCCTACGCCAGGGAGTGGACGTCTCTTTACACTAAGACCTGTTTCTAGAAGCTCCTTCTCGTAACTAACAATAATTCATGTTATCGGATATATTATGCCCATATATGTGTGTTTTCGTTAATACCTGATATGGCATGATGACCTTGGCCTATGACCTTCTAAGTGTTTGCATTGTTTCCTATACGAGGGTAGCTGGACTGTCCTTAACAGAAGTCTATTCGTGCATAAAAACTTCAAATGATGATCTGAAGTCTCCCATAATGGCGACCAGCCGTGGTTGGTACTGTGCTTTCAAAATTGTGGAAATGTTTCTATCATTAGGTGTACTGATGCTTCGTATACTTTAGAAATGACTGGAGAGATCGCCTTGCTTTCTTATCAAACTATGAGTAAGTAAAAAAATACCTAAACGGATTGAAGAAGAACATCTTCCCATCTTGACCGATAATCCACGAATTCCATGGGCTTATTTTCCCAATGACACTAATATCCTTTGATTCTTCGTGGTTCGCGCAATCTTCACTATAAAAAGAATTCAATTGGCGTACAGAGAAACAACAAGAACATAAGTAAAGACAAATTTTAATCCTTATTATCATTATCACACTTATCTATGTCTTAATTTAACTACATTATAATCATCATAACTTCATTTCGTTTTAATTTAATCAAGAATATAGTCGCATTCGAAGTAGTCAAAATAAAAATTGCTTTGTTTTGGAATGATTGCATAAAAAAACTGAAAACTTTTGTATTAGCCAAATCCAAAGACGCACAGCAAAATTTAAACAGATGAGCAAGTACTGCAAAACAAATATCAAGTTTGCAGCTGCACTTTGAGACATAAAATCGTTTAATTTCAACTTTGATTACCTTTCTGACAGCTCGTCCTCCTCAAAGTGTTTTCGAATGTCATGCAGTTTAAACGATAAATTGTAATCTTCAGCACGGGAGACATTTCTCATTGAAGCAGACTTATTTTGTCCAAGGTTCATTTTACTCTGCACCTAATGATAGAGAGAACTTTCGTTGTAGCACAAAACATGCAAAAAGGCAAGTTCGAATTAATTCCTTTCCAAGTAGTTGACTGACAATAATAACCATTTATATTATGAAAGTAGGGGATTGCATTATATTTGGTGAAAGTAGTTTCTAAAGCCCCTGGGGGTACTCCAAATAAGGCTGGGCAGGGGGGTCAGTCGGTTTCAGGGTCTTGTCAAATGTCTTCCAAACGGCCCAACTGAGATAATAACACTACCAGTTGGGAATATTTTAAGAAGTTGCTTCCTGATGGGAGGTATTTCTGATTGATTGCTGGGTTTAGATTTCGACTTACTACGAAAAATGCAAGGCTTAAACGCTCACTACGAAGCGATTTTATCTTTCCCGAATCAATGACAGTAAATGCGTAGAGAAAGAATTAGTCAAGTAAATACAGAGCGAGAACTAAGAAATGTGATTGGTTTTTATGCTACCAGTAAGAAGGGGGTATGAGTTCTCGCAAAAAATTACTGTGTAAAAAATGGCCCTCTTTGTCCCTGACTGGAACTAGTTTATAAAAGGAGGTCATTTCGGTGTATGTATGAAAAATTCAAATCATTTGTTGTCAGTTGAAAATGTATTTTGGGATGAGCAATAAAAAATTGAACAGAAACATAAGTAAGAGCGAGAGAGAATGCAAATTCAAAAAATATTCAAGAACGAAAACAGAATCAAATCGCAGCAACCTACGCTCATAGACATTTTGGGGCCAAGTATCTTCTTCGGAGCTTTCTTATGCGGTTGTAGGATTATAAATGGCTGCAAAATATAATATAAAATAATAATATAGTTACTTATATCAGGTAGCCCTGTCAGCAACAATAGTACTAATATCAATAAGAGCCCTGCTACTCTGATAAATGTAAGTTTTAAAAATCTTCGAAGCACCCTTCCCAAAATTTTGAATCATCTTTTCTATTTCTTTAAGTAAACATGAACAATTTCTGCACAGTTTGCATGGCATGTCACAACATAAAATTCTATGGTCATAACAAATTCATAATTAAAATCTTGAAAATATTTTTTTCTAGCTGAAAACTTAATCTTTAAATATTCAAATGAGAAACAAAGCTGCACGATTAAATGTATGTATTTTACCTCTACCGGTGCTCCATTGCTGTCATTTATACTTGTGCCTCTGCTCCAACTGTCAAGTGATATCTGCTTCAGTCTAGACGCTGAAATTGTGTTATCTTCTTGTAGCAAAATATCAATTTTTTACGCTAACTGGTATTCATTCGTAAATAAATAAATTAGATATAATTTAAGTCTAGTTTCTCATATAACAAGTGTCAAAAAGCAAGAACCACTCATTTCCAACCAAAATATTTACTCAACGCAACCGGAGAACGGGTGGAAAAATTTGGTAGCGAATATTATTGGCGCAACTGAAAGATTTCTGGTAATCAGATCCACATCCAAGACAAAAGGACGACAAGAAGGCCATTGACATGAACAGTATAGTGCAGATAAGTTCAAATTTACTAAAAGAAGAGGAGCAGACCCAGTTTCTTTAATCAAGCTTGCGAGGTGATATAAAAAGATGAAGTTATCAAGTGCCCAGTTGACCTCTCTATAAGCATGGTTGTTTTTAGCAAGATCTTTTTTTCTAAAACTCCAAAAAAGTCAAGTTACTGACGTCCGTAATGTGGGTAGGGTAAAGGACATTGTACAGGCTACAACTCACAAATTATGAATCTAATCTGATCAGAACATTTGTTGACGAGTCACCTAAATTACAATCATAAGAAGGAGCAGTCGAAGCGTCATAAGGAAAACAACCATCAAAGCACCACCATCGCAAACAGTGACCCAAATTAAAAAAAACATCAATGTTTTACCTTGGGAAGAATTGACTAGAGGCTCATCATCAAAAATGCATTCATCTTCATCCACACTAAAGAACTCATCTAAATCACTTCCAGGGCCTCCTTCTTTCTGTAAAGCATGGCTATTTCCAGTTAATTTCTTCCTTGATGCTTCTTCTTCCCTAGAAGTTTCTCTTGAACCAAACAAAGGGATTGATTGATTACGAACAGTCATTGATTCATCACTATGATTTCCTAAAGTGTCTGATAATTCAGAGAATAATGACAAAGATGTGTCAATATCGCTGCAATTAGAATGAACATTTGAATTCGTGTTTGTATCCTGATTACGCCATGACATGCTGTTTTCTTTTACAACACTTCTTATGTTTTTATCACACATCTTATTAGCCTCGACCTCTTTGTTTTTTTGACGGTCATCCTTATCATCCTCTGTTAACTCGTCACTCCTTTCACATTCAGGATTTCCATCTAAATTTCCAATTTGCAGAACATCAGCTGGAAAATCTTTCGATAATTCAAATAAACTTCTTTCTGAGTTGGGTATTTCTGGTGTCGTTGGGAAATAGTTCTCTATCAAAGGATCGGATACTTCTGGGGAAAATGAAGGGGAATGGCTTCCTGATTCGGCGATTTCCTGAGTTCTCTTGATCGTCCCATCGCTTTGATCCTCCAATGCTACGCAATCACCATCAGAACTGTGAAATTAAAAATTTGCAATAATTTCAAATCAAAAATCGTGGTATTAAAAAATGACATTTGTGATTAGAAAAAGGAAAGAACTAAGTGCTTTTTCAATCGGCGTTAATCAAGTTTTCATCAAAATTTACATTTAAAAAAATGTTATATGATCGATAAAAAAGCTCTCTAAATATAAGATCACAGTTCCCCTGTACACCTTGGTTTTGTCACATTATTTCTATTTCAAAAATTCTTTCTTTACTGTCCCAAGAACCGGCAAATTTTGTGTTTGTTATACCGGACTTTTTTACCGGACCGGTATAAGACTAAATTTGACAATCCCCTAGGCATAGAGGAAACTTTTTTAATTCGAATAAAAATTTGCTTGTGTTTGTTGCTGTCCACATTTAGGGTAAAAACTACTTGGTGTAATGAGAGCTTGACAAGATTTCATTTAGGGGCGTGGCTACGGTGGCTGTAGGGGGATGTCAGGGGGCATTACATCCCTTATGAAAGAAAATTTCATTGTACAAGCGTAAAACTCTTTTTGCCATTTAGGGGTGCTTCGTCGGCCAACTTTCAGATACGTCGGCAAACAAAAGATGGCTCACCCACTTTGTCGGCTGGGAAGCCCTCTATTCGGGGCACATCTCTTATGCAAAAAGGTAGCGACCGTCCTAATTTCATTCGACCTTGCAAAATCCTTCTTTAACAAAATTTTTCTCAGACTGACCATTCATCCTATTTGCTTTTATGTTGACGAAAGTCTCGAGCTCTAGCATTTAATTTTCCCAGCAATTTACACGGAATAGAGTATGCCAATGTCATTTAGAATAGAGAGTGGTGGAAAATCAGCGTTGTTGTACAGCGAATTTTGTCTCGTATTCATGTTTAATAATTTATGATCATCGCTTCTTGATGGTCGTCGAAAAATTAGAGCAGTTTAGTACGAAAGATTTGTCGCAGTTGCCGCGAATGTGAGAGAGTTGAAAGTGATTAATCCACCTTTTATAATAAATTCAGAGGAATTAACGTTAGTTAGCCATGCCTGCTTCTTGGTTATTCGAACAACACCACTGTGCTTTATGCCTTGACAAACATGTTTGTCTAGTCGATGATTGAATTAATGATCGAGAAAAGGCTAAAAAAATGTAATTAACGCCAGAATCTGAAGATTTAAGAGAAACACACTTTGCTCCAGCTGCTGGCCAAAGGGGACGCATTAGAAGCTAGAAAAATATCAGAACCTGATGAGAATTTAAAGCAGCTATAATCGAGCTAAAAACGTGGGCATGAGTGGTAAACTTTAATCGTGCTTTTTCGTGAAAATAACCTTGCAGTAAAAGCTAATCTAACCCTCTTCCTGACATATAAAGTTAACCCAGTCTTGATTCGAATCAAACTAAATATATCTTGATGTGACTCATAAAAATTTCTATTCGGTGAACATACTATATTTTCCTGCAAAAAAATACCATGGCCTAGCACAAAACTTATGAATTTCTATATATGTCTAAAAGCGAGAGACTTAAAAGATATTTCATGAAAATATGCAAAAAATTATTGATTAATGTAACAAAATTTATCAAATGAATTAGAACGTAATCCCACCAATTTTTGTTTTTGCAGTCGCTGATGTTCGTAATTGGTTTACAGTCTTCAAACATCGATCGAATCGTCTTCTTGATAATGTCGATCACCTCTTCCTGCATTTTTCAATTGATGTAAGTAAATAAACACAAATCAAGACCAGTTTATTCCTTATAGAAAAATAGTTTATAAAAGGTGCACAGGAAATTGCAAAGCAGAAGAAATGAATTATTTTTAAAAAGACCTCGAAGGTCAAATTAAACTTCCTTCAGATAAAAGAGATTCATAAGCGATAAGATGGGCTGAAAGGCAAAAGTGTGAATTACTATAATTCTAGAGTAAATAAAATTCAAAAATTTGACATTAATTGATTAGGAAAACAAAGAAACTTCGCAAATAATATTATATCTCTAAAGATTATTCCCTGGCTTTAAAACCATATATTTTTGAATAAAATTTTATATCTATACAAAAGTTGTACATGCTTGTTCCTATACACATCTGTTCTACTTTAAAACATCATTTATTCAAGAACCTGAACTTTGAAATGCACATATAAAACATACAAAAAAGGGTACTTGCCAAGTTTTCCAAAAGAACCAGAGATTTATTTGGCTCCATGTTGACATCAACATTTTCGTAAGGTACAGTAATTGCCATGAACACAGTCAGATATCTATTGGATACTGCAGCATTGAATTCAAGATATGTTGCTTTAATAACCTAGAAACCCAAACGAGTTAGTATAAAGTTAGTACTGTGATGCTTCAAATCATTACCAGTCTTTATCAAAAGGCCTCCTTGTCTCATGACCTGAATTTGAAACAATTGCCAGTTAGAACACATATTTTTTTTATTGGACAGGTCCCACCAAAAAATTATCATGGTTTATGACTCTATAATTTCTTAAAAGTGGAAGCATAGATTTTTCAATTTATTTCACCTGTTACTAAAAATTCTCAAAAGCAAAAAATTTTTTTTGAAAGCTATCAGGGGAATTTTAGCTTAGCGTCTTGGTTGCTAAGGATACAAGCAAAACTGATTAAATCTGTTTCCCTTTTCTGTTATTTTCTCTAAGGATTTGTTCTAATCGGTGCTAGACAGCATGCCCAGGGTAACCTTTATCCTCACCAAACCCAAAAAGTAGGATATAAGAATGGGGCCAAAAGAAGTAAACAATCAAAAAGCAAGAAAAATGTGGGTCCTCCAACAAATCTTGCCTTGGCAACAAGCATATTTGAATAGTTTACAAAAGGTCACCCTGCTCATAAAACCAAGAGATTTCACATGTATCTTTCAAAACTATTTCATATTACAATATGAGTCCAAAGTACATTAATGACTTATTTGAAAAACCAAACAAAAGATATATATGATCTTAGAAACCATAAAACCATTAAGTATGGAAAGCATTGAGGTACCTAGGAACTCTTGTATGGACTAAACTGAATGAAAAAGAAAGGGCTAGTTCAAATATTGATAACTTCCTCAACTGTTTTAGACAAAAGGACCTTGAGGCTTTACTTATTAAAGACAAATTATGCAATGAACATTGTAGGCTCTGCAACTTTTCTTGAATTTTCACTTTGATATATTACTTCTAATAGATTAAGTTTTCTTTTTTATAGACTGTATGTCAATAGTGTCCAGAATTAGCAGAAATGCTAAATCACCTGACACTGTAATAAAGTTGTTAGTTATAAGCTATAACTTGTAGTAATCAAATGGTGCTTGTAAGTAGATGTATGTATCTTTTACATAGTGGCATGTTACTTGTATGTAGTTTTATGTAGATTGTATGTTGTTTTATGTACATTATATGGAGTTTAAAAGTTGATGTCCTTTGCCTTATGTAGTGGTATGTAGCTTGCATGTGGCATTACATAGCTTGTACATAGCCTGAAAGAGGATGTATATTGTTTTACAAATCGTGTCACAGCTGTCTGAGCTTCTAAGTCGCTTGTATGTAGTTGCATATGCAAAACATAATAGAAAATGAAGTATACAATTAGATAAAACATACAAACCTGGCTAATGGTTTTGATCTCTACCAGCCTCTCATTAACAAAGACAAATGTACGGTCATTTGAAGCCCTGAACAAAGTCTCCACACAATCCTTTCTTGGCAGAAGAAATCTTATTGTGATATTTCCACTCTTATCTTCAACAGTTCCTTCTTTCATTTGGCCAAAACAAGCAGTGCCAAAAACAGAAATAAAAGAATCTTTAGTTGTTTGATGTTTTGATTTTTGCCATATAATGGATTTATTGTGTTTCAGAACAACTCTCAATTCTGGTCTAATCAAACCATATGAAATGAGCAGGTGCTCAATTTTCTTCAACTCTTCTTTGTTTTTTCTAACACAGCTATAAAATTGCCTTCTGACTGGAAGGTTTTTAAAAAGATTTTCAGCTATCATGTTCACGCCATTTTCTCTTGAACAAGGCCTAGTCTTGATAATACTGCCATTAGAATCAAGAAAAAACATCTTGCCAATCTGCTGATTCCCTGTTTTGGTTGAAAATGATAAATTGCTCACAGTAGCTAATGAATGGAGAGCTTCACCCCTAAAACCAAGTGTTGACAATGTTCTCAAACCAATATCATCTACCAGCTTTGAGGTATAATGGGGCTTTGCAACAAATTCTTCATCACCAACTGCAATTCCACAGCCATTATCTAGCACCTCAATTCTTCCAAGACCAAAGTTTTCCTTCAAAGGCAAAGATATATTGAACCTTTAAGCCCAAAATCATACACTGTATCAACCTAACACATATTATAGCAATCCATCCCTTCACTTTTAGCAAGGTTTATTTACTCTAACAATACTATAAAATAATAATGAAATGAAATGAACGTAGGTAAGATATGTTCAATTTTAAATGAAGGCATGTTTAACGCGACCCAAAATTCAGAGCATAGGGTCTTTTTCGCTTTCAGGAATATTAAAAAAGACGTGCATATTTCAGACGTGCATATTAAAAAAGACGCCCGTCGATGTTGAAAAGAAATGAAGAAACTCTGATACCCAATACTAGAGAGTCGTCAGGGTGAATCTTCAGGCTATATTACTGCATTTGCGCTCATCATATATCTACAATATTGGAATTATGCTTACCAATCTCACTTCAATATTAGTTGATCCAGCATCGATTGAGTTTTCGACAAGTTCTTTAACAGCAGAATAAACTGATGTTATAACCTGCGTGCTGGATATGAGCTGTATCGTCTCCTTGGACAACTTTTTCATGCTGGTAATGTTATGACCTCAACATTTAGGCCTACATATTCTTGGAACGGTATACAATTTCTTCCCGCCAAATTAGCGAGCCTCTTTTTCATTCATGACTGTGCCATTCAATGCCGGGTTCAAATTGATTGAAATCAGAAAAATTTGACAGAATCCCTAATTGTAGACAAAGGCGAATCTTGAAAGTGAAAAAGGCAAAGGAAGAAGAATAACGTTGATTCTCCAGAATAAATTTTTTGCATATTTTGTTTTATGCGCTAATGATGAGGGTATATTTCTCTCATTAAGAATTAGACTTTGAATGTTCTAGTAGAAATTTTAGTCTTCTTATGAGAAAGATCAAGGTATTTAATTTCATGGTATCTAAAACATTATCTAAGTGTTCGTTGCTTATTTCGGGAAGTTTTGATTATATTTAAGAGGAAGAGGAAGGGAGGACTTGGGCGAACGAAGCATATATCTGTTTAATTTAAGGCTTTGAATAGACTGTAATAAACATTTCAATCTCTTAAGCCCTTTTAGTTTCGATCCTGATTCTTTATTGCAGCACTATTTGAAAAATTTGTGTTGGAAAACTAACTGACTTTTGAAGCACATATGGACTCGGTCTGAATTGGTCACTGAATGAGTTTGCTAATGCAATAATCTCACTCAATGGGATGGTACACTTAAGTGTGCGATGAGAACAAGCCTCCAAAATGATCTGCATGTTAAACCGTAGGCAATCGAAAGAACTTGCAAAACTATAGTCAATAGAAAGAACTTATCGTCAAAAACCGTTAGTCAATAAACCAAAGTCAGAAGTTCTTTAAAGTCTTATAGAGAATGCCTTTTCTTTTAATAACAGTATGACTCCTGGTCTTATTTTTATGTTGATTGCGGTGAAACTGTGATAGTGAACCATGGCGGCAGTTTCAACAAGATTATTCTCTTGTAATGCGATTAATCTTCAGAATGATAATGGTTTGCAAGAGTTATAAGAAACTTCACTTGAGAGTATCATTTAGTATTCGTTGTTTCTGTAGGACCCAATCAGTTCATAAAAACACTAGACATTTTTTATCCACGTTAAATATTTCATTCTTACATTGACTCTTATCGTTTTTAAAGGCTTGAAAAACAGCTTTTAATCGCTCTGCTTACCAGAAATTTCCCCTTTACTTTCGTTGACTTTCAGCAATCCAATCTTCTTTAAATACAAGCTCAAGACAAAAAATCCAATATTTTAATTAAATTAAATTAATTAACAAAACTGGTACATGTCTAGCCACGATAATTTACAGATGAACTAAAGTTTTGTTCAAAATTAACAAGCTTTAGAAATTTTGCTAGTCTTAGGTTTTATTTGATGCAAATTCGTTTTAATGTTCACTCTTGACGTTTTGCTGTTCAACTAGTGTTGTCTAAACATGCTATCATGCATAAAGGAAATGTTCCTACAGTAGCGTCTTGATGAAATGCGTTCTTTCTTGTCTGTTTGTAGCCGTTAATTTTAGTATAATATGACATGCTTTATTGCTCTCATTGGCGTAGTACTGTAGTTTTGTAGTAGCCTTAAGCTAACCTTTACTCTTAATCAGGAATGTGTTGCTATCGAAATAACCAGGAGGGGAGGGAAAGGTTCTTGCCAAAAATGTTGCGAAAAACAATAGCAAAAGTAGAGATAGATTACTGTTTGCCAATAACAAGGGGAGACCAGCCCCTCTGATTTGACTTCGCTTAGGGGGCGCAGGATACCTTCTACTGCTATGAGCTTGAAATGAATCAAATTTTAATGAAAAAGCAAAAGTATATGTTTGAGGTTTATATCTTCGTTATGAGTAATATATACACTTTAAATTCAAATATTCTAGTTTAAAAATCAAAATTCTTGTTGCTTTCTCTACCAATTCAACACAAGAAAAATGTTTATTGTTTAGTGTACTCACGTTTTATAAACTAAACACAAGACAAGTTTCATACATTGAAATGAATACTTTAAACTAAATCAATTAAACCCCAAAGACAAATATTCCACCAAAAACCTTTTTACTATTAATAACATCTTTATTACATTTAATTACATTATTGGTTAATTGACTAGTTCGAAAATACACCCATAGTACACCTCAACTGTTTATATACAATGATATCATAATGTGATAATCCCTACAGTCTATATAATGGGTAAAACGTTGTTTGACTTCAGAATGTTCAAAACATAGGGATCTTCTTTTCGATAGGATCTCTGCAAATAGGGCACATCTCAAGCGACGGAGAGCAGATGTCACATGTTCCATGGCCACAAAGGAACATGACGTTCTTCTGTCTGTCAAGGCAAATTGTGCACGTGTTAACAGACTCGATTTCCTTCACCTTTGCCTCGAGGTTTTTCAAAGATGCCAACAAGTCATCATATCGTACCGAGTCTGCATCATTTGGTGCAGTCAATGGCTGCATGTCTAAAACCAAAGCAGAACATTCTCACCATTTCATGCAGTTAAACATAAGATAAATACAGAAACCGCAGAAGAGGGAGCTGAGGGGTTAAAGGATTAGCAACTCCCTCGAACAATTTCCAAAACGTACTTAAAACCGTGTAAAAATTGCCTTACTCTTGATTTCTATCATTTTAAGCCATTGTGTGGGTTGTAATGATGACATAAGAGGTGATTTGTTGCATTGTTAAGTTAACTACTGTGGGTACCAGAGCCACATTAATTCGAGCTATTATTGTATTAGCTAGTAGAATGTAATGTAGTAGCGTGGTGGCTCAAAACTGGCTAGGGGGCACACATTTTTGCTCCCCCTAGAGAAATATGTCCTTGGTACATCTCTGTCAGGCCTGAAAAGACTTCGATGTTAAGACCGATCAAGGGCTTTGTAAAGACCGCTACCATGGCAGCCAGGAAGAAACCTTTTTTGAAATATATCGCTTTAGGGACGGTCAAAAACTGCATTTTAATATCTACAGTGCACGTAGGTATAACCTCAATGAAGATGCTAGGAAATATTCACTTATTGCTATCATTATGTCCAAAAGTTTTATCTGTTTTGAATTGGTCATGACCACGACATGATAACAGTCAAGGTCTAACGAATTTTAGGAAGACGTTAAACAATTATACTTGAAAATGGTAATATCATACTACAAAAAATACATCGCTAAACAGCTTTGTAAATTTGATCGCTTAAATTTCCGATATGAGTTTTGTCTCGTATCCTATCCAACTTTTGTACAAACTAGGAGGGCAAGCTAGGGTAAAAAAATATGTATTGCAAAGCAAATAACATATAATTTTCAAATCATCAATTTACACTTTCTGTCATACGAGCGCTAATAGCTTGTGCATCATCGAAAGTTTACTATTCATGGTTGGAACTGTTGTGACCTGTAGTTAAGCTTTATAGACTAGTAATACACGGACTTTGTTAACTGTAGGCCCTTTAATCCCTCACATAGACTACCAAGTCCCGTATGTGGGGAACTGGGCCGAGCACATAATGATAATTAGAATGATAGGATATGACAGAAATGTAGGCTTACGAAAATTTTACAGTGGTTCAACAATCGGCCCATTTGATCTGATTACGATTAGATCTACGAATAGCTTTTACATACTTTTATCAAACTTCTGCCTGATCTCCATTTTGCAATGAACACATTTTGCCATTCTCCAAGCACATGCTGTAAATTCAAAACATTAATTATAAAAGAATGGTTTACTTACAAAATAAACAGCGCTATAAAAGAAGCCTGGTTGCCCCTGACAGAGTCTGGTTACCTGTCATCTTAAGATACATGTGCCAGATAAATCAGAAGGATGAAATTTGCCTTTTGTGATCTTTAACTGGTTTCTGTAACCGATCTAAAAAAAAACTGGATCGAGCTTCCAGGGGCGTCGCCAAAGAAGGGGGTACAGGGGTGCAATACCCCAAACATTTTGTTCGTCGGCACATTAAAGATTTTTGCAGGGCAAAAGAAATAATTTTTGTACTCACTCTGTAACCTTTTGCAACAATTGTAGCATATTTACATTTCTGTGTAGTTAAATTTTAAAGTATGGCACTCGAGTGAGTATAAACTTTGAAACAGGAACGCAAACATTAGCATGTAAAAGTATTTTTTTTTACCACACCTTAAGAAGTGAGACACGCCCTTTTTGTTGGCAAAAATTCAGAAGTGAGACACGCCCTTCCAAACAATTTTCTTGGCGTCTTCCCCCCCCCCCCGCAAGCTTCTCCAGCCCAGCGTTGATTCCACCTTGTAGCGTCCATCTGGGGACCTCGCCGAGTTGTATGAGACTAAAGAGCAATCATGTTTCAATTCAACTTGCTTTTTAATAGCGAAATTTAAAATAACCGTTGAAACAAGAACTTGCAGCATTCATAAGTGACGTTAAACATTTTTGCCGCGGTATTTAGTTCATGGAAGAGATAATCCACTGTTAATTTTTTCTTAGGCCTGTTGCTTCTTAGATTACTTAATAATTCAATGATTAATGCATGGTTCACAGCGCTGCACTGTGTGTTTACCATTTCTACCCACGGCAGCCCTAAGTTTTAGGCGCGAGAGGTCTCAACATGGAGAGACTCGATCGCCTCCTCGTGCTGATGTAGGAGAACAATAGGTTGTTCGATCCAGTCTTTTTTAGATCAGTGGTTTCTGCATGCTTCATGACAGCAATGTCTACTTAGCTCACTTTTATTTAGATCACAATAAAGTCACCACATTGCTCGACTTCGTCATGACAAAATGCGACCAAACCTACTCAAGAATCTAGGAGTAGGTCTAGAGAAACTGGCCTTTTGGAGAAAACTGTTAAGTGAACGCCAGATACAGCTTATTTTGAGCTTTGAGATTTGTTTTGGTTTTTCTTCGGTGTTTGAGCAGAAGATTTATCGCTTAATGATATTTTTAAAGATTGTTGACGGTGTTGCAAAGGAACATATATACTAGCAGTAAAAATTATAAGATGTAGACATTGCTCTGTGAAAAATGTTCCTCTAACTCTAGAAAAACCCTGTGGTCAACTTGTTGACAAATCTTATTTCGTTCACAATACAGGGTTTTTCCATACCTGAGCAACAAACAACATGCTTGCACGGCTCAAAGAGAACTTCGGCAATCTTCTCATCACAGATTAAACAGTCAGAAACCGCAACCTTCTTTGAGTAAGACAAAACATCTTCCTGCAATACATAAAAGATTTTCATATTTCAGGGTATTATATGATTATTTAGAAGACATAAAAGATCTGAGAAAGAGGAAAAACCAAAAAAAATTCTTATTGATTCCTGTAATATTTGATATAAACATTTCATTATCCAATGACCACCCTTTACTTGCGCAACGCAAGCCGCAACACAATCTAGGCTACGTCATATATTTTAGGCCTTCTTTCTATCTTTATCATTCATTAACCGAGTTCTGTTTTCACTACGATAGTTTTTTCTGTTAGCCTTTACAAATAATCTTGCTTTACATTACTTATTTTCATAACGTCTTTTAACGATCTTGATATCATTTATCTATCGCTTTTTCTGTCACATTGTTTATCTTATCACATCAATCATTTCATTAAACACTACAATGCGAATATTTTTGAAGAGCCACCTAGAATAAGATGATCTTTTAACCATCTCTGAATTAAAAATGATAAAAAAGTGCAAATTTTGAAAGCCAATCTTACCTCGCAAATGAAACACCTGCAAAAATAGCCGGCACAGTCCAAGCAAACGGCGATGTCACCACACGGCTCAAAACAAGCATCTGTGCCGTTCTGTCGGCATAATCTGCATTCTTGATAGCCAAGTGAGCCTTCTGAAGAGATGGAACAGTACTGGTTTTCGTTACTGTGACTGCTGCTCGAGATGGACTGCATACGATTTTCCGTGGCTTCTCTTCGCATGTAGTTGACGTACCTGTCACAGAAAATGCATATGCGTAGATAGGAATATTCATAGAAGGAGCGAGAAATTAGATTTTCCGACAAAAGTCTAATTACACACTTTTTTATTATAAGAATAAAGAATATTAGAATATTGAGGCTCAGAATAATTGAAATTTGAGAACAATTTAAGATGCATAGCTCAAGCTTCAGCAAGAATTAAATTTTTTGTTTATTTGAGTCTTTTTAGAATGCAAAACAAATGTGAGTTTCACGCTACATATCTTGAAATAAACGTATTTGGCCTTGAAGTCATTACCACTATGATTCAACCCGGTTATACATTTAAGAATGATTTAAGGAGTAATCTTACGCTAAAAATAAAAAAATTCAAGAATATTGTGGGTCAGCAAAAACGAGGTATTCTTATTAAAAAATGTATGCATCCAAAAAGCATGAAACTTCACCATAACATAACGACATTAGAACTGAAGTAAACAGTAGATGAAGTCTTGCCGTTTGCTCAAAGTCAATTATCATAAATCATATACTACTACAAGAATTTATGGTCTTGTATTTTTAAAAAGGCATTTATAGCTACCATACCTTATTGAAAAAAATGCTTATCTCATTAAAAATAACGGAAGAAATCGTTAGATTCAGCTCTAAGATCCTTCCACTAAAATTCTTATACAGATCGTGAAGACAACCAGAAGATATTTCTGACAAGATCAAAAGTTTTCCGACAGAATCACTGTTAAGCTTTAGGGGGCGGAATTTTTGCTTTCTCTGAACCCCCTCCCCCCCCAATTACACCGCTGAATAAATGGCCTCTTTTTCAAGTTTATGTTCAATAGCTCGAAATTTGGAACAAGTTAACGAACTGAGACACACAGATAGAGAGGCAGTCAAACAAAAACAAGCAAAATGACAAAGAAACCATTCTGAAAGAAACGTTATTTCCCTTTTATGAGAAGTTATATGCCTTATCATGCGTTTAAATTAAGTTGGATCGCAATAATTACATAGCCTTTATGGTGCTTTATGGTACATACTTTTCATTGTATTTCTTTACAGCACTCAAGACTTCGGATCTTGGGCATGCACCAAGTGCAGTTAAACCATTTGCATTTTTCATGCCGACATCTGCTCCATTTTTTACAAGATAGCAACCAAAGACAATATCATTGCTGAGCCACGTCTTCTTCAAATCAAGCTCTTCAAGAAGCTAGAGTAAACATGCTTAGATAGAGCATTTGTAATCAAACCAAGGGCATCAAGGTTTAGGAATAGTCTTATGTTGTTAATTTGAGAAAAAAACATTTACTATGACGTTCAATTAACAGGACTCAACTGCAAGGATTGCAAGGTCTGCAAGGACTTAAGGTCAAGGACAGGGATAAAAAAATGACAAGGACAAAATAGAGTAATGGACAATGAAAAGGAAAAAAGAAAAGTACTAAAACAGGAGAGAAGGGACAAGGAACAAAGAACAAAGGAGAAGAAGATGATTTCTAATAACTCTCTCTATAAGATGTATCTTTACTTTGGAAACAAGGTCTTTAGATTACCTTCTTGATTATCTGTTTGTTCTCAATCCTAAGTTGATCTTTTTTGCCGATATAACGCTTCAGAGGAACACAATACCAGACATGCTCCCTTAAGGACTGTCTGTCTTGCGATGATATTGTCATATGTAACGCAGTGTTGCCACGCATATCACTTGCATTGATATCTGCACCGCTCTGGATGAGATAGATTGCCGTCGCAAGATTGCTTGTCATAATGGCAATATGAAGCGGTGTGCGTTGATCAAGATCTCTCGAATTGACATCATACCCTGCCTAACGAAAGCCGAGTGGAGAAAGTCATTTTAAAAGTAGCAAACAAAGTGATTAGGGGAAAATATTGAGAAAGCAGAGATAATGGTTGCAACACCCTGAAGCAAATATTTAAGAACCTGATACCGATTGTTATTATACTAGAGAACTATCATATAGATAAATTACAGCACTGTTTATATATCGATAGGCTGCCGGTTTACAAAATGAAAAGAGCAAAGAAAGTACTAAAAACAATGTATAAACTAACAAGCATAATGTTTTTAATTAGCGATGCTAGACAAATTGTTTCTAGTGTCAAGGTCTCCCATTTCACCAATAGGGACAACATATTATCGATATCGATTGTTGTGGATTTGATAAATTCCTAGTTGACATATCATGAGTTATAGGCCTATAATCAGTTGTTCTGACTTGCTGGAGATTTGATGTTGCTAAAGAATTATACCTGAAGATTTTTCGGCACCCTTCATACATCCGCAGGCTCACTAAATCTGACAAGTTTTTACAATTACTACAACATTTGAAAAACCAAACTTCAGTTACGATACTCTACTCAAATTGATTACTGACTTATGTATAGAAGTTTCATTATTAATGTAAGTATTTTCACAACAATATTCAACTACCATGTACAAAGTTGTACTTTGATTATATTAATTCGTGTATTGAACTTCAGATCTGGTGTGATTGCCGAATGTTTCTGCGAAATTCTACTTTCTTCCCAATAGTTAATCAGTTTGTTTATTTCTTTTCGTTTGTATACTTCTTGTGAATCTGTTATGAGATTGTTCGGTTTAACTATTCCGGAAATCATTATTTAGTATAACTACTTGGCAATGCTCCCATCATTTCTTGGTGCCTTGACCAGAGAATAGGTGGGTTAAAATTTGATTTTGCTTATTTTATGTATTGGAGTTGGACTACGAATCGTTATATTGTAGTTTTAAAGAACTGTGGAATCATATACCAGTTAGTTTATTTCCTGTGTATGTGTTTTGTATCATCGTACGAGATCCACGCTAGGGACAACTCTTTTGGCAGAAAGTAACGCTCCACATAACTTTTTTTGGCAATGTTTCTCATCATGGTATTAAATTCTTATGAAGACTAGCACTTACTTCGTTGACCAGAAATTTCACGAGTTCGAGGTTTGATATTACAGCATAATGGAGTGGAGAAGGCCCGCTGCTGGGGCGCATCATCTGATTCGACATAAGCTTGAACAATATTTCGGTGCCACTAAAACAGAAAAACCCTACAGAACTCATTCGCATTAAGAAAATTAAGAATATCATCCTCGCAAAAATAATTGAAGCTAGGGGATTTCAAAGCCATTTAGACGAGGAAAAGCTTTGGGCAGGTAAGTATAAACTTTCTGCCAATTTTTGTATTTTTAAACTCGTTGGTGCTTTTTAGACACCTTGAAGATAATTTATATGCACGTGCTGTCCAAAACAAAAAACCTGTCAAAATTTTCTTAAGTATAGTTAGGCCATTTTGTTAAATACCCCTTAACCCATTCATTGTTAAGACTTTCTCGACTCTTACGATTTTATGGGAACCTGGCTTTAGGATTTTCTCTATATGTTCATTTTTGCATATGATGATATATATTTAGCAAAAGTTACATTGTATACGGCCTGTTCGTACGTCATATGGCCCGCGTCATAGCATTGTCTTACGTTAGCGACGTCCCCTTCCATTGTTTATTTTATGGGTGCGGGATTTTCCCAGCATTTTCTAGGCCTAGTCATAGGTAACTCATTCTTTACCATATGTTGTTGTTTTACCATTTGCGTAGTTTTCTATCATTTTTGCATACTTTAGATTTAGATATGTTTACGTTGCATGGCATCATTTAACCTAGCCCTTCCTTTTTCTTGTTATCGGCTAGTCACCATAATATTCGTGTATCACCAATTTTAGATGCCATTCGTACATATATAATAATTATATACAAGTTGTAGTTTAAGTTCAGTGAGATTGGGTCACGAGAAGCTGTTTGAACGAAACTCTGTCACTCGTCGTAAGGCTTTGGGTTAGGTTAGGTCCTAGTATGCTTCGTAGCTATGTTTTAGTTGTATCAAAGTGTCTGGGTTATAAAAACAGTGTATTTCTGGCGTTTTACTCTCTGGGTTCGTGACACAAAACAACAAACTAATGAGTCTTGTAAATAAAAACCAAGAAGGCAAGAAGGCCGAGTTATCCTCGGCTTACTGAAGTCAATAAGACGTTACTGCTACGCTTTACCACACCCAAATACCTCTCAGTTAATGTTCTTATTACGATCTTTAATTTGTTCTATGATTCAAGGCTAAAGCTCAGTTCAGTTCAGATTGCCATAGCTCTAAGAGATCCGTAGACGCTCAATCGCCATATTCCGCGCGTTGCAGAAACCACGACACCAATTTCTGATGTTATCATCTTGGGCGTCCAACTCGGTTTTTCTCTTGCAGCCTGGCGTCTATAACATTGCACACTAAACTCTCTGGTCTACGTCTCCAGTGTGCATACAAGCACGTAAATTTCCGTTGTTTTATCGAGTTCAAAAACACTTTCGGATTTATTCCACTCCAGTAAACTAGATATAGTTCAATTAATAAATGTTCACTTGATAGGGCACAAAATGTGAAAGATGTACTGGTTTTCAAATGACAAATGTAAAGCGATGGTATAACCACCTACAGTATTCAATGGCATAGCCACCTCGAGAGAGTAATTACATTTAATACACATGTGATATTATGAAAGAGAACGTTGTTTCAAAAAATCCATTATAATCATTAGCCAACATTACTTACAACAAACTTCCGCAGACAGAGGCGAATTGCAAGTAATCGAGGTTGGATTTTCCCGCCAAAATAGTGGTATCAAGGCGCTTGCTGGAAGTAACAACTTTGATGATTTCTTCATTTCCAACTGATAATGCATGATGAAGAGCAGTGTGCTTGTTTTTATCCTGTATAAATTTGATCAGTGGCCTTTAAAAAAGTTGGTCATGAAATTGTTGGCAGTGTAAATAGATAAACGGATACAAGATAGTCACCGTGTGGTGTGATCGCCATGATGTCATAAGAAAAAGTTAACCAATAGCTATGACAATTCGGTTTGCTTTTGGTCATTCCTTGCAATTGTGTCAAATGAAGCAGTTCAGCTCAAATGCAAATTTAATACATTTGATGTTGTTTTTCATCAACAAGGGTTTTCCGTGACCTGACAATTGATGAATAACGAGCAAGGAGCTGCGAAATCACTTTGAACAAAAGTGGAAGCAATCTGGTCCTAAATTCAGTTGGTTCCTTTCCTTTTTGCAATACACATAATGATGAAAAATCAGTACGATGAAAAAACATACAGAGCTCGGACAGCTTTCTCTTAGGTATAAGTAACTTGCAATTTCACTTCGATTAAATTTGAGACAATATGAGTGGATCTATATAACTGACACATAATATCAGTGTCCTACAGAAAAAGATCGATCAAGGCCCCCTACTGCTCTACAAGGACTCTTACCAACACATTGACATCTGCCCCCTTGTTTATCAAATATGAAACAATGTCTTCTCTTTCTTCAAATATAGCTGCATTCAAGGGAGTCCCGTCCAAAGATGGCGTATTCACCTGAAAATAAGGAATTTACTTCCTTAAAAATTTTACCAGTAACTTCTATATATAACACATTTTCTATACTGGGTAAAACAGCTGCAATGCAGAAGAAGAAAGAAAATTGTTCTCAAAAATAAGATGTTTACTAAAAGATAGCTCTGAAGCTTGATCAAGAATTCAGAGTGATTTTTGTTTCGAGCTTTAAGGTGAAATGAGTTAAAAATTTTCTTTTCATTAAAAGAAGACATGCAAGAGAAATGATTTTTTTTTCAAATCTTGATATGAGGTTTCATTTGTGAGCTGTTAGAAATATCCATTTATAGTGACAGATTTAGAAATGTGACAGATAATGACACAATATTGTTTGCAAAAAGGTCTTAGAATACAGGAAAATGGCAGTGTGTCTAACAAAATCATAGTTGCAACAAAGAGGGTATTCAAAATGACCTGTAGGATAATTCCTAGCATTGCTGTCACATTCACTATCTGTATTGAATTGTTTTTCAAAATAAAACAGTTATTATTAATGTTAAAAAAATTGCTGACACTTTTCTTAACAGATTGCAAACAAAATGAGGTCATCAGAAAAAAAATCAAGTATTGAAAAAAAACGAAAAGATATGCAGCAATCTTGTTGTAATCTTCTTCTTTGTTGCAGATCTTCAGTTTTATGTAAAAGGAATTTTCAATTCATTGCTTCTTTTTCTTTCTATCTACTTTTTGGCAAATTTTCTTTCGAAATAGTTTCGAAGAAAGTGTATGCTTGCAGCAGTCATAATATCTGTTGAATGGCGCCATTAAGATGAAAATCGATTACTGTAACCATAAGTGGATATTAAGTTACACTAATAGAAAATACTTACATCTTGTGGATTCGCGTCTAACATATCTTTTAGTTCTTGCAAATCACCACCTTTTGCTGCTTGTACTATTTTGAATTCATTTGACACCTCAGAAGCTGGAAAGATGTATGTAAAAAGTTCTTTACTGGTTTTAAGCATGCAATAATTTTGAATGCAATATGATGGCTGCAATGGATGAAGCAACGAAGACAGTTTTGTCACGTGATATCGGAATAATCGCATTTCAGCAGATTTTTCTTAACAGCATTTTACAGATCCCCGTTTTCTATGTAAACAAGTCTCATTGCAAGACATCTTGTGCTCGAAGGCACAGAATAGTTTGATTGGTTAACTGGTTATGCTGAAAATTTGAACTTACATTTGCCAACAGAATCACCAGCAGCAAGTTGCTGGACTTTTTCATCAATAAAATCGCCAGGAATAACAACAGAACTGTGACCGACTACAACACGATAATTGCCATCAACATATGATTTTGTGATTTTCCCGATCTGTCCTATGCACTGTAATGCAAATTGATTGAAATCAATCTTTGAGGAAACAATGATTTAAGAAGTAACTCAAAAACTATCTGCTCATTTTGCTTTATAGACTATTAACACATCTCTTCTGAACGTTAGATATGTGCTAAGTTCTTTCACGCTGAAAAAACGATTGGTAGTGCGAGTGCACAGTAATTTCTTACAGCAAACTTTTCCTTGGTGTTTTACCCAATAAATGCTATGGAAGAATTGACTGACTTCTGCGAACATCTCCTTTCCAAATGATTTGCTCAAACAGTAGCTTACCTTGGCGATCTCCTCATTCCATTCTCCAATCTGAGAGGCAAAGCTCTTCTTTGCAATATTGATGTCTGAGAGAATCTTTATGCTGTCTCCCTCTTTCAAAATTTTTGGAGCTAATACCTATGAAATGGTAAAAGAAAAAATGTAGAAAGATCACAATTTTATTAGCCTGCGCGCAGATCCAATATTCTGAGGAAGAAAGCTATTACCTTTCTATTTAATCTGATCTAGTATTTTGTAGATTAATTCTATGATACTCCATTTTGAGTTTCAGAGTCCTCTCCCGCAAAAAAAGAACAAACTTTAACACATGCATTTGAGAGTGGACTGCACCATATTCACCTTTTTCAATACTTGAGGATGCAACGCCATTTTTGAGACACTCCCTTCCATGGTAACCATTATATCCCCCTTCTCTGTGATTGAATTAACAACTCCAATCTTTCCAATTTCCTGAAAAGATACATTTAAGCTTTATTGTCACTACAAGCTCTAACTTGAGATCCGTTTATAAACAAACAAATGTGTACACACATGTGATTCCAGTGAACTTTATGAAAATTTAGATTGACTTTTAGTGATTTGATTATAGATTGATTTGTCAAAAAATCATTTGAACAATATTTGATAGCAAGTTGGATTAAAGAACCTTCTTAGTCACGCTGTAAGAGTAGAACCCTTTTACTTGGTGGTTCCGGAACAATATTGATTAAATCTAATAGAAATCAAAGAATAACACTCAAACCCTGCCTTGCTGCAAATGAAGGTAGGTATACTGGGAATAAGGGGTGTTGTCAGAAGGAAGCTGCGATTCGATCTCTATGATTCGATCTTCTTATTATTGGCCCTTCAAAAAGTCTTATAACTTCTTTCAAAATTAGCATGATATAGAGATTCCTGTAGAATCAGGATACCTACATCTGCCATTGCAGAATTCCAGCCACCATGCCCTGATTGAAGCGTCATAAATATGTCCTTTGGCGCGCTAATGCGCACGCGATCGTTGACCTCAAACTTATGGCTCTTTTCACTCATTTCATTTAGCAAGCTTAACTCTGATGTTTCAATGGACCGCTTTTCGTTGGAGTACGAAATGCTCTTAGCAGCCACAGCTTCAACATTCGAAGCTGCTCCTTGAGGAAACGCGTCCATGGGGAAATTCGGTGCAGCTGCTCCAACAATCATAGTAGATGGCCTCGCAGTCATAGCTGATGCTGCAAACATCTCACTCTTTTCTCCCAAAACTGGCAAGTGATGCTTGTAATAGTGCCCTCCTGCTGTAGGCTTAACACACTTCAGATCAACCTTTAAAACAGAAATATATCAAAAACAATCGAAGAGTTGTAGCAAATGAAAGCAGAAGTGGGAGAGGCTAAGTTTCTTGCTGTTTAGGTTCCCATCCAAAGTAAAAGATCCTTTGACTAACTTGATATTTCAATCTGGATCAACGTTCTTGCTTGTCCAATCGACAGGAATGAACGCCGTTTAGGGATTCCGGGGAACCTGGGAACTTCCAAATGTTTCCAGGGAAAAATAAATACAAATAGTAAAATTTCAGCTGTATGATTAGATAGCTAAACTGTGGCAATAGTTAGTATAAATGTAATTCAGAAAGCAGTACTTTCATGGAAGTTTTTGCAAGGTTATATTTGTTTCAGAAATTTTTTCAATTAATGCAGCTAAAGGAGTAATTCACAACATAAGTCCCATTTCTGATGGTATTTTGAATGAAGGAGGGTAGATAACTAATTACCCCTTTAATTAAACCGCTCTATTCATTAAAAAGTTTGCCAAAGCTTCGCAAATCTAAAACAGTGCATCTATCCAAAGAAGATTGAAACCACAAACAACTATAGAGCAGATCCTTGTCAAAATATTCCTCAAAAAACAGGCAAAACTAGTTAAACAAACGACAACGATTAAACTATTTCGTCAGGTGAAAAACTACCTTGAAGCCAATCGAATCGGAAGTTCCATCATTAGCACTAAATGGCGCTCAAAATATTGATTGCATTGAATCAAAGAGAGTGAAGATTAAGAAACTGTTAGCTACACAATGCTTTGAGAGGGCGCGATTATGTTTTTGGAGAGAGATCCATTTAGTAAAAACATATTTTGTCACTGAAAATATTGTCTGACGTGTTGAGAAGATGTCGAAATCAAAAGATCAATAAAATTCGACCATCGAGAAGAACTGTATTATAATCACATTACACCTGGAAAAAAAATGTTTTTACTCAAAGGCCCAGGGCAATAAGCGGGACATTGACTGGGAATAAGGAAGTATGAACCCCCTAAATAAGGGTAATCGGAAAGAATGGTAAACCAGATTTTACCTGGTAGTTGATGGCTTACCTTGCCGTTATGTCCAATGCGATAGACATTTGACAAGCCATTCCCAATCCACTGCACACGTGCTACATTTCTTCGGTACTTGCTGTGAAATTCCTGGATTTCTGTGACTTGGCCTACCTGCCCATCGCCACCATCCTGGTCGTCCCATTCCCAGCAAAGACCACGAACAACCATTGCTCCGGGGAAGAACCCAGTGGCTTCGACTTTCACAGACCTTGCCCGTGCGGGTAATGGGGTCCTGAAAATGGATCAAGCTTTATTGGATTTTTCAAAAACAGTTGTTGAAAATCCGTTGTATGGGACTTGATGCTATATAGAAAATGCAGTACACAATTTTTGTGTGTAGAACAGGGCAGCTCTAAGTTGTAGCTCCAAGCTGCCTGCAGGATTATGAAATTAAGAGCGGTAAATGAAAACCTTCTGTTTTTCGCGCTGAATGATCTTCAAAAGATAAATGTTAAACAAACATTGCATTTAAAATTCACAAATGGGTAAAACTACCAGTAGTAAATTCAAAGTTCTTAAAAAAACTGCATTCTCTAACACCTCTTTCAAAATGGCATACACTCATTTTACTTTACTTTTGTTGAAATGGAGAAAAGCTTTTTCATAGCTACAGGACTCCCTCGGCCAATTGCGAGTTCTCTAATCAACATTTGAAATAAAGCTACTCTCTAAGCCTCGGCACTTGTTTTGGACTTTGGAACGTGCATCTCACAACTTTTGCTAAGGTTTAGTCACCTGGTAGCCAAATAGATCAAAGTAAAAAAGACTCTTTCACTAAATAATTTCATTTTTTTAATATTCTAATTAATGGAATCATTGACAAATCAACTAGTGATTAATTCAAAGCGCAGACTGTTCGAGTCATTTTACAAAAATATTAAATTCAAATTTCGAGTTGAAAGCCAAATTGTCCATGGACCCTATGTCACCTCTTACCTCTTCCTCTCTCTCCTCTTTCTTTCTCCCCCTCTCCCCTTCTCTCCTTCATCCCTTCTCCTCTTTTTCCTCTTCTCCCCTCCTTCCTCTCTTTACTTCCCCCCCTCTCCACTTCTTTCCCTCTCCCTTTCCCTCTCTTTACATTCCCGAAGTAGAAAAACTCGAGCAAAACACGTATGCCTCTTAATTTCTATGCGTAACTTTCTCTAGTCCCCTTTCTCTGTACTTGTTGCTCTTTGTTTCTATACAACATACAGGACGTAAAAGATAAAGAGGAACATACCCTTCATTGTCACTAGCATCAAATCGATCAAAAGCATGTTGCAGACTGTGCTTATCATTCATGTAACACGTGGTGCAAAGATTCGTTAACGGACATTCCTTGCAACTCCAACGAGTGCCAATAACATCTTTTAGGCAGACGTCGCAACCTACACCATGTTTTGATACTGTAAAAAAAACAGTAACAAGTTTAATTGCTGATTATATCTGAACAGGGACCGCAGAAGCGGGGGCTACGGAGGATTTAGCCTTCCAAAAATTCCAAAATGTACTTAAAATCATACCAAAATCGCCATGCTCTTGGTTTTAAGCATGTTTAGCCCCCTCAAAACGTTTTCGCTCCCTTAACCTGTAAAATGCTCCGCGGTCCATGAATCTAAAAGACCTCATTTCTGTGTTGGCTTTACGCTTCATAAAGAAAAAGAATTGGTAAGGCACTGACTGCGAAATTGATTGCTACAGGTTATTGTGCGATAAGTCAGTCGAAGCTGTAAGGTGATAGGTGTACAGTACAACAAAACTTATTTTTGATAGTCTAATGTCCTTCCAATGCAAAATAGTCAATCATAAAAGACATTGAAATACTTGTGGATTTTGTTTGAAAAGAATAATGGTATTTCAAACATATGAATAAGAGATGTTTTAATTCTTGAAATAGGTTTATGTTATCCTTAGACATTATTTCGGGTAGTAAACACAAAAACCCTTTAAAAATCGGTGCTTTACCGTTAACAATCCCATCTGTAACAGTTCGTTTCCTTCACTAGAGTTCTCATTTGTCAAATCTTTTATCTGATTCAATTATCTGAAGCTCGAGTTTTAAGTTCTTGAGTAAAGACTTACCAGCAGGTGAACAAAACACGAGAAGATCACAGGCGTTGTTTTCTCCACAACGGTACATTCCTTGGCCACCATGATCCCAAAGAACTTTCACACTGCCTGCCGGTGGGTGGTCGTTTTTTATTTGGACAACTGTTCCGAGCATCCCCTCCTCACCATCTTGATCACCCCAGATCCAATCCAAGCCACGGACAATTCGAGTTCCCAGTTCAACATGCATTTTTGCACCAACTAAAAAAATACATGTAGCTTAATATTCTGTTGGTGTTCGTTTTACTTTATTGGCAACGAAAGTCAATATCAAAGACTTTTTATTGGAGGAAAATGTGAAAAAGGCAAAGAATAATGAATTAGACACATGGAGCAGTCATCTTTCGGTTCAAGAGGGGCTTACAAAAAGTTCATGGATATTGATATTGCAGTTTCCACAATTGTAGACGAATGGGAAGTTAAAAGATTCACAAGAAAAGGTCGGAGCTGAATTTCATTGATTTGAGGCTAGTTTTCATTTTTTTGTATTTCGTCGGCGACTGTCGCAGATGCTCCTCTGCGACAACCGCAAATCACAAAATCCAACTGAAAATTGTCAAACGGCGTTATGAAAGCATTAGGACGCAGTTCAGCAAATATATCCGTGCAAGGAAAGACACGTCAGGTTGTGGAAGTGATGATATCTCACTCACTGCAAAATTTGAACATCTTAAATGGTTGAAAACATTTATAATTAGCAGAACAAGCACAGCCAATTTGTCAAAGGGGGAATATCAAAACAATCAACCAAGGCAGCACTCAAATCATAATCAATTTGTTGATTCTCTTTCTGGGGAAATTTGTTGTGAGGATGGCCATGACAACATTGCAGAGTGGACTGAATATGAGGAGGAGATGTCACAGGGACAAGGTGTAAATATTAGCTTGCAAATATCAACTACAGTGTCAGACAATGAAGCTGAAAGTACATCAGAAAGTACACAATCTCTGTCAATGAGAAGACAAATAGCAACAGCTGCACCAATAAAAAAGGTTTGGGCGAAGAAGGAAAGCAGAAACGGCAATTAGAGAGAACCAATGAGGAATTGTCATTTATAATTGCAAAACTATACGCATATAGTTTCGATGAAGATGCACTTGTTCTTACCTATTCGTATCTTAAGCGACAAAAACAAAGCGTTTGGATAAATAATACATACAGTTCTTTTCTAGAGGTCATATCTGGTGTACCCCAAGGATCTGTGCTAGGCCCCATCTTGTTTAATTTTATAGAAATGATTTATTCCTTTTCATAAAACAGAAAACTCTCAGTAATTATGCTGATGATAATACTCTCGCTTATTTCCCCAAAAACATGCCCGATCTTGTCAATATTTTGCAAATAGAAATCAGAGTTGCTTTAACCTGGCTAGAACAAAAAAAAAATGAAATGAAATGATTGTCAACCCTGAAAAATTCCATGCTTTATTGCTCAGAAAAACCAAACAAATATCAGTGGAGAACAGATGATTATTGGAGGTAAAATATTCAAATCTGAGGAGACCGTAAAGCTTTTAGGAGTCATTTTGGACTATAGATTTGATTTTGACCCACATATTTCAACTCTTTGCAAAAAAGCTGCAACACAATTAAATGTTCTCAAAAGATTAAAGAAGTTTATTGGGTTTCAAGAGAAAAAGATCCTAGTTCAGAGTTTTGTGTTTTCGAATTTCTATTATTGCCCCTTGGTTTGGTACTTTTTATCTTCCAAATCATTGCAGAATATAGAAAAGTTACAAGAACGCGCCATAAGGTTTCTCTAAAATGATCATAAAAGTTCGTATAATGATTTGCTTCTTAGCTCGTGTAATTGCATGATGCACGAAGACTTTTTTGTATAGAAATACTTGGAACTCTGAATCATTTGAATCCACCTTTTAGGCCCTTTTATGCAGAGCATTTTCAAATTACGCTTTTCAAATTATTCTTTGAGAAATCCAAACAACTTGGCCAATTTTAGGGTTAACCAAACAACTTTTGGGGCAACAAGATTTAAACCCATTGGACCCCAGATTTTGGATAGTTTACCTAGTGAACTAAAATCAGCAGAAAATCTGAAAGGTTTCGAGATTTTGATAAAAAAATGGGATGGTCCCAACTGCAGATGAAGTGCCTGTACCTGCCTACCAACTTAGAAATTTGATTCAGAACTTGGAACTTGTAAATTTAGAAAATATTCTTTTTTCTTTTCTTTGCTCTGTATATTCGATTTTGATTAGTTAACTTGTATATACCTAAATAATGTACATATTGTTATCTATTTTTGTACATCGAATGAAAATAAAGTAACATACACACACAAGCCTTTATTATGCTGTCAAATGAATTCTAAATGGTACTGAGTCTATAATTGAAAATTATCTGTTCTTCATTGAGATTTTTTCCAGGGTAAGGTTTCTTCAGCCATGTCTTTAATCCAAATATCTCATCTGAAACCAAAACATGGAGAAAAATGAAATCCCCTACTTCTGTTTGAGAAGGGATACTCATATTGCCACTCATGAAAGCTTTGCCCATTTCTGAACTGTTGAAAATCTGTGCATCGTTGTCTCTCCCAAAGTTGCCTGTTTCAACAATTGTAAAGCAATATTAGGCATCATTGATGTTGGGTTGATTTTGCAGGTCACCTGACTTATAATACCCTTTGCCAAATATGGAAACTTGTTTCTCTTAATGGTATGTCATTTGAGATCGGTAGTTGAACCGCTAGGCTCAATAAGGCTATAGGTGCGTTCTAGAAAACTGCTATATTCAATTTAAAAGAATTCTGTCCATAGGGTATGACTACTTTTCTTGACAGGCTGTCACCCTTTCCTCAAAAAGGGAAAATAAACAGAACCTCTACACAGAACATGCAATACACCAATTCGTTTTAGTTCATTTTCATACTTTCGGTCAATCGATCTACGGCATGTACAAGAAATCAAACAAAATAAATCATTTGATAGATCCATTGCTGGGTCGGCCAAGGAATCTTTCGCTTCATTCTTTAGCGAGCCATTGGTTTTTCAACTAGAATTCAAACCGTGCTATGAAATGTCCGGTTTCCGTAGCTTCGCTCCATCAGAACATCTCTATACTCATGCAATGATAATGATTAGCATGGCGGTAGAATCAAACATTAACGTTTCTAGTAAAAGCATGAAGGCCTATTAGGCTCTGTTTCACCTCGGGCTCTAAGTCAATTTTATTCAGGCGTAAACCCTTGCCTTTTTAGCGTTCTCAAAATCTAAATAGAAATCTTCTAGACAATCTATGAAGATGCCAATCATAATGACATTGATGTCTATGTTGGCGGAGGATGATCGAGCAGTGGGTGCTTTTTCAGGTGATCCATCCAAGCATAGGACCACTTTAGCGTCCGCTTCTTCTTGGCTACTCATAAGGTCATTACTCACCAGGTTACTCACATGGTTAAATCTTACACTTCCATTCTCCGTAGAGAAGTAAATTTCATTGCGACCTACCAATTCCAAGCATTGCACTCTGCTACCCACAATTACTTCTCATTATCAGCTTCTTTTATCACCGGTCTGGTTCTTCCCACTATATCTACCCTACTTTACCCGGTAGGTATACTTTTTAAAATATCCATGTAAGCTGTTCATGTGTCTGAGGAATCTCCGTGAGTTTCCGTATGCTTGCCATCAGTTCGATTATAAACGCTGAGACATGTTTCTTGGAGGCTGATTTTCTCTTGGATGGGTCAATACCAAGCTAGTTTTCTTGAAAATGATTTATATTAGCTTGCTCTTATAAACTGTCTTTCGTTGAGAACCATTAGCATTTGCATTACTAGCAGGCACAGTACAGAGGGGATAATCATTTCTCTTTTTGCTGATATCGCCATTAGTTTTCCTAAGATGTCTCTGTCAACTGCAACTGTTTTAACCAATTTTTTCTCTTTACTGTCGGCTTTTTTAAAGACCTATCAGATAAAACCAGTTCTAATGGAATGAAACTTCTCTCTTATCTAATCTTTCTCGAGCAAACCTTTCCTGTCGTGTTTCTCCTACCTTTCTAGTGTTTAGTGGGCCATTTCACTGAATTCTATTCACAGGCTTATCAAAACTTAAGGTGGATTTGTGTATTATTCTCTTATTTTTAGCAGGCGTACTAGCGAAGTGCTCAGTTTCAAGATTTTCAAAGGCCGTAATTATTTATAAAAGTCTTGAGGGGGGAGGGGGGACTCTATATCTGTCATGCTTAGCAGTTTTCCCCATTGATGATGAAGGGTGATGTAATAAACCCAACAACGTGATACCCAAAAGATAAACTTTCCCGAAATAACAGCATAATGGCAATAAAATCACATATCCTTAAGATTTTTGCTGATGCCTTAAAATAGAATGGCAATCGTAAGGGTTCTATAAGTCATTTTCTTCGGGCTCGTGTGGTACTTATCGTATTCACAGCCTGGTCTAAAATGAAAACCAGCCTTTATGAATAAGATAACACCGCTTATCAATTTGGATAGCACTGCGCAGAAACTCTTTGGAACACACAAGGCTACAAGGCAAGACAAGGGATGCGGGGATATGGCTGCGTTCGGCTCAATCTTTCCACTTACATCAAGCTAGTCCTTCATTCTGTTCTAAAATTTATCGACCATACCATACGAGCCCCCAAAAACTCAGATAGAGCACCTATTGGAAAGCGATGCATGTCTCCGCTTGTAGGAACTGTATTGCTAAAAAAATCAGCACTGCAAGTTTTCAAAATGGCTTAAGTCTGAAAATAGCTACTTCACATTTTTTGACAGTTTTAAGTTTGTCCCTCCGCTGTTGCAATACTGGCTCGTAAAGTCATTTCTTATCTTCAACAAATTCTTGAGCCATTCACAAATAATAAAACTAGTGCCTGTTTGGAACGCATCTGTTTTTCTTCAAATTGCGTTTTCTCCAATGTCCTTTATAAAGAGATCTAGCTCTTTCTCACAGCTATATAAGTGCTTTTGGAAGTGGGGGTCGTGTCTTACATGTGCCCAAAGTGTCACACTTGATTTACACTTTTTTATTTTCTAAGAAACTAGGATTAGCAGTACGTACTAAAAGTTTTTCTCAATTTGGCATCCAAATTTAGACGTTTAAGTACTACAAATTTTTTAGCTGGTTTCTTTATTCGGGACCTAAGATTGCCCTAGTGTTTTGAGGTTGAGCATTTTTAAAAATTGTATAAACGCAGATCGTTAGGAAAAAACC